GTCCGAATTCAGACGGAACTGTTCAAAATTGGAAAGAAGTTGAACAAAAACCGGACTCGAGAGTAGCGCAAATTGAAGCTAATGACACATGATATTTTCGCTTCTTCAACTTTTGTTTGATCAGCTTTTTTTTGTTTCTTTGTCAGCGCTTGAATAACAGAGGCACTGGCTCTTTCAACGTTGAAAACGAAAAAGCAAAGCTGTATAGAGGCTCTAAAGATCAGGTGAGCCTAGAGAACGGATGTTGTGATTTAGGTTAATAGTTTAATTAAGGGTTGAATGCGATTTCGGCTTATTGAGGATTTTCAAAGCTGATATGCATGTATTTTTTTAGTGAAGTAAATGGACTAGAGACTACCTGATCACACGTTCTGTTATTGTTGTTTATTGCATGATATCACTCTTATTTCTTGAGGAGAAGGTTTCAACATTTAAAAAAGGCTTGGATCTCTTCTTAATTTTGATTTTTGTTTTCGTTTGCAGAGCGGGGAGGCTTTAATAGATCCAGTAAGTGAAAAGTAACAGGGTTTTTTAGTAAACTATAAAAAACTTTACCAGACTCATAATTGTTCGGAAAGGTCTCGAGAGCTTTTTTTTTTATCTCTGTAAAGCTGCATGAGACACGATATGATCAAATAATTGGTTAATGATGAACTAGCATTTCTCAGTGTTCTGAAGACACTTTTCCCATGTGTTACACTTTTGTTATCGATGTAAACCTGGCTGGAGATAAAACACATATTTTTGGACTCTGCATGGTGTCCAAGTTTTCATATATTATTAGGTGTGACATATTTTTCTTTACTCCTGTTCAGGTTAAACTTACATTAGCTTTGATGCATTACGAAGTTAAACTTTACAAGCAGCCTAATGGCACCAAAGAATTTCCAGCCCGAACGTGTAGAGACCTCGTCACGTGGTATCCAGGTCTTATCAGCGGCAAGTATTTTCCAACAGTTAAAAACTATTTTTCGATTAAATGTCGTTGAGCCAAATTAAAGGAAATCCCCACGACCAATCAGTTGAGAGGAAAACATTACGAGCAAACTGCATGATTTTAAGCGCGGGAAAACGCGGGTTACTCCTATATCATTGCATCTGATTGGTTAAGAGATTGGCGGGAGTCTTCTCGACCAATATCAGAGTCAAGAAAGTAAAACCAATGCAAACTAAGACTAATTTCGACTGGTAATTTCTCCTAGAGGTTCCCATTTTGCCTTTTTTCATTACGCTGACTTCTTCCTTCTTTCTCCCTCCCCCTCCCATGTTATTTAAAGTCTGTAAAGTTTTCAATTTCCCTGACATACTTTAGAAAGTTAATGTTAATGAGAGGAATGTTGAACGTTGGGCTTAAAAGATTCTCGAAAGATGTACACTACTAGCTTATACGTTTCTTGTGGATAAATGTGAAGTTATGTAGGAAAGTTAAAAAAGTTTACTCAGTGATACCACATTCCAACAGGTGACTTTTGGATTGACCCAAACGATGGCGTGCCTGATGATGCTGTAAAAGTTCACTGTGACTTCTCCTTCAACGCAACCTGTTTGTACGCCAACAATGAAAAAAAGGTATATATGTTAAACATAACAGAGCTCCCACTTTTTTGGAAAAAACAAACTCATAATTTTTTTAGTCTTTCTATGGTTTGTATTTAGAAATTGTTTGTCGATGGCGGCATTTTGTCGCTTGCTTCTCTTTTTCAAGCAATTTTTTGCTGTTGACCTCTTTTCTGCGAACCACGCGTCTCCTTTTTTGACGTATTGAGCTAAATAATATTGTTAACTTGTGAAAATATCAATAATTTTTAATTATTATGCTGATCAGATGGGGACCTTGTGTTGAACAATTTTTACGTTTGTACACATATGTAGGTTTTAGGTGTTAATTATTCTAACACGACCCCACAAGCTGGTAAAGTCATAGCATAGTCCACATGGTGTTCAAATTAAAGGTTTTACCTACTTACTTACTGACTTCCAGCCGGCCTGAAAAATTATGACTTTCCCAGTTACTTTGTGACACTAACTGTATCATTCCTTTGATGGGAATGTTGTTGGTGTTATAAGGCAAACTCTGGTACAATGAAGAGAAAGTCCCTCTTCACTGTTAGTCTTTGCTCGCTCGTGTTCATTTTGAATGTACCGTTATAAAATATATCAACGTATTTTCCTTTCCTTGTAATGTTAATTCTGTATTCTGTTTCAGCCATTCACGATCAGAAAAAAGAAATGGTTCTCAGGAACTGATGAATACAAATGGCTTGGAGAAGATCTTGGCGCCTTTAACAAGGTTATAACGAACAATCTAATTCCTCTTAGCTAAGAAAATTAACTCACTCTCAACACACGCTTTAAAAGATAAAAGTCCTCTTCCAAAACAAATGCTTTTCAAAAGAAAACTTTATTTATCCATTTTCTCACTATGTACCTCAAACGAAGCATTATAATTAGTTGCGTGTTAGTGACTGAGAAGAAAAAATCACTTTTTATAAATCAGCGATTAATCATTTGTAAATACAAGAGCTCTTTTCGATTGAGTGTAGTAAAACCAAAATACCTTAAAGAACCAATGAGAACTCAGGGAAAAGACAAGCGAACCGCATAAATCAGCCAAAAAATTGCGGGCAACCAAGTCGAAATTTTTGTTAGTTGTGCATCTGATTGGTTGAGAGAGAAGCGGAAGTTTTCTGGACCAATCACAGATAGGATAGAAATGGTATATTGTCTGAAATGGATATGTTCATCTTGTTTATTATAGAGTTGTACCGTACTTTTTTCGATTAAATTTCTCTTTTCTGTTTTCCTGCAGATCAAGTACGTCAAGTACTCCAGTCAACTCTCATTTCTCCGCCTGCTGAGTGACCGCGCCCGCCAGAATATCACCTACCATTGCAAAGACTCTGTAGCCTGGTATGACCAAGAGCTTGATGACGTCACGAAGTCATTGAAAATCAAGACTGATAATGGTGTGATTATACACTCAAGTTCGTCTAACAAGTTCAAGCCCAGTGTACTCGCGGACAATTGTCGAGTAAGTGAAAATAAAGGAAGGATGGGGTAGGAATGATACAGATAGATCGACCGAAATAACATATTTAATCTAAAATACTAAAAAACACAGTTTTCATAGTTGATGCTTGAAGAATTTCCCTTCAACTTTACCGGGTTTAGAATTTGTACTATGTCTGGGACCTCAAGCTGTCTGGACGTCAACGCTGAGGAAGACATCAATTATTTCTCCTAATTATAATTGAGTTAATTCTTCACCTGTTGTTTGAGTTATTCGAAGTCTATTTAAGCAGTAGACCGCACTTTCTGTTGGTTTACCGGCGTTATAACTCAGGCGAGACGTTGGGAGAACACGAGCAAAGTTTGTAAATTAAGAGCCGGAGCCGAGTGATTTACAAACTCTTCGAGTATTACGCCGGTAAACCAACAGAAAGTGCGGCCAAACGCTTTTACGAAATAATCAAACAAAAAGTGAATTTATATATTTTTTAGTTAGAATTTAACCAATGGCTGGATGTGATTACCGTCTGTTACGGCGCCGCGCCTCGGCCTCAGCTTAACGTATGTGAACCGTGTTGAGTTCCAAATGGACACTTAACTTATTTGCCGTCGAGGTTGCCGGTTTTAAACCACGCAAATTTTGATGATTTCATGTTGTTCTTTTACAGAGGACGACTGAGAAATGTACAAAGCGCATGTTTAGCTAGGCCCCTTTGATCAATTGACTCGCGCGATTAACTACAGCTCCTTGAGGCGATTTCTTTTTCCGTTCTAGGTTAAGAACGGCACGTGGCTTTACACCATTATTCAAGTGGACACGCCCAAACCAAACCGACTTCCAATACGAGATGTAGCTGCCTACGACATCGGAGACGAAAACGAAGAATTTGGACTCGAAATTGGACCCGTTTGCTTTTATTAGTCTCCTTATTCTCTCTTTTATCTTCTTTTATCGTCCCGCTCAAGTAAACTCAAGGAATTTGTACCATATGTTTTAACTTATTGTTTGGACTGCTTAAATAATAGTTGTATTTGCTAATTATAATTGAGTTAATTCTTCACCTGTTGTTTGAGTTATTAGAAGTCTATTTTAGCAGTAGACCGCACTTTCTGTTGGTTTACCGGCGTTATAACTCAGGCGAGACGTTGGGAGAACACGAGCAAAGTTTGTAAATTAAGAGCCGGAGCCGAGTGATTTATAAACTCTTCGAGTATTACGCCGGTAAACCAACAGAAAGTACGGCCAAACGCTTTTACGAAATAACCTTCAATTTCCTATGGGTTTACCAGTGCAATAAACGATAGGTTTTAACCAGTCAGGGCGCTCCCTTGTATCTCAGTTATTTTGTAAAACGCATTAGTACTTTTTCCGTGGCAAACCTTATTATTACAATACATGTTTCATCGGTTCTATCCATGTCAGTGCTTCGAAAACGACTAGCTTTGAAAAGATTTGATGTTCAAAGTTATGTATTTAAATCTCGGTGAGAAAAGCGCTAACCATAGCCTCGCGTTCCGGAGGTAATTTTCACCCCGGTGACATTAATGAGCAAAGTGTTAAGGGAAGTTTTGGAATTGATCAAAGAACACTGGTGTAGTTACAATGCAAATATTTCGAACCCCATTCACAGGTTAGTGATTTTCAGACCCTGCTGTAACGTCAATCACAAATAAGCTAACTCTTTGATCCCTCTGGGTAACTGGAATTACACAGGAATTACACAAGGAAAGTCAAAGGAATTAAGGAAATGATCACCAACTAAACAAGCTCTTGATTGTTAAGCAAATTTTTCGTGTCAGCACCTTAGGAAAGTTATAGAGAACAGTGTGGATAATAATAATGAAGATTGTAACGGGTTACAGAAGTGCTCTCATAAAGTACTTGATCCTGTTGCAAGTGGTTGTTTTCAAATTGTGCCTGTAATAAAGATGCGCTTTTTTAGTTTTCTCATCTCACGAAAGGCCAAGCTCATGGCTCTTATAAATTAAAATTACCCCTTTGTGTAGTCTACTACCACAAGCAAACCTCTTTGCAATGTTAACAGTGTGAAGTGTAGTTTTAATGTTATTGTTGCAATGACGAGTAAGCTATTGCAAGCACTCTGTTGCGCATAATCCTAGAAAAGCAACAAATAAAAAAAAAAAAAAAAATACTAAATGTGTTACTGGGCCACTTTTCTGCCCAACCCTAAGCCATATTTTCTGAGCTGAAACGAGCATGGCATGCCCCCTTCCCCAAATGTGTTTTTTAGGGGTGTTACAGTGATGTATAGCAGGTTAAATGCAATACAATAATAAAATTAACTGATTGCACCAACAATAACCAGTTTTCCTTTCAATGTTGGCTTCTTTGTAATTAATGACTATTCACAAAAGTGGAGTTGAATAGTGGTAGATATTTACTGAGCTGTGAAGCAGTGAAGTCAATATCTGCCACTTTTGCAGACACCAAAGTGAAAAATTGTTTTAGTATATACCACACAAATACCAAAAAATTGGTTCAATTCTTTCAAGATACTAAAAAATTGTTGGAAATGAAACTCTTAACATGTGAGTTTGTCTCTTTGGCAGCTTGAAGGTAAACAGTACTCATTATTCACTTCTGCAACTGAGACATGAAGGATTTCAGTGTGTAAAAAGCACTATTCCCTTGTGTAGCATATATTAATGCCTGACATTATTGCATTAAGACAACAATCATTCCCAAAGTAATTCTGGTGTTCCAAGGTTTCAGCAACTTTGCAAACCCTATAAATAACTTATTAAGAGTGTTAATAGTACATCTGCTATATATTTTGCCAGGCCTAAAACTAATAAAACAAAAACTTTCCTCAAATATCATCTAAGGTAGATAATTTAATGTACAACAGAACTTGTGTGAGTACAACAGGGCACCACTTAAACAAGAATATTAGAAAAACTTAGTAACAACATTACATTTCATTTTCCTCCTGGGTGGAGAGAGGCAATGTGACAGTAAAGAATTTTGCCCAAGTACTCAACACAATGATCTTGGGCCTGTTTTCCAGTAATTTATCAGACCCTGAAGCCAATCAAAATTTAAATAATAGAGAAGCTAGTTATGTCACTCTAGACTGTCCATTTTGTTTCTGTGGCTGATAGTTTTGGTAAGAACAATTATGGAAAACAACCAACTACAAGGATTTACTAATAATAATTTATTCTAAAAAATAAAGATAAAATGAGACCTGGGTCTTGAGCCTGAACCTCTCAACCTGAGGTCCATTTCTACCTCTGCCACTTTCACACGGGACTCATACCAACCAAATATCGGAGTCTTTCAAAGACAAAAAAAGTAACAATAGTATGAGGGCCTATTCGCATCCAGTTTGGTATAAATCCCTTATACAATCCTAATAATCCTTCATGTCTAACAATTTTCCCTATACAATGGATGGTATTTCTGTATACCAATGGCTTTCCACTGGCATCTTTTTTCTGGTTCATCATGCGTGTTTTCACCACATCAAATGGTGATGTACTAAGAGCTGTCACAAATCCAGCAATGACAGATGATACACCATGTAAGGCTGGCCCTTCTTCCATCAACTGCGCATTTAATAAAGTATGTTTTGTATGGTCATATGATGGAATTTGTGCCGCTGTCAAAATAGCTGCACGCTGAACTGTTGGGCCCACGCCTGTCCATAATCCTCTTACTCCTTCCTTTTGTGCTATTTTCCAAAATGCATGGAAAGTGTGTCGATACTCTGATTTTTTTCCAGGTCCCAAGGCTTGGAAGCGAACCTTGACTAAGTCTGTGGGCGTAGCAATTGCACTACCTATAGTTCCTGACATTGCACCAGCCACAATTTTCTTCCACAGAGGAGTGTGAGCGATATCAGTAGCTCCTAACTTAACTTTTAATGGCTCATATGCTCCTAGCCTAATGGTACTGTATGATCCTTCCCTCATCATTGATGGCAGCAACCTTAAACAAGCAAACACATTATTAATACTTTGTTCATGAGGACAGAACCATGAGACTGGTTTTGTGCTTTTGAAGTCAGGTGCTTCATTCAACCTCAGTTCAGTAGGACTATACTGCCAAGTCATGCCAAACAGAGAAGTTGTAGCATATTTCATTATGCATAAAAAAAAAACAGTGCACAATGACTTGAATCCTTTAACCCTATCAATGATTAGAAGCTAAATTCCCCTTCCATTATCACTGCTAAATCAAGCATTAAGGTCATGAGAATAAAAGAAATGATCACCAAACATAAGAGCTCTTTAGGTTACAAACAAATTCTCCTTACCAACACAAAAAGAAATGTATAGAAAACAGTAGGGAAAATATGTATACTCATGAAAGGGTGTAAAAATTTAATGCTTGTCAGTCCAGAAAAATGTGTTTGGACCCAGGTTAGCAACAACCTTCTCCATCTTATCAAATTCACTTTCCCTTGGTCTTCCAAAGCCAAACAATCCATGAGAGGATAACATCCATCTGAAGAACACAAGATGTGCATCCTCTATAAAACCAAACAAACCTCAAAAAAGTTTAGGCTTTGTAACTTACCCTTTATAAAGACCCCTCAAGCCCTCCTCAGAGAAAATTCTAATTCCACCTCTTATAAACCCCTTATAATAACGGTCTTTGAAAATATTCTTGCTGCTATGTTTTGAGCCCAATTCATTCTCAAGTTGCATGCGAATCTTGATGACATCTATGGGATTTGTTACTGCAAAATAAATGAAGCAAAAGATTTTAACTCTGAACAGCCATGTACTAGCTCCTAAGTCGAAAGATGGAGGTATAGCCCAGGGGGGATGGGGGGCACTTCCTAATAAAAGGTAAGAAGAGATTAGAAAATAAGGTTTCACGATTAAAAAGTTATTACTGTAATACCAAAATGCTTATAAGATGGGGTCCATAGTTGGCCACAGAATAGACTGTAATGGCGTAGGGGTCTCACAGGCCAGTAGCACACATCCAGCAAAAATAAAACAAAGTACCTCCCCCTTTGGTTGTCTTGTGACATAAGAGGAAAATCATATTGTACTGGTTGTTAATCTGATCGCCACAAAAAGGTTAATATTTTTTCTTTAGAAACGGGTTAATTTTTTTTTGTTTTAAACTTTATGAACTGTGCAAGGAGGATGTTCCATCATCTCAGAGATCTTCCTTATTAACAACCAAGAACGAATCAAAACAAGGACCGATGTGTATAATCGAAGGTGCCTGATCGCGTATTTCCGAGAAAGTTCCGAAGATTAAGTATTTTTTCGAAACTGAGGCAATAAATGCTGCAAAAACTTTCACCAATTTTTTTTTTCACACGGCTCGACGTTTGGTTGGCAAGAGTCAAGGTAGTTCTGGCGTTACTAGATTGCAGTTTCAGGTTTAGGCTAGGTACGGACGAATTTCGACCGGACATTCTGTTGACGTGTAACTGTGTGAAAGTTTCGTTCTGTTCAGATAAAGTTGATAACCGGCTGAAGTTTGTGACCCTCGTCTGTGCTTTTACCGCCTCCTAATGCACAGAACGCTTCCTAACCCACACACCGTGGCGGTCAAATTATTGACTGCACCGGCTAAAAATTCGGCCTCGATATTCACGTTCAAATTTTTGAACGCTTGGGCGTTCAAATTTTCGTACGTTTGGCGTGGTTCCATGTGAACGAAACGCCTAAACGCACGAATTTTCCACCGGTCGAAAATTCGTCTGGTACCGCGTGAACGTAGCATTATAGTTAAAATAGCGTGTCAAATGCTAGTAAGTGGTGTTTGTCGAGCGATAGAGCTTTCAAGCTGTCACTTCAATGTTATCATCTAAGCTTGCTTCATTGATCATAAGCATAGAGCTACAGACTTAAATCGAGCATGGCTGAATTAAAATGAATTCAGGACACTACCATAACCTACCTGCTCCACCACACATGTTAGAGATTCCGCTTAGCACAAATCTAGTTAAATTCTCCGACGATTGTGTAGACATTTTAAAGGTTCAACGCGGTTCCTAGCCGAATTAGTTGCGGTCAACAACAGTCAAATGTTTCAAAAGGACAAAACCGCTCCATATTTTTTCCTCAGGCCATATGAAGCAGCCGGCAATGTTTCATTTACAATTTAATGTATCGACAATTTTTTTCTCTCCCGGTGGTGGTGATTGGTTTCTGTCAACAGACTGGGGCTTAAATGACGTTGTCAAATTGAGAGAATTTTGTCATTTCGACAAGATTTTTGATAAATTTTTTAATTTGTCCGCATAATTTAGCTTGACCGTCTGTTGGCAAAGACACTGCTTGAGATTAAGCATTAAAAATGAATGGTAAGCGGAGAAAACTCGGTAAAGTCAACTCATTTACCAACAGGTATTCTCTAATCTGAAATCAAACGGTTATAAACAAGGGGACACAAGGGATAATTATGTTATTTTTATCCTACACCCGGCCAGTTGTCAATCACCCCCGTACTGTCCAATGAGATTTTTTTCACGCGGGTAGGGTGGACACATTTCCCAAATAATTAGCCAATCAGAAACGAGTAAGTGAATTTTTCTGGGGTGGCCTCCGCCCTGCTTGTTTGAAGCTTCGCCGCCATCGCTGCCGTCTACACGCTTGTAGGGTGGGGAAAGTAGCGACAAAATGGCAACTCCAGGACAGAAGGAGAGAGAGGCAGAGCTTCACTCAGTCCTCAGAGCTGCAAACCTGTTAGACTACTACCCTAGCTTCCTCGAACAAGGAGGAGACGATGTACAACAGTTCTGCGATGCGAGCGAAGATGAGTTTAAAGAAATCGTCGCGTTGGTTGGCATGTCGACGAAGCCACTTCACACTCGAAGGCTGCAGAAAGCTTTGGTGGAATGGAAAAGCAAACGAGGCAATTCTCCGGAGCGAATCAGTCCCGGATCTTGGATGGACAAGTGGACTTCTTCGCCTCAAGTCAATCGAACTCCTCAGTCAAGCACTTCATCGCCTGTTACTACTGCAACAACGTCGACAAGTGCTGGAAGAAAGCGGCGAAGCAGCTCGGGTGCCGGCAAAGGCGGTCCAGAGAAACGAGTTGTGGAGCTGAAGCTCCCGCCGATGGAGGTCATTATCGACTGGGAAAAACTCGATCCTGAACGACAGCAGTTGATCCGAGATCATTCGCGAATTTACGGTCGAGATATCAAGAAGCGCAAGACTAATACTCTGAACTCACACGAACAAATGATCAATGAAGCCGCAGCACAGCTTTGTCTTCGAGATCCGACACTTCTAGTTCGACGTGATGAATTGTTTACAATGGCCAGGCGAGTTGTTCGTGACAGTGGTTTCACCTTTGTGCATGGTCACTCAAGATCCAAGTTTGTCTCCGAATCAGACGACGAAATGGATGGTTAGTGATTCACGATAATTTAGTCTGCAAAATGTGCAAAATCGTTTTTGTCAACATCTTGAGGTTAGTTACCTTTGATGTTGGATGAAATCTGATATGACAAGTGGCTGTTGACATCCTATAAGGTTTTCCTTCTTTTTAATCATTCAGAAGCATATAGTCATATGCCTCTGCTTCATTTTATCATCATAATTATTATTTTACTATTACTATCACTATTGTTATGATCAGAATATACCACACAGGTGTGCTTTTTACTTGCACTGATTGGCCAGATTATTAGTTGATCAGGAAATACTATTTACCGCTGCACAGCCAAAGAGACAAAATCACACATGAGCGATTTATTTTCGACCATTTATGTTATATCAACAGGAATAAACTAATTTTTTTGGTTTCTGTGTGGTATATATAGGTCAATTATTTACCTCATCCAATCACCTCATAGCTTGGCAAATAGCTAAATAATTTTTTATTGGGGTATTGTTTATGTTTGTGTCAATAAATGTTATTTCACTTTCTTGATATGTTATTAACCCTTTCAATCCTGAGAGTAATTTATCTTTACAATATCACCCCAGAGACACACATTAGGTCTCAAGAGTAGAGGGAAACATCACCCACCAAAGAAGCTCTTGAATTTGTTTTTAACACTCCTTGTCAGCTTGATGTTGTATTGATATTGTGCTGAGAAATTTTGTCTTTCTGATTACTCGTGGGCTTGAAGGGTCAAAGTACCATTTTGGTTATTGTGTTCGCTTAGGATAAAATGTCCTCTCCTCCCCCATCCTCCCCCCTCTTCCCAATAGCTGAAACAGGGTACCTACAGATGTTTGGTTTTTGAGGTGTGTTTCCTGTATCAGTTTGTTTCAATAATACTGGTGAATTTTCATTGATACTCATAACATTTAGGGATGTAATTTGTTTTTTTCAGGCCACCAATTTACATTTGTATTGGTCTTATTGTTTCCAACAGGTGCAAAAAAGACTCAAGTATCTCAGGCAAACAAACTCAAAAGAGAGGAGCGATTGACTGAAATTGATGATCTTATGCTGAACAACAAAGAATTACAAGAGCAAATAGTGCAGAAACTGGATGAAGCAAGATCATTGAATGCAACTGCAGAGGTTAGGTATTTCTTTTATTCACTTCTACTTGTAAGGTGTGGTATGTACACAAGTCTCACTACCGGCTCACCCAGCCAGAGCTTAAACTGGTTTCCTCATCATGTAGTGACCAAGAGTTTCATTCCCCTTCTCCTGCCACTCTGCTAGTCTTTCCTAAGGTTTCTCCCCCCCAGGCATTTCACCAGACTTCACCAAAAACTTGCTGGTACCGATTTTTAATTCTGGGTGGAGAGAAGCATTGTGGAAGTAAAGTGTTTTGCCCACCTCTCAACCTGGAGTCCAGCACACTAGCCATCAGGTTACCATGTCTCCTCTTAGTCACACTTTCATGTATAAGCCTACCATTGCACCAACAACCTTTCATGGAATAAAATACTTGTGTAATGATAATGTGGTCTTGGTAACTTGTGGTTGATGTAGTTTACATTTTTGTCAGGATTCATCATCTGTTGTGTATCTTTTATCTCAGATAGATGAGCTTCAGTCTGACCTCAATAAGCTGCAGAGCCAACAAATTTCACTACAGATGGAACACAAAGAGTTGAAGAAAAAACAGCGACGATCAGAAAGATATTACACAAACAAACAGACCAAGGACTCTGGATCACAGGGCAACAGTGTTCAGGAAGAGGATGTGGACATGGTTGGTGATGTAACATTACAGGGTGACCTTTCAGCAGATGACCCCTCTGAAGAAGGTATTTGAAGTAAACCAAGAATATTGTATTTCCTCAAATAAGCACCCAGGTGCTTTTAAGGAGAGGGGCCCCTAATCTAGGGGGTATGCTTGTTAAGAGATTGTTAAATTGAAGCTCGAAAATTTATAACGAGTGATTGAAGAATTGTATTTATAATCATCTGCAAGGAGAATTAGGTTTAAGATCTTAAGATTTTAAGTGTAAGTCTTTGATTTGTCAGGTCTTCATCCTGAGAATACAGAGGAGACACAGGTTACAACGGTTGAACAGTCCAGGACAGTGACAGTACCAGAAGCTGTGGTCACCCAGATATTACCACCAGCTACAGGTAGAACTAATGAGCAGATTTTTTTGTGAAATTGCATTTGTAATCTTGAAGAAAATGTGCTCTGATTGGCCAAGGATGGTGTCACATGTACCATTGTCACCAATGTAGAGGTCATTCTAATGCATCAAAAAATGGTCCCAGATCAAAGTAGACCAATAATCTGAGTCACTTTCACAATCTTGGAAAGCAACAAACATTGTAGCATAGGACATGTATGTTCTTCTGCCTGCATACAACTATCATGGTACTCATTGATTTGTCTTGTGGAAGGTATCCCAACAACATCAAGCAGTGCTACAATCAATCTTCCTCAGCGTCAAGAAGCACTGAACCCAGAGGAGGAGTCGTCAGTAAGGGCTTTGTACACTGCTTTTATGCCGCAGCACCTACAGGTAAAAACCCATGTACAGGTGTGTTGCGATTGAAATAATTTTCTTCTGTTTGATTATTTCAAACAGATCAAATTTTCTTTTCAATGTTTCAAATCAGTTATCATAATTCAACCTTGGATAAATTAGTGAGAAAAATTTTAGGTTCATTTAAATAAAATCTTGAAGCTCAACACTCTAGCTTATTAAAGTTAGTTTTTGATTATTGTTAAAATTGCTGATGCTTGGACTACTCCACTCCTTGGACTACATGGGAAAATGAAACGAGTTTGATATACCATAATCAAGGTAGCTGGTAGTTAACGACTGAAAAAATGGGGTCTAATCAAGAGAAATTTGATTTTGTCTATGGAGTTCAAGTTAGTCAAGTTAATGGGGTTTTCTGTCGTCTGAATCAGTAAAGAAAGCAAAGAGAACAAAGAATTTACCAGTAGAATTTTTATTGTTTTTTTTGCCATTTTGTAATTACATTACATCAGTAGAAATAAAAGGAATTACTGGTATGTATATTTTAATATGATGAAACTGAAAATTAAACATGTGGTAAGGGAACCGGAAGAGGAACTAAGATGTCTATGTGGGCTACAGGCACCTCGTATTTTGCAAAGTGAGCTGTAAGTTCTGTGGGATAATAAAGGTACAGTAACGTACCAAAAAGATAAACTTAATATGCAGGTACACTGTATTTAAGGTATTCCTCCCCAAATGTTTGTTCAACAGACTGAAGTTGTCCAGCAAGTTCAACAGCAAGGGGAAGGAGGCCACATAATACCTGCATATCCATCTGCACTTGTCAGTGCTGCTGTGTCATCAGATCCCACGATCAATGCTTTACTGAGTCTTGGTGCTAAGGATAAGGTTCTGCTGCCAGGGATGTTGCCACCTGGTGTGTCTGTGGCTACAGTTCCAGTGACCACAGGTGTGGCTGTTGCAACAACAAGCATGACACCTAATATCACTGTGGTGATGCCTGGTCAGCCAATGACAGGCAATGTTCCTTGGTCCTAACCTGGCTGTGGCTAACAAGCTCTTCCAGCAAGAAGCTTAAAATGTATTTACAGCACTGGCTGTAAATGTATCTTAAAATAGTGACTTGAAAAGTGACTAAATAACCAGCATGTGATTTTGTAAGTAGTGTGCAACATGTTTCAGTACCCCCTAACATGGGTGGGAGAAGTCAAACATTTCTTTTTCTGTGCAGTTGTTTTTAATCAAGTGTTGGGAGGATTTGTTGCCTCCAGCCTCCTTGTTAAGACTTAGAAATCTAATATGTCATTACTTCAGCAGTTTCTCCCTGCCTACTCCTTAAAGGCAGGAGACTAATCCACAGTAAAGTACCCTTAGTGTTTGCCCAGGTACCTATGACAGTTACAATCAGCAGGTTATAGAACAGAACGGTATCTGTTCAATTTATATGCACTGTACTCACAGGAAACTGTGCAGCTCTAGATAATAGGTTGATGATAAGATGTTGAGTGGTGTAGTTTTTTGTTTGTTTGTTTGTTTTTTTTTACCAGCCGGTTACCTTTGTACAGTTTAGTGTTAGTGGTCAGGTTGGAAAAATTCTAAAAAAATTGATGGTTGACAAAAAGGGGGCCAGTTCCAGGTACAAGTAGTTAGTGAGATGGTGATTAGATATAGTGTTTTGACAAGAAAACATATTCAGAAGTAACTTTGACAATGTCATTTGATTTATGGCAAATAAAAGTTGTGATGGACCTAGTCTTTAATGTTATCTAATTTAAGTAATTTTAGTAATTGATTGTTTAGGTTGATTTTCTTGGAAAGAGCAGAGAGAGATATCCATGTTCTTCCATACTTTATTATGCAAACAGTTTTTTGAGAAACAAAACAATGGCAAAAACAATTGAATACATTTGGGACTAATGCCTTACAATAAGGTTATACTTACTAATGAGGTTATACGGAAAGTTTTCCGAGAACAGTCCTTTAAAGAGTGGCTGGCATCTACATTGTGATTTCCCCTTACAATATCGCTTACCATATTGAGGTCACAAGAAAGAAGGAAAACATCACCAAATAAAGAAGTTCTTGATTATTAAACAAATTCTCCTTGTAAGATCTGAGCAAATGTGTAGAGAACAGTATGGAGAAAAAGGATACTGATGTTAGGGTGTCAAGGGTGAAAGGATTGTTGTCAGTTGTGATAGACATTACGACAACCTCGTGAATATATATATTCAGGGTCAGCCAGAGCATTGTGTCTGTTGAAGTTCAGTCTACTGTTTGTCTGTAGAAGTCTGGGTCACTTTTGTTATGAATATTTTTAAGAGGCAAGGGCCCATTTCAATCAACAATTACTTAATCGACACTTAATTTACTAATCTTTTAATGTGAAGAAGCTGAAAATTTCTTAGAAAGCAGAGAAAAAGGCCTTTATGAGCAAGACAGGAAGAATAGTTACAAAGATACGACGAGACAAAAACTTACCAAAGGTTGCGGGAGATACTCAAACGCACAAACAGATGCCGGGAGGGGATTTAGATTGAAGCAAAAATAAATTAAAGCACTCGGCGTGATACAGGAAATATATAATAGGGCGGTATAATTTAAATAAAGCGCGAAAGTAAAAAAAAAAAAAATGAAAAAAAAAAACCGGAAAAACCATTAAAAAACGTTACCTGTGTTATCGACGTGACTTAACTTCCAGAGCTTGGTCGCCCAGATTCCCCCAGGTCGTTCAGTCCGGGTCGCTCGCGGTCACTTCTTTCTGGGTGCCTGCTTGTGATTTAAGGGAGTTCGTTCGACTTCGGTGGTTCCTTTGCTGCACCGCCTGTAATATAAGCTTCACTTCAGTGCCCAAGTTAAAAAAATTCATCCCGAAATTCAGCTTAAAAGATAAATTTTGAATACTAGTCGTTCTCCAAATTCTGTGGTTATTTAGCCATGACATGTAAAGGAGGATCAGTCGAATGTAAAAAGTGCGCTGCTTCCACGAAGACTTTTTGGCTCTCAATGCTGAAGGAACATCGAACCTTTTCCATTCTTTTGTTTATCTAACATTCGAATGAACTAAACTGTCTCAAAACTAGCTTCTTCAAGAGAAGTTCAGAAGGCCCAGAGGGACATGATTTAATGAGGCTATGTTACCCAAATGCAGTGAACAAGAGTGTTAACGTGACAATTAAATTATGGTTAAAAAAGAAGGAAAATACTAAAATTATACAAGCAGTAACTGACACAACTCAAACATTAGAAAATTCAGACAAAAACGAAGTAAAATATAATAAATGAGCGAACAAACAGAATTCAGCTGCGCAGTATAAAAGTGAACTCCCTTGAAAAATTTTTGTGAGGAAAACTATAACTTGCCACCTCTCTTGATAAATTTAAAAAAGTCTTTCTTTGTAAATGATTTGCCAGGATTGCCTGTGTAATTTTTTTTATATTTTAACTTATTGATAAGATTTATTGAGGTCATTGAGTTCTTTTTTCCAAAAGAAACGTCATCGGGACATAATTTCTGTAGCTTGAAATATATCAACTAATTCTTTTGGCGTATGGTACAAAATATGACAACAAACAATGTATCTTTTTCAAAGTTTAAATGTAAACCGCTTTTCAAATATCAGCGCATACGCGCGTTGCTTGCTCTAGACACGCCTTGATAGCGTGCGTTGAGCTGATATAAAATTGTAGCGTCGCTCACGTCTAGGGTAAAAAGGTCAGCTGGGAGGAACTTCGATGATCCACAATTTCTTGCAAAACAACTTATTACGGTTATTAGAAGCATCAAAAACCAGACAGATGTTTTTAGATTGAATTCCGCAGATGAAATTAAAAATAGTTTTTTGACCAAGTGGGAACGCCGGTACTGCAAAATTAAAATTGAATCATTCTTTAGAATTGACGAACTCAACTGGTCTGTTTGCACAGTTGTGGATTTACAAGGTGTGTCTGGGAATGATATAGAGAACCGAATATCTCAGCATTCCTGTATTTGCTTATCGCGAAATTTTGATGTTAATGATACACCTTTGTAACCTTCATAACACTGCAGATGGATGTATTTAATTGCGGTACTTTAATATATCAAGTTTCACTCAAAATGAGGGCGTTTCAAAGATTCCGTATCCTGAGAAAGGGTTACCGCAATTGTGCATAATTCAGTGAAAAGCTTGAATGTCATGTTTTGCAATAGCTTGCCATTGAGGGTAAGCTATAATAAGGCTCATAACTGTCTCATGAAGTAAAAATGATGGTCTTTTTCATACGGTTGGATCATAACAACAAGACTGATTTATAATACCTTTAAGCCACTATAATGCACAGAGGCTATTGAAAAAAGATTATCTCCCTCAGTGATATCTTAAACACGAAGTTGTTACGTCATCAGAGGTATGATAAACCCAAATTTCCGAATTTCACAATTCTGTGACACCAATGAGTGGTTAAAAATAGGTTAAAATTAATTATCTATTTTAAGTTCATTAATACAATAATTTTCATACCAAAGCCTTCATTCTATAGAGTTTCCTCCTCACTTTTCATTGATATATTTTCAAAAAAATTAATATCAGTTGGTGAAGGTAATCTTTGCAATCTGTTCACCCTATACCCAGTATGGTGATCAAAAGCCGCAAATATAATGAACAGCTTTGTGGAGGGTGGGTTCAAGGCAAGTCACGTCGGTACCTCAAATTAATTCCTTCAGTTGATGGGCCATCCGCTCATACTCTAATCTTACCTTTTTGGATCATTTCTCACTTATCAAATGAATTAACCTTTTCGTACGGTTGCGGTTAAAATAAATCCGTGGGCTAACAGACCCATTTCCCATTCGCAAGTGGTTCAAAAACAAGAACAGACCCTTTGCAAAACGTACTTAAAAGTATTCATAACATTTTGAAATTCATGGTCATGTTATTCTATATCATAACCAGAAATAAACACTGTAATAACACCTGCAATATCAAAGCTCAGTTGTTAATTTACTTTCGTTTTCACGAAGTTTCTGATTTTGCTATGTGAAAACGTGTCGTGTTTTGGTGTGATTTTTAACATGCGGCCAAAATAGTAGGCTCATGAAGACACTGATGTGAACATTTTTTGCGTAGGACATGATCGTACTAATTTCATTCATACACGCAGTTTGAGACTTTTGACCTGATACTTGAAAGATAGACGACCCACAACAGTGGGATAGTGTATATTTTTTTCTTTAAATAAGCCCACATCGAGATCGTGCACGTCAGAAAAAGGACAAAGTTTGCCATGATTATCTATCTACGAAAGCTGGGCGAGCTTCAATTTGTGGAAATAAGATACAACTTGGGGTATGCAAATTCAATTTCCCGTAGGTAAATGAAAAGTAGACGATAAAGCATTTAATTAAACTGCATGTTTAAGAACTGCTAAAAAAAGTTACCCACACATAGAATGGTATTTGACGGGCACAACAATTCCTGCGTTCATAAACCCCCTGATTAAAAACAAACGAGCGGAAATGGGGCACTGCGTAAATATTCCCAGCCACAAAAATATGTTTCCCCGGTGAATATTTTTTCTTACGGGCACATGTGCAGAATTGGATTATCAAGTAGAAAAAGGGACCATGCTCTCTTGCCTGGAACTTTTCAATCACTGAAAGAAGAAAAAAAATACATCTTTCCCTCAGGACCATAATTTCGTCTGGGAATGTGAAAAATCCATCCTGTAATGACTCGAATTTCTTTTTAAGTCCAAAAACCCTCTACGTGTTGTTATGACTTAAAATTCCATCAAGTAATTTGATTTTGAAAAATTGCCAAGGCCCTCTTCAATTGTTATTGAGACGGTAGGTGAGGTGCATCACTCGCTCCTTGAACAAACATTGGTAATATGTAACGCCATCGCCGATATCCTATTACCGCTCAAAACTCTTCGTGTCCCCTTACAAATTGTTTTTTAACAATACGTCCTTGTAACTAAACATTTGTTATTCAATGATCATGGCATGCTTTTATTGTGGCGGCCCATTCTATAGTCTGAATTATTTTGGAGAAGTGGAAGTGAAACGTGGTCCCTAAACTTCAAATGTGGGCTGCAGCCTTGTAGACTTTCAGACCATGCAAGGAATCTTGCCTTGTATCAATGAACTTTTGACTGCTGAGTGGTTGGCGGATTACGTTATACATTATTACGCCCACCTAAGCCGGACAGTTAGTCAATCAAGCACGAAAACTGATCTCCACGATTTGTCTTTAAAAAGAGATTCCTTGTTCATTGACCACTCAGTGTTAGAAGAGGAACTCAACACACGAGAGACTCAAGGTAACTTGCTCCGGAGGGATCCAAGATTTAAGACATGGCCAACTTTCAAGTTTTGCTTCTGACTATTGTGGCGTGCACTGTGATACTCCAGGCCAAAGGCCTTGATCTGTACCGCAGAAGATTTTATGGTGAGTTCAGTTGTTATACCTATAGATGTTAAAGTGACGCGAAAAAAATGGTCGTCAGCTTCTGCAGCTGGAGTTTAGAGTCATTTGCTTGTATCGGAAAATCTACTGTCATGTAAAGGTGATGTGATCAGTTGGTCAATTGCTGTCATCTGCTTGGTAATGTATTGATTGTCCCTTTCATTGATTCTCCTCGCGGTCTTTGTCGTTCACAGACGTGCCAATGAGAAGGTATGATGCACGCGATCTTTATGGTAAGTACGCTGGTGGCTTATGTATCTACAAGAAGTTGTTCAGTGAGACTGGTTAACTCCTGTCATCTGTTATCGCATAAAATGTATCTCATAGCATCTTGTTCTCTCATAACCAACTTGTTCTCTGTCGTTTTCAGACGCGCCTTTGAGAACAGATGATGCGATAGACCTTTATGGTGAGTGGCTGTGTGTATTTAGTCGTTCAGGGAGAGTTTTAACAGCACTGGGAAACAGAAAATTCAGAGACAACTCCTCTATTGTCTACTCCGTATTCTCGATATCTTCTACAGTTTTTTGTCCTTTAATTCGCACTGTTGATCAAAAAGAAATTTCTCTGAGATTTAGATGCATTCTTATGCCAAAAAGGAACGAGAACAGCGAAAATCATAAACTAGGGAAATTTTTAGATTTGTTAGCAAAGTCTCAATGCTAAAATTGGTAGACAGGGCTGAAAATTGATGTTAAGACCAAGTAGGAGGGCAAGGATCGTTGAACCAAAAACCATCTAGTATACAAGTTTGCATGCTTCTTAAATGTTTAACTGAATTTGAATTCTTTCATCTGCTAATTCTAACAAAGAACATCTCCTTTAGTATAAAAGTTCGCGTATAGATTGAAAACAAACTCTAAGCCTTGTCCGCCACTTGTTTTGATCACGTTTTAGTGTGATACATGATCTGTAACTGCACGATTTCTATAAAATATGCAATGCGTTCCCGACATACATTGCACTCGTTTTGACGGTAAAGAACTAGGACACGAAAGTTTAAAGCATTTTTGCATGATGTAATCACTACAAATTGAACTTTAGGTGAAGTTCGTTTTAAGTGTTGTAACTCCAAACCCAGCGTGAGCAAAACAACCGACCAGAACAAAGGAGAATGACACAAAACCCAATCGGAACTCAAGGGAAGAACAAAAAAAACTGCCTTAAGCGCGAGAATTCGTTCTGATTGGTTGCTAGTTTGGCGCGAGTTTCCAGAGCAATTGGCGGGGCTGATTCGGGAAATGACCCGCCAAAGTCCCTCTCGGGAGGAGCGAAGACCGGACCCAAGAAAATGGCGGAAATCGAGAACCTCAGTGCAATTGCAGACAAACTCCCTATTCGTGGCACTTTTTCACAGCTAATCTTCCAAATACCATTACGGGATATGTTATTCCTTCCACAAAATACTACTAATATTACCTTTTGTTCATTGATAATTTGGTAATGTATGGTCAAGTTACATGTTCAACTTTTTCAGAGAGCAAACCTTCTAAGCGAAGAATCCCCTCTTTAGTTAGATAACGCTAACAAGATGCAAAAAACGTGGTCTTTTTCGGAGTCTTGTACGCGGCATCCCACCAAACGGCTTCAAAGAAGGCCACACCAACGGGGCTTAAGGCGCGACTCTGGTTGTTAGAACAATACCCTTCGCAGATAGAGCACTTGATAACAAATCTTTCATAATTATCTGCAGAGAGAGGGACTACGCCATGTGTGGATGAGAACCCTGGCTATTGCAGAATGTTTCATAGAATGTGCATAATAACCAACAATGATAAATTTGTGAACGTGAAAAATCGCGAAAGATTCGTGTACGATGTATGCCCGCGAACTTGTGGAGTGTGTGGGAAGAAATAAAAGGGTGAGCAGAAGATCTCATTTAACAATTCATCCCTTTACAACCTGACATCAGTATGCATATTCTCCATACTTTTCTCTCTACATTTCTCAAGGTGCTGCTAAGGGGAATCTCCTTAACAATCCAGAGCTTCTTTAGTCCAAATTTAGATCTTTATTCTCATGACCTTAATGTTTGATTCCGGAGTGATACTGTTGCGAGAAATTCGATGCTTATCACTCTTGGGGATTTTGCGTGTTACATGGTATTCTCTGGGGTTTTGCCGTCGGTTTTAACTATGTCTGAGAATAAAACCCGTAAGCATAATTGCAAACCAAAAGTGCAATAAGCGATAGTTGCGTACTCGTGACCTAATATGGTGACAGAGTGTTAACTTGTGGATCGTGCATGTGTGCCAAACAGAATTGGTGGCATCAAATTGGGGGATCAAGTTTCTGAAGACAATTTGGTTTCATCAACTGAGTTGATAATGTAAATTGGCCAAAATGAAGAGTTCCAAAGGTGACATTTTGAACATTAACCCATCGTCAGAGATGGATAACGCTCGAAACGTCAGCTTTGGACACTTTGGCCAACTTATATTATCCACTCAGTTGATAAAACTAATTTATTTGACATACATATTTGCTAGTAAACTAATTGGTAATTACCATCACTTTCTTCCTCCTCTGACTGTTATCATTTGCTTCATTGTATGCATATTAGCTAATTTTGTGATTGCTACACTAAGTTGTTTTGTTGCCCCTCTCCTTCTTCTCGACTCCCAGCTCTTATTTTTTTCTTTTGTTTTTCGAACAGAATACATGAAGAGTGGACAGATCGGGATAACGCTAGCTTTTCTTCGCTATTTGAAACAGAGAATTAAACTTTGTATCACTTATTAAATCTGCGACAATTTTTTTGACATAATAAACCAAACTATAAGAAAATTGAATATACTCGTTCTATGAGAGTTCTATTAATGGCTGGAAATTGTATAGCGTTTTTATATACACATAGACTGCGGGTTTGTGGATATTTTAAGGCAACATCAACGTATTTTTTCATGAGAAAAACTCAACCGGTATGCCAGTGACCTCTACGTAATATTCTGGTGTGCTAAGTTCTGGAGCGACAAGGTAGCTCTAGACAGCGAATCGTTAATTCTTTTGATGCATCATCACCCTTTCAGTTTCTGATTACTAAAAATGATTCAATTCCTTAGACCCAGGTTCTTTTTGTCTTCGACAAAAAATCAATACGAGGAACTTCAAAGAAAGATGTAATATACTTAGATTTTAATGATTTTTAGAATTTCCTCTGTTCCATAAACGTAATATTGTGACCTCGCAGAGATAGGAACCATTTTAAAAGAGAAAACAACGATGTTGTCATGGTACCCAGATAATTCAAGATGGCGCCTTTACTTTTCATGAGACCAAACTCAACTTTCCTCTCAGATAAAAGTATTTTTTATAGAGAACTCGTTTTTATTTTATGCTGGAAGTTTAAAAATTAGTTTTACGAAGCTTACTTTACATGCGAGTGATAGCTGCATTCGGCACGGTTTTGTTGAAAGGTGTGTCGTCAAATCTTTCTTTCGTTTCAGTATCTTACTACTATACATAACAAACAGAACGTTAATTATCTCCTTGTGCAAACGATTTATCTTCTCGTGAGAGATAACATCGACTTCTCAGAAAAAGCTTTCTATACATGCACAGCCACTTCATATCTTCTGTTTTTCAAATCATCGGCATTGATGAGTCAGTGTAACTTCCAAAAGCTGTGCCTGATACCAGCAGAACTCACCGAGTTAGACTAAGAAAATTTCCTTGTCCGAAAATTTTGCTAAATAGCCGTTGGAAAACCATTAGCTGGTAACAACTTCCAAAAATAAACCAAATGATAATAATAATAATAATAATAATAATAATAATAATAATAATAACGATAATAAAATAATTAAAAGTTCAATTTACTACCGACAAAAAAGAAATAGGGCGTCTAATGAAAGTAACTCGAGCTCAACTTTATATATATTTTTTCATTTACAATGTTCAGAAAAAAACTCCACGATGGAAATATAGCATTTTAAATACATCTTTGTTTGCACCATTAAATCAGTCTAGCTGACTTCACTGATACATTAAACGACAAGACAGTTGTTTTGTTTCGTTCGATGGCAATGGACACACCCTAAAGTTTACGTTCGTTAGTTCGTTAGTGCTGTTTCAAATGTTAGCGCTATAAAACTCTTCCCGTGAGGGAAACCGCACCTCTCTAATTGTATATCTGAGACCGAAGAACGACACATTATGTCGAGAAATTATTTAATTATGTCAATAGAAAGATCATGTTTGGTCTGACCATACTGCAATGATATTGAACTTTCTTCGAATCGATTTGGAGGAAGGTACTTACAAAACATCGGGAATTCTTGCCATAACTCTTTCGCACTCTGACCATTACAGCAACAATATGTCGGTCAAGAACACTCTTTTCTTCTTCCATTAGCTCCTGACCGTAGCCCTGCTAAATGATTGTCTTGGCATGCCCATGATTGAAATTAATGCAACTTTACTTGAAATAACTGCCACGCGAAACAAGTGGCAAGAAATCCTAAAAGAAGTGTCAATCTTTATTGTTGAACACCAGATTCAGGAAGAAAAACAACCATTTTAAGAACTTGCAGAATAACTCATTTCTATCAGCTTACATAAGCTTACCCTTGGGTATAAGCACAACATTTTTGATGTTTCTAAATGAATTGAAAAGCATCTTCGTTTCGCGGAAGCTTCTGCAGTCACATAAACATTAATGAGATATTTGTCAACGAAAAATGGCCATATTTTTTCTATCTTCCCTGCAAAGGAGAACTTTTTACAAGACAAAAAAATCACTGTAAAGTAAAATCTTCTGGGAGAAAACCTACACTCGTAGTTGCAGTGGCTTGGAACATTTTCCAAGAGAGTATCGTGAATGATCCTGGACTACTTTGGGTTTGCTTTACTTCGCCTTTTGATTGGTCCAGAAAACTTGTCCCACCCTCTCAACCAATTAAATGCAAAAGTAAAACAAATCCAAACTTCGTCACTGGTGTTTTCCCACGCATAAAGCAGGTCGCTGAGTTCTCATTGGTTAATGATGATGTTGCTCTTTTTTTATTGGTAGTTGTGATCACCTTGGTTTTGGTTTTATGACTCTCAATTGAAAACGGCTTTAAATGGAGTTGTTTTGACCAATAGTGATACCTCGCAGATGCAAATTCTTTCTAATAGAGCGAAACAAACTCACAGCAGCGAGATACGATGAAAAGTTATTCTCGTGTTCTATACTCTAAGTGACTTCAAATAAATTCTAGGAGGAAGAAAACCAATCGTTTGAATTGTAGTAATAAACACAAATAGATTTCTATAAATGAAATATTTTAAGACTCTTTACATTTTGTTAAGTGAAGCACAGTCTTTCAATCTCTATTCCAAACTCTTCACCGCTGTCTCCAATGTCATAAGCTGCTATGTCCACAATGGGAAGGCGGTGTGGTTTGGGGGTGTCCACTTCTAGTACCGTGTGGTGCCATTTTCCATCTTTGACCTGAAAATATCCTCATAAACGAGCAAAAAAAATCAATAACCTGCAAATTAAGCAAAATATTTATCACTGCTCCGAGTGATGGGATTTGTAAGATCGTGATTTGCTATTAAGTATTGAGATCTGTGTCCTAGTGAACAGCTCTCAGGTCTAATAAATTAACCATCTCCTGGGGCTGTGAACGAGATATCTTGTGACAGGATCTGACGAAGGATTATAGAAAAGTGAAAAGGACCAAGGACCCAGGGTTGCTTTTTTTTCGTTGCCATTAACGATATTTTAAGCCCCAACAATGAAGCGCTCGATAAAGTCATTGAAACTGATTTTATAGTTTACATGTAAGCGCAATGAGACTTGAAACGCGCACATGAAAACATTATTATTATTGTTGTTATTACCATCATTATTACTATTATCATTGCTATTATTATTATAATCGTTATTTTTGTCAATCTAGCTGCTTACCGCACAATCATCCAGGATGACCTTGGGCTTAAACTTATTTGAAGACTCTGCGTGCATTTCAACTCCATTGTCAGCCTTAATCTTGACAGATTTGGAAAATTCGTTTTTCTCATCGCTCCAGGCCACCGAGTCTTTACAATTGTATATGATCCTCTGCCTGGCGCGGTCACTCAGCAAGCGGAGAAATTCTAGTTGGCTTGGTTCGCTGACATATTCAATCTACAGCAAAATTAAATCAGGAGTTTCAGTGTTAATCAAGACTGTAATAAAATTCTAGAACGTGATCGGCTATCACCAAACTCGCGATTTACTAAAAAACTCAAATTCGCAATCATCCGATTTTGTTAATCACTCGAATGTTTTCAGACCGAATTGGACGCCATTTGGTCCTATTGCTGTTTAAAAAAAGCACTTTTTAATATTTAATCATAAAGATATTTTTAAAATCATTATTTGTTTTCGTAACATAAACAAAAAGTAGCATGGCTTTTGCAGAAATCTATGTACAGGTTCGTCTAAAAAGTTGAGGCTTACAGCTTAAGTTACCATTAATTATCAAATCATTATTATCTCCCATAACATTCAATCAAAGTAGAATAATAATCTCGTACCCAGATCTTACCGTATAACTGTAACCGCTTGGCCGTGAAAGGTCTGGGTACGAGACAAGGAGAATAATTGTGTTGTACGATCCTCTCCGGGTGAGAATAGACATGAGAAAGACTGTTGTCTGTGGTAATAGTTTGCTCTAGGCATTCAGTTAGAAAAACGAAGCTCGATTGTAACCTGAAGGGCGCGATATTTGCAGAGGAAGCTTGGGACGAGTCGGTCACTACTTCGCCCCATTATACTAACCGAACACCTGTAACAGGTCACTGTAGTCGTGACTGACGTTTCGAAAACCTAAAGGACTGCTATCAGCAGAGTCAAGCGAAAACGTCAAAAAATGAATCGTAAAGCTCTGGCTCTGGCACATAGGAGTTAGCAATATTGTGATTAAGAACAAAATATCATAGGAAAAGAAAAACGACTTTTCTTTCCTCTTTGCAGCTCTCTCAGACTGCAAAACACTACCTACATTTTTAAGCATGCGCAGATCCTTTCCTAACCATTTGTAACCATCAGCACCAGTGAACCATTTCTTTTTTTCAGTTGTGAAGGTCTAAATAAAACACAGCAGTATAGTAAAGTAGCCAATTAGGAAAGAAGAATCTAGGGCCACGTGACAACTTGCAGCCAATCAGACTGTATATTGCTTCAAAAACAGCGAGTTAAGTACAAAAGAGTATTTATGCTCCGAAACTGAACCATCGTTATTAACGTTTTCTAGTTTTAACACCGAGTGTTAGATCCGATATGGCTTATTGGAATTTCTAATACGAAGTTGTAACAATTAACTTTTTTACAAACTTCCTCTTATCCTCAGCACCCCCCACCTACCCCCACCCCCCACCTACCCCCCTCCCCCCCAAACTACCCCAACACCCGTCCCTATAAGAAGCAACCCTCGGAATCCAGCGCCATAACCGTTAAGCAAAAGCGTCTTTCATAAGATCTCTTTAACCCTTTCAACCCCACGCAGGAAAGATCAAGGTGCAATTTCTTATTGCAAAGTCAATACAATATCAAGCAGTGGGGTAAGAAAGTAAAATATCAACCGAAGTGGTATAAATAGAATAACAGAGATGGTAAGCTCGGTAACAAAATATAGAAATATGTTTTTCATCTTGTCACAAACGTAGGACAAAGAAAAAATCCTGAGTCCTCATGAGCAATCGAACCTCAAATCTTTGGATTCCGCCCTCCGATGTTCTACCACTGAGCCACAGAGACTCAACGGTGAGTGAGGTCTATTATGAAGTTCATATGACATGCGTCCTGCATACTGCTAGGATCAGCGATAGCGTCATGTTTGTAGATAGAATAAGAAAGATGGAAAGTTTTAAGCTCAGTAAATAAATAGAGAAAAGTGTTTTCTCGAAAAACATCTTTCCTTAAGGTAGTATACTAGGTAGAATACCCTCTTTTACTCTTCCCCCCCCCCTCCGCCCTCAAGCAGGTTAAAGTTTAACCGTAAAGTAGCGTTCCTCATTCTGTTCAATGTATTTACATATCAATAAAGTTGCAAAAAAGCAAATTAAACCCGATGAAATTCGTACCTCACTATCACTCTTGGGGTAGAGACAAGTTGAATAAGAGGGCTGTTCGCATCGAACCCTTATGGCATCGTTAGGTAGACCATCATTAGGGTCGATCCAATAAAAACCTTCGAAGGAAAAGTAAATAATCTTAGTTTCAATCAAAATTGAAGCTATTCGATCAACTTAGAGAACATCTCAATTTTGTACTGTACAACCAAACCCAAAGTTATCATGTAAGCAATGGGAGAAAGAAAAATAGCACTAGTAATCAAAGGGAACAGAAGCCATTACCCGGAACTTCCGTCTTCCATACTTACTCTCTGAGTCAACCCTGTACCGTTTCATTTTATTTTTAGAAGCACTTCCCACGGGGTTTTTCGCGGGTGTTTACAAAATAGCCAATCATAAGAGAGCTGTGGTCCTTTATTGTTTAGGTCACATGCAGGTCGCACGAAAGTATTACAATAATGGCGAAAAGCGCGGAAAGTCAGCGTGTTTTCGCAGGAAATTAAAGAACCCCCACATATCTCAGTTCTAAAAATAAAAAGATACGGGACAAGGTTGACTCAAGGGTACAATTGATATGGAGGCTCCGGGTAATGGGCTCCTGAAGGGAACTAAATGTAGAAACACTCAAACTGCCTGATGCACAGCAAAACGAGAATATCCAATTCACGATTGGTTTTGAAGCAAAAAAAGAAAAAACTCATGCTGAATTACCTTCGACTCTCATTCTTACTCTTTATTAAAACCCCGTAAAAATATCTTATGATATCATACCGCTTGGGAGGTCAGGATATGACATGTACAAGTCTTTACAGGTCCTCGCGGGAAATATACTTGTGCCGTTTGGCTTTTTCATCATCGTAAGTTTCTTCTTTACTAGAGTGACAAAGTTTGAGAGCTGGAATGAAAAATCAGGTATAAGATGTATATTAGTAAATAACAAACTGAAAGAAAAGAGTAACAAGAACACTATCGCAGTACTTAACCTTAAACCTTAGGTATGATTGCCGTTTTATTTCTTACTACAGCATCACCGCTGAATCGAACCTCAAATTCATGAGAATAATGGAAACGATCGCTAACTAGAAAAATTTTTTTATCATTTGACAAGGAGATGAGTAAAGAAAAGCCAGGAGAGTCAGGGTGTGAAGGGTATAACCAACAAACCCTCTAACTCCCAAGATCTCATTAGTAATTCTCCTTACTGTCTACCACATAATTCTTGTGAGGTTTGTTTAGAGAATTTGCTATTGGATCAACTAATAATCCCCTAGTTAATATTTTTCTTTATTCTCATCACTTGTCTGGTTGATATTGTATTGATTTTGTAAGGAGAAATTTTGTCTTGGTTACTCATGGAAGTTAAAGGGTTTACCCAAACTTACCGGATCAATCTCCGGATCGTCAACCTTTAAACAAATGAATGACGCCATTAACATTAGATCACGTGGAAGATCAATAAAGCATGCAGAGGTCGAAAATAATTACAGACCTGGTTCTCTTATGTTTTTTCTTAAATACATTATTGTTATTTTTCATCGCCGATGGCTGGCGGCTTACAAAGTCATTTTTGTTGAGTTTTTATGAAACGAGATACAAACAAGACGAGCAGGAAAAGCGATTCCATCCAACCCGTTCGTGTAGCCAATCATAACACAGCATTGGCACCATCTTGCCGAATAAGGAAACACGTTGTTCGCCCGACATGATTTGCTTGCAAAGCATTGGTGGTTTTCGAAAATCCGTGCAATTTTTCTCTTTTTTTTCCATGAAATGATTAGTTAGGGACGAGGCAATTTCAATTACAACCAAGTACCATTAAGTGAAACAATCCTCACCAATTTTTTACTTCTATAAAGATTTACGGTCCCCGCTTTTTCGGCCGTAAGGGGTGGATCTTGCGGTGCCTCCGTCAATGATCCAAAGCCAGTGTACCCTGACGATGTCTGATAAAAAATAACAATAAATAAAGACAAAGTTAAAAAAAGTTTCATGATCTTCATAACCAGCCAGCCATGCCATCAGAGGATTTATCCTCTCTTGGCAAAACGCAGAAGTCTGAAATTCAAAAAAGAAGTTTTTTGTAATGAATACTTACCACAAGATCGCTGAGGGCAATCTGAAATTCAGAGAAAACGAAGAAACGTTAAATATGAATTCTGGGTTAAGGACAATTGCTGTTGTTAACACCTAGAGAACAGGAACAGCGCCCTAACTTCTCGGTCCCACTGCCTTAAAAGCGCCGATCAATTCGAAGCTTCAACATCCGCCACGGGCGACCCACGGGCATTTGACCGTCGTCTATGCCCGCATTGAATTGATCGACGCATTAAACCATAAATATTTCTTATATTGTATATGTCTCTCTTCCCGGTTAGAATAAGCTTTTTCAAGAAGCACAAAAAAAAAACAAAAAAAAAAATAGCAAGTGATCATCATTGATCCTAACTTACAATCAAGGGTATTATTCTATAAAATACCCTTGTACTGGACTTAAAGATTGGACGAAAGAAAACTCACCGATGGACCAGGTGATCCAGGCTCTCCAGGATCACCCTATGAACATGGAGACAGAAAATAACCAAAGAAAACAAAATGAATAAATAAATAGCAACCTTTACCTCTTACATATAATGACCCTGAATCACAATGCACAAGGCCAATAAGTTATTTTTTATTTATTGAAATAAAAATTTCAGGATATGTCGGCACAATCAATGTTCAAACATGTTGCTCTCCAGATCGTAATGATCTTCCTAAAAGTGGTACATCAGCAAAACAGTTCACCAATATTTTACACATGATTTGTGCTGAAAAATTAAATTATATCAAGCTGCTCAATTATCGAAAAGAAGAGTGATGGAAATGTGCTACACTAAATCAGATGCTGTCAATACGTGGAAAGCAATTTATTTTATACAAGACACAATCACCAATCGAATTAATAGCAGCGGAAAATGTGGTGTATAAAAAAAAATTGGTTTATGCCCTTTCGATGAAAAAACGATTACTTTTGAAGATGACGAAATTACTTACCCGTTGACCTTCCGTTCCCTGAGTAAATCAATGGCAATAAAAAGCATTTGTTAGCAGTGTATTGAATAAATACAACCACATGTAGAAATATTAAAATCATATCATAAAACCGAATGCAGGAGTTCTAAATGTAAGAGAAAGCAGCGAAGAAGTTACTCAAATCCTGATATTTTAAAATCTGCACGAGGGTTTCATTAGCAGCGGGGTGGACATTGCCTGGCTACCCTTTGCAACCTTTGTGCAAACGTCACTGAGCTGTTCACATGCATGTAACTCCCTCCAAATTGTTCAAACTGGTTGACCTCAAGGAATAACAAAGCAACATAGATTTGGTTAGACCTCAAACTGGAACTGAAAGAGCATAGGACTTCAAATAATAAGTTCCCCAGGTCGTCACAACCACCCGCTTACAATTCAATTATAAGGTACGCATTCATTTGCACCTTACTTTATGGAAACCAGCGTCTAAAGCATAGTATAATGAACTGAAGAACGCAAATTGGGCAAAAGATACTTCTTAAGAACTGTCATTTTACCTGTATTCCACGATCACCCTGAAAAAAGAAGAGGTAAAAAAGTATCGTTGTTCTCTCAAGTTGTTAATAAATATTCCATCCCTTGCCTCGTTTGACACCCCGCTTGCCCGTATAGACTATAAAAGAAAAGGGGGAGAGACTGGTACTGGGCTTGACCCAGCTGGTTTGATTATAATTTTTATTTGGGGGAAATCAAGGACAATTAGAACACTGCATTCAAGCTCATAAAAGCAGATTGAAGAACGAATGCGCAAATGGGCTGCAGCGAAAGTGACTCTATAGATACTGGCATGCATAGCAACAGGTCAAAAGGTGAAGGCAAAATCAGAGGTAACTAACCTTGAGGCGAAAAAGGGTATTATCAAAGCCCTAAGATGAGATGCTAGTCTATCGAAGTTACCCCCCCCCCTTCCCCCCTGATATTCTTTAGGTTTCCCTGTAGTTTTCGGGGGGGTGAGAGACAATGCGAGATTAAATTCATTTTCCTTATGACCCGGCCAGAGTTCGAGGGGTAAAGCAAACCAAAGGGTGGCAGGGTGCGCCTTGAGAACAAAGTTTTATCTGAAGTATAGATATATGGATAAAAGGAAAAATGCTTCTTTTTTCATCTTAAGCTTTCGTAATGCCTTAATTCTAACCGTAGGTTGATCTACGACTTCACTGGAAGTGCTAAGAATCAATCGTTTCACTTACTTTGACTCCTGATGGACCAGATGGGCCTATTGAGCCCTACAACATACGAGGAAAAGTCAATAAATGACAAGTCCACTTCCAGATATATTGCTACGTTCTGTTCGTATCTTTATTAACTTTCACAACGTACTATTCACTCATTGATACCTTAAACACCTTGGCCTAATTAGAATTTTTTTGCTAGGGATATCAGAGCGCGGCTGGCCAGAATTGATCTCTTCGCACACGCTCAAAGTTTGTTCGTTGTGTTCTTGAGTCATCGCGCACGGCCCTCATAAGGGGATCTCCTGTTTTACGTCTTTCAGTAAAAGCGCAAGCGGATGCTTACAGGAAATAATTATGAATCCAAGCTTTTTGATCCTAGGAGTTTAAAGTTGAACGTCAAGTATCACGTACCACTTCTCCTTGTTCGCCCGATATTCCAGGGATTCCCCGGTCCCCGTCAGTTCCCTGAAGAAATATTACAAAATAACAAGCACGCACTAAAATAAAAATAAGACAAACAACAGCAATTACCGGAAAATATCGGTCATGAAGGCTAATATTTTAATGTAAAAAATTGTTCCAAACTACGCCGGGCTCGGCCCTTTATGGTTAAATGAACAACATGCAAGACCATTTTTTGGGCATTTGAAAACAGCCTTTGCTTTTCGGTAAAGATACGCCATTTGAATAATGTAGGGTCGACTGAGAGCAAAGTTGGTGGACCTGTGATATTTATCATTGACTAAGCTTCACGGTGGCCTACCTGTGGTCCTTCATTTCCAGTGCTCCCCGGAGGGCCGATGTCGCCTTGAGCGCCCTGTCATAGAAAAAAGCTATTTATTTTTGGAATGATGGAAGGAAGAAAAGAAACCAAAGAGCCAAAAAAGAAAAAATTTAAGCCAGCGAATATGTTTGCGGACTGAGGGAAAAAAATTGTTCTTGCACTGAACTTCCTTCGAGGATACGACTTTGCTGTCAGTGGTTTGCGAAGATAACCCATCCGTAATTGGTTACAGTATCTGACACGTTTCATTACAGATGGACTTTACAGAATTTCCTTTTTCGTAGCATCCTGAGGAATCTCCTCCAATGAGTAAAACAAATGATAGTGGTCACCTTACCTTAGATCCTGGACTTCCCTCTGGGCCTGGATCCCCTAGTTCGCCTCTTTCTCCCTAGATTTATGTATAGGTAATAACATGATTTCGAGTGCAATTTGGTGTTAATAAGCACGAGTTAATTTTTCAAAGAGAACAAAACTGCTCTAGCCCGTAATAAAGTACATGAAAAAAGATCACACACAGTCCAGACAGAAGTAAATTTTGACAGCGCGCGCGCTATTTGTAATTTGAACTCGTGTTACAACTTTACACTCGTGTTACATGAGAATGCACTCCTTTTCAGCCGATCAGACGTGCGTAATTTTTTCATGAACATTATTATTGAAGTTATGTAAATTCTCCCTGAATTCCACGTGCATTTTGGTTGTTTCTTATCGAGTGAATTCTCCTTTTCTTCCTTATGATCTATTGGAAGGCAGACGCATAGATGACGTCACCATTTGCTTTTTTGACATACAAAAAAGAATAGAGTCTATGTTGCCGTGGGTTTGTTCAGTAATAGGTTACAGAAGACATCAAAATGTGGTAGGAACAGTGGTGACACACTCTATCGCCACTTTTATGTTAAATACAGTACTGGTATAAAAAGGATGTCATGATGGGTGGAGAGGGAAGGGGCAATGGAAGTGGCGGGGAAAGGGAGGAAGGGGAGGGGGGGTAGAACTCCAATCCAAATTTCACCAGTTCACAATTTCCAATCATATTGCCATAATTTCGCTAATGATTCTCAGTTCCAGTGATTCAACGAATGGGAAGGTTTCTGTTTTACGCCTTTCAATCTCTTTAAAAAATTTATCATTTTAATGGAAACTGTAGGTGCTACATCCAAACATTCAAGCACCAAAGTAAGGACGTAAAATTATGCACGTATAATAACTCAGTATCGTTCAAAAGTCTGGAGCAAGGGGCACCACGAAACAAAGAGTTGTGCTTGGGCCGATTATGTTCACTTCTGTTTGTATTCAAAAATAAAAGAAAGTGAAAGTAAAAAAGAGGACATTTTTACCATTGGAGGTTTTTGAAAGGAGAAAAAAATCGACAAGAATATTTACTTTTTCTCCTCTCTGGCCTTCACTTCCTTCTCCTCCAGGTCCACCCTGGTCTCCCTGAACGAAAAGATAAAATGTTTTTTCATTTAAATATTGTTTTCGTTTATAGTAATGGGCATGAATACTGGAGTACTAGCCAACAATTCCTGATTTTCTTTCTTTTATACAGAGACTGCTGTACGCCTCAGTACTAAAAGCAATGATTTATAAAAATAAGATATGTCGTAAACTTCGACCATTCAGAGTGCGCGCATTTCTATAATCACCTGGGCCGTGCTGATCAAGACCCGAATAATTTCAATAACGGGCTGTGTGCAAAAGTCGTGCGTTGCTATATCAGTTAATTCTGTATTAGCGTCAATTATGCCTCGAACAATTCAGCCCTTAAAGAGCCTTACATGATCTCATGATACTGCCAATGCATTAGTCTCGTCAGTGGAACCTTCCACCAAGTGACATAGCACTAATTATGAGCCAAATATTTCAATGGTTTCACTCACTTGATCTCCGTCTTCTCCCGTAGTTCCTCTTGGCCCTTCTGGTCCAGGGTTTCCCTATGAACAGCATAAAAAAATTCTAACTTGATATAAATGGTTCTTTCAGAATGATGAGGCGCAAACGTATCGGTAAAATACACGTGTAGCTACTCATGATTAAGCGACAGAAACACGACCATTAGGTACGTTTCAATCGCGTCCGTTCATCAATATCTTTCATGCAATCACTTGGAGACTCTGTTGACCATATACTGGTTTTCTATTTCTGAATAAAATAAGAATAAATACTAAAATTAAATCAGCATTACATATGTCTTAAATTAATTCGAAGACCAAATACAGGAGTTCCTGCAAAAGAAGTGCTTCAGAGTAACCCCATGTTTGCAAGATTTTCCTCGAGTTACCCTTGATATCGCGATTGAACCGCGTATCGCGCGCGTCTTTCTGATCACGCCAGTATAGTGTCGTGTTTTATTGTGGATGATTCGAAACCTGCGCACTTTGAACCATTTATGCTGATCCTCAAATAGCGAGACTTTAAGTTGAAACAATGTTGTATATTAACACAAAGAGTAAATGATCTTTCTCTGAGCGAATGTGTCTACTTGTAAACCATTTTACGTGAAACGCTACTTCTATCTGGACAAGCACTACGGAAAGGATAATTTTCGGTGCAAAGCGCATGTAATTCGAGAATTAGGGTTTAAAATCGGTGAAATATGACAAATCTTGCATCAAGTTTGAACTACTCTCTGCACATTTGTGCTACTTACGTCATCACCACTGGTTCCGTCTCTGCCCTGTTCACCTTGAGACCCATCAAGACCTGGCTCTCCCTGGGCTCCCTGATCACCTTGTACGCCCATTTGACCCTGATCTCCCTGTGGTTTAAAACAAGATTTATGCTTCATTTTAAGCAGTGACATACACAAATACCATATCAGATGACATCATTAACTAAAAATTAATGATGTCACCAGATTAACTACATCATTAACTTGATAACGTCAACATTTAAATGTGACTAATTTTACGAAATCATTAAAAAAAGAACGTTATTAACTTAAGGACGCTGTCAGCCGAACGAAGCCATTTACTTAAAGACGTCATAAACTTAACAGGATCTTAAACTTAACAGGGTCTTAACTTTACGACGTCAGTAACTGAATGAATTCTGAATGTAACTCTTGACTCATCTGTCATTTTTTTTTGTACAAAGACCCTGTATCTGAATAGGGTTAAAAATTTGTCCCTCGTCGAGCTGCTGATACTTGTCCATGAGTATTTTTGCATACCTTGGGCCCTTGAAGTCCCGGTGTACCCAGCTCTCCTCTTGCACCTGCCTCACCCTATGAGAATAAATGGGTGATTGGATCAATGAAATAACGAAAGAACACATGAATCTATGTGTAAATCAACCAGTCGACCATACGACCCATTACTTGACCAATTAACTATCAATCAGTCGGTTTGTCAGACGGAGAGTCAGTCAATCAGCTAGCCAGTTGGTCCGCTGATCTACGAGTTGGTAAGTCAGTTTAACTGGTTTGTAAGTCAATCACTAAGTCGGTCAGTTGTTCAGTTGGTTTGAAATTCATCAACCACAATAAATATGTCAGTAAACATGTCACCTCAGTTATAACGTGTGAGTGAGTATCACACACTTTCGAGCTCGCCAGTTAGTTAGAAAAGAAACCGTCTCATTAAAGACACATACTTCGTTTCCAGGTCGACCTGTTGCACCTTGCATTCCATCTTGTCCTGCCATTCCCTAGAAGAAGAATACACTCACATTTAGGTGGGGCCTCCCACTGGTGGAGCAACTCTGCGTTGAGTTGTCAAAAATAATCAAGTTAAAATCTGTTGGCACGAAGGGTAATAGAGTATTGAACGTGAGGAAAACTCGGAACAGGTATGGGCTGCTTTGAAACTGGAGTTTTATGCAAGCCGCGATAGTGGTTCGTATGACGCACATGTACAACATCAAATTAATGGAGCGTTTTTCGACCGAGTGTCGTAATACCAAAAAACAACCAATCTGCCTAAAGCGCGGGAAAACGCGGGCAATCAAGTAGTGATTGGTTGTAGTTTTGCATCTGATCGGTTAAGAGAGAGGCGCGAGTTTTCTGGACCAATCATAGAACGAAGTAACGCAGAACCAATGAAATTCCTTTCGACTCTCAATCGAAAATTGCTTTATTGCTTAGTTCTTGTTTCTCGCTTCTCTTTTGAGGTAGCGTCATCATACACATTCGTCATTTTGATGGCCTCTTGTTTCACCAGTAAAGGTTTCATTTGCTGATGAGAATTTGTGCGTAACAATAGTTGAATAATGGTAACTCACGAGAGATCCACGGGCTCCATCTTTGCCGTCACTTCCAGGTTCTCCTAACTCGCCCTGAAAGAAGACAACGTACATGTAGTTGCATAAATCACCTCGTAAATGCATGTCATAAAAAAAATCCTTTTCAAAAAAATAGTCAGAGCCCAGCTACGTGATAAAGATATAATTAACTTATTAGATTAAACATAACATTTGGTTTGAAAAAAATATCGAGACTTTTAACATTCCAAGACAAACGAGAAACAAATTTTTACTGAAAGAAAGATCAAATACTAATATTAAAGTTTGAAAAAAAACAACAACAGTACACGAAAGTATCCCCACCAATTTCGAATGCCAAAGTCTGTGGACGTAACTGGCTCCTGTTGTGAGATCACGTGCAGCGCGCATGAATGCAAAAAATTATATATATTAGGGGAGGGAAGGGGGAGAAAAACTGTAGTTTGAAATATAAAAACTTAAGAAATTTTCAACACTTGATGAGAAAATCAGTGAGCAAACGAACAAAGAGGCAAGCGAACACAGTGTATCGTGTGTTCTTCTACACACCTTACTGCTACTTTTAATGAGTTGAAGTAAAGTCAACCTCCTAAAAAATCCTATATCAGTGTTTTTAAATTTCAAATTCTGGTGAAGAATGATATAACGCCCGCTCACCTTTGCTCCCTCGCTGCCAACAGCTCCTCTTGATCCAGTTGGACCAACGCTTCCCTGTAAAAATCAAACCACAAGAATCGTCCGATCCTTCTTTTTCTATTTAAGGACACAAAGAGATAACAATAGCAATTAGATTACGAGTCGTGTCATACCCGCATTCCCACAGCCCCTTGTGGTCCGGATGGTCCCGCGGGTCCTGCTGTTCCCTGAAAAAAAATTATAATAGTAACAAGTTCCTGTTGCCTTTGACCCCCACGAGTGACTTGCATAATATTTTCCTTACAATTCCACCCCTGTGACATCCATTAAGGTCATGAAAATAAAGGAAATGATCCCCAACTAAAGAAGCGCTTGATTGTTAAACAGACTCCACTTGTCAGAACCTAAGAAAGGGTATAGGGAACAGTCTAGAGAATATCAATACTGATGGTCGGGTGAAAATGGTTAACACTTACCTTGTGACGCTATCATTAAAGAATAAATGATGATAAAAAAGTGAATTTACTACTCACACTTGGTCCACCGGAGCCCGGGTCTCCAGGTGGTCCATCTTGTCCAGGGCGACCCTGGGTTAATGAAAATTTGAGTTATAATCAGAATGAATGAGAGATTTAATTCATTAACACGACATCAAAAAGGAAAGTCAACTTTTCTTGAACATGAGCATGTTAAGTCTGATCGAACCATGAACATGCAGATTTATAATTTCAGTTGAACTCAAGCTCGTGATCTCCTCCAGAAGTTCAGTTGGTATAAGAGAACGAAATAGTAAACAGCGTAATAGAAGCGGGAGAGCAACAACGAAAGAGGTTTGGGTCGGGTCGCGTAATTTATTACGTGACCCAAACCGTTGTTTTTTTACTCCTCCGCTCCTAACGCACATCGGTTAGTTAGCTGAACGCCTACATAGGACCCTTGCGAAAAGTACCCAGTTTTCCTATCCTCACTTTTGTTTCCTTTTACAGATTTTTAGGGACATTTTCATCCCCCCCCCCCCCCCCTTACATATTTTAAGCGACAGCAGTTGCTTCTTATGATTTCCTTGAAAATTTTGGGGAAAATAATTTAAATGGCGCACGGATCTCTTCGAAGTTTGACCGCTGAATCAGGAACATCTGTATAAACTCTGAACTGGCTACAACAATACAAAAGCGAAAATGTGTACCATGGCTCCTGAGGGTCCTCCATCTCCAGGCCCTCCGAAATTACCTGCCTCACCCTAGTTTCCATGAAAACGAGAAAGAGGAAACAATGTGAGAATGCTGTGTGAGTGCCCAGCGGTCAAATGAACCAGTAAATTGAAAGTGTTGTGACTTCATTTGAACTTTGTGGATCATAAACACAAAACATAATTTGTTAAACAGCAAGAACTAAGAAAGAATTTATGGTAGGTTTTCCATTTATAAATGTTTTACTAAAATTTAAGTGCTTGCTGGGTACTTAGATAATCAGAAATTCTGATTTTGTTTCACAAAGAAACTTGTTTGCCACGAAAATTAAAATAAAAAATTGAAGAAATCCGTACAAGCAAATCAAAATGAAAAGAAGGAAACCAACAGGGAAGGACTAGCCCTCTCCCCCATTCAGTCAAATAACTTTGTCTGAAGGGAAAAAACAAACTGGTAATAGAGAAAATACAAATACCTTTCTACCAGGTTGACCATTAGTGCCTGCCACTCCCTCACTCCCCATTGCCCCCTAAAAAATAACAAAGAAAAAATTCACAGAATTAATTTACTTCTCTTATTCTGCCTGATTATCTTGTATACCATGCAAGTGGTCCAGTGCCAGGTTAGGGTAAGTCCTAGCATCCTATTGGGTCTTTCCTAATGAGGGTATTTACGCTGTTCATGTGTATTGCTAGTCCTTTAGGATGGGATACTAGTCCATAGCTAGTGGCCCCCATTCCATTCCCTCAAGCAGAGATACACCTAGCCAGTCACTGCGTTTGACATAACAAGAGTGCCTTGCCTAGGAACAAAAGAAAATTACCTCACCCAATGATATAATCCAGTTTCCTTGTCATGATGCCTTCGTTTCTCTCAAATTCTCTTTGGAATGTCAAGCACTGAATGTCTTGAATTCCATTATTCTTCTTGATGGCGGAAATACGAATATAATGCTTTCTGAAGCATACTTTTCTCTGAAAATCATCACCTAGAAATGTCATCTTTTACATACCGCTGCTCCCGAAGGTCCAGGTAATCCCATGGGCCCTCGTTGGCCTTCTCCACCCTAAACAAGGTAAAGAAATAAACAATTTTTCATTTACACTAAACACAGGAGACATATCAAGAAAAAATTATGGTCAGTCGGTCAATACCTCTTCTCCACTGTCACCACGATATCCTTTGGGTCCCATGTCACCCATCGCACCCTAAAGAGCACAAATAAGTTTACAAAATTGACTGTTTATCGCTTTATCCCTTTCAAAATAACTTATTTATATCATTTTATAGAACGTGCGAAAGAATGTATGAATACGTAGACTAACTCTCACAGTTTGGCGTACTATATGAATCTAGAGGTTTCTGGAAACATAATCGTCAACGCTACCTCAGTTCCACTTGACCCTGGTCCACCAGCCGGCCCAGTCTCCCCAGAGGAGCCCTAAAAAGGGGACAGAGTCCACTCAGTAAACATTGAAGAAAAAACACGATGTACTACTTGTACTAACAGTTTATTCTACAACTTCTGAATTTCACCCAACTAGATATGACGCTCTATAGGTTTGGTGCAACCTTACGGACAGAGTACATTCAGAAATAACCCAAATGCTTTTCCCTAACAAATCAAAAATAGCTCATAGCTCATATTAGGTTAGATATGTCATTTGATTGATTCGTTCCTTTTTTTGTATTATTGAGATGGAAATTGGCTGTATGAAAGTGAACGTAAATTAAACTAACTATTTTTCACTCACCTTTTCCCCATTCGGCCCAGTGACTCCTGTGTTCCCTGCAGGTCCTGGTGGTCCCTAGAAAAACATAACGAGGAAAAACTTGGATTGTCAAAACTTCGATGGACAATCGAGCTTCTTACGGAGGTTTTCTTTCTCATGGAAATTTAATCAAGGTTGAAATTTCACTTATTTTGCATTAGCCGTTGATTACTTTGATTGTCGTTAGTTTTCCAACAATCAATAAATTGAGCTCTAAGACTCTGATGCCACAAAAAGAAAATCTGATTGTCACATACTTACAGGACTACCCGGGTAACCTGCTGATCCGCTGGTTCCTGGGTCGCCACGTGGGCCCTGGATTATAAAAAAGTAAAACTGGCGTATTTAATCGTCTTTTTTAGCGAATTATTTACCTCGGTGGTCTGTGAAAACACAGGGGACTACATGATGGAAAAAAACTCTTAACTTAAGTTTCTCCTCTGTAAGGAACCTCTCGTAAACAATGTTTTTTCACTAATTCCTTTTTTTTTTACCAAAAGTAACAACACCAAAAATTTTTACCTTTATTCACACGAGTTTCAATACTAATAAGTGTACAATACTATGAACTTATTGACCGAGTGAAAGGGCCGCAAGAGGAAACATTGCGCGATAGAAATGTCGAGAGTATAATCTATTCCTTTAATAAAAACTGAGAGGTAGTGGTTCTAAATATAGCATTCGAAAGAGCGTACAGGGATCTTCTTCATATAGCTGTAATTTCAGGGAAAACTTACTGAGCCTCCACTAGCGCCGATTTGTCCACTTATTCCATCGTCCCCAGGAATTCCCTTTCAAAAAACACAATAAGTTAACTTAAGTGAGGCAGTATTAACCTACATTTTAGTTGAGTTCTACCAATTCATGCCGATCGTATCGCCAGAAAGTAAATCCTACGCACTCAAACACAATTCTTTACTTCATCTGGTCTTACATTTCCTCATCATCTATCAGTTTCATTAAAATCATGGTTGGCTGCATGTGAGCAGGTATACATCCTGCATAATCCTTGTAACCGGTATACATACTAAAAAACTGTTTTAAACTTCTTTCAGCTGCAATGAATATTTTGATTCAAAAAATTCATTTTTGGTCCTGTTCTTGGCGTAACCGATTTGCCACGTAATAAATCAAGTTTGTTCGGTTAAGATGACTCGATACTTTCTGTTGTATGGACCTCCGCTTTCTTTCGACATTTATACTTAACTTCGTCTCGAGCCATAAAAACCAGTAGCAATATTTTCCGATATCCAGGTTCTTGGTCAATAAACCGTATACAATGCAACATTGAACCTTTTAAAGATCTCTGGTAACACTTACCTTGACGCCCATATCGCCAGTCATTCCTTGTTCTCCTAGTTCGCCACTGACACCCTGGGTGTATTTAAAACAATAGAAGCAAATATTGCTCGCCATTACAAAGCCTAAAAGTGCAACATCTCTACGTTTGCTGTTTTGCATCGGGAACACTGGAGTATCAGTCAATCGTGCTATGAAATCGCCTGCTTGAGGTTGCCCTTAGGAGGTTTATCAAACTCGTCTCTACTGTTATCAATCTCAATTTACAAACTGCAAAAGTATAAAGCATTAAAACCCGACATTCTAAGGAAAAATAGTTCTCACATACCGCTTGACCAGTAGCACCATTCTCGCCGCGTCGACCAACTGGTCCTGCATCACCCTACACCGAGAAAAAGAATTTCAAGCATGAACATGAACATGGCAAGAATATTTATTCGGTTGCACAGAGACAAGGAGCGAAAGTTTAACCATCATAAACCTTTTGGCTCATTATTAGTGAAGTTAATTGAAGTGTTTTTTTTTCAAAGAATGAGTTTTATTAGTCCTCTAAAATAGGGGCTGCTAGTCCATCGCACATTACCTCCAGCTTGTCGTCAAGTTTCCCTGAAAGTTTATTGGTGTCCATATAATTAAAAGATACACTCTCTTCTTTGGCCTGAATAAGTGTGTACCACAGAACAGGGTATGATTTTAAAAGCCTTCCCATTTTCACTGAGTCGGCATTTTTTCTTTTGCTTCTTCTCTTTCTGAGCCTGAACACAGGTAGCAGAAGAATTAAATATGACTGTATTTCCAGTTAAATAAACTGGGCAATTGTAGCAATATTCGATCTTGTTGTTTTACCGTTGATAAATGTTAATGCAAGCGAAGAGCTTCTTGAAATCTTGTTCACGCGCAAAATCCCTTAGCAGTATTAACTGTGGGCTTATAATTGGCCCGTCTCTCGAGCACTCGTGCCTCATATGTAAGAATTCTTTCGTCTACCATTGTCACGACGTTTTACCTCTCCTCCTCTTGCTCCAGGGGGTCCTGTAGGTCCTGGTGATCCGAGACCTCCCTGTCACATAAATGGCAAATGAAAAAAGATAGAAATGATGACAAAACCTTTTTGAATTATTACGTGTTGCATTTTATCGATAATTTCAATATCATGCGAACTCTGAGGTTCAGAACCAAACTTGTGAAAATGTTCCTTGCTGCATCAATAACCGTCGAGACGGACCTCGAAATGCAGAAGGAATGCTTCATATCTCCAACTTCATAGATCGCATGCTTCTGATGATTGCAATAAAATAGAAAACTAATGCTGTCAATTATATCCTGTGAAGTTATCACACTATTTTTCTCATTCGTGCGTTGATTCTATGGTTTATGCACCTTGGAAGCATGCATACCGTACGCAATTCAACAAGTGCTCCCCCCACGTTTAACACCAGCTTAGATTTCTTATCTGACTCCCTACCATATTAGTTCGCCTTCCACTGAAAAATAAAACCTCAGAAATGAAAGTAGATATTTTCGTCTTTTTCTTTGAGCGATTTATCCTTTCTATGACTTGGTATGTTCTATTTACTGCACATGGGGAAGCAATATCGACAAACAACGTCAAGCGTCTTTCGTTCCTTACCGTCTGTCCTTGACTTCCAACATCACCGACTTCGCCGATAGGCCCTGGTGGTCCCTTAAAGTTAAACAGAACCGCTAAAAGTTAAAATCGTCAAAGGAGAAATTTAGAAGCGTATTTTCCTAATTTTTATAGGAAATGAGGGCGTAATACGGTATCGATTTTAATAAAAATTCAGTGGCTTACATCGTAAAAAGTGTGATTATATACTTTAAGAATATAAATATTTCCTTTAGAAGTGTTAACTTCTGGCCTCAAAGGAAACAAGGGTGTTTTCTAAAACAGACTCCAGACTTCCCAAGGGGAAGTCGGGGAGAGCAGCGGTACTGGAGGTCAGTAATGTACCACGGGCAGGATATATTTTGTTTTAAGAACGGCCAGGAGACAGTTATCGGACAGTTACAATTGTATTTATACCAAGGGAAAGTAAATGTAGCGGTATTATTTATCCAATAAATGCATTCGGATACAGAATCGAATAATCGATATGGTAGATGATCACAGATCACAATGGAGCTTAACATAAAAAGAACCGTAAGAAACAGTTTTTGTGAATCTTCTTAACTTGCGATTATTTCCAATGCATGTAATTGTTACTCACCGCCGGGCCGCTTTTGCCCTCATCGCCTCGTTCCCCCACTCGTCCATCAGGTCCCTAGAACAAAAACGTTCTTCTTGGTAATTAATCCGTTCTAAAATTTATTTCCATGCACCAAGCCGCGTGTGAACATTACTTACTTGTTCTCCAGATAATCCTGGTGACCCAAACGACCCAGGCGCTCCCTGAAAACACAGACATATTAACCCTTTGACGCCTTCGTAACTTCTGCCTAAAATATCCATGCAAGTGTAAATTGGCGGTCCAAAGGCTTGTAGAAGCATCGAAGATAAACACTTGCATGCAGGAATCCGCTGAATCGAGACGATGGCATTCATTTGGCACACGAGGAAAAGACTTAATTATCATAACAATTGCTCAAATTTACATTACATTTGAACTGCAAATACAATCGTTTTTATTTTTCTGGAAATTTTTTCACATCACTCTCCCGTGATGAGGGCTAGAGTTCTCATTCAAAATAATGCATCAGATTTTAAGATATTTTTTGAATATGTCTTGAACTTTTTACCAGTGTTTTAAATTCATATGATAAAGACCATATTGTATTCTGCAACATGCTTCTTTGCGGATATAACAAAAGGATGCTAGTTCTTAATTAGAGGTACCGTTCTTCCAGGCAGGCCACTTGTTCCAGCATTTCCCTTTGCACCCTAGTAATTAAGAAGAAACAGGTTTAATATTTGCGAATTTCTTTTGATGTTAATAATACCAATTTCACTAATTAAAGTAAAACTCAGTCTGTATTCATACGAACGATTAACAAAATCGGTGACGACTGTGAAGCAAGAATCCGACCGGTTAACCACCAGTATGATTACAGACAGAACGTTCTGTTGCCATATGTTAGCCATATATGTAAAGTGACTCCCAGGCCATTCAGGAAATATCCAAAACCAGTACTAACCTCCGATCCAGAAACACCAACTTTTCCAACATCTCCTGGAGTCCCCGTGGGTCCCTTACATTCAGAAAGAGAGGATGGTTTAAACAAGAAGAAAGAATCAAATCGATATTTCATTGCTTGAAATTTCAAGGTTTCGCCATTTTACTGGTCGAATCGACAGTTTTTAAATTAGTAATGACTCAATAATGTTACAATTATGGTACATATGATAGTAAAAAAAAAAAACAAGAGCACTTCTGGAGACCAGGCACTTTTAACAACTTTGGTTGAAATGACTGATTTTCGAGGCATCAAGGAAAAAAATTAGGGTCAAAACGTCAAGCTTACACCAGCTGGCTGAATTGTTTACGAGCGGTTATAGATTTACAAGCATAAACATGTAGATGACAATTTTTAAGATTTCAACATATTTCGTAAACATGGGCACGCGTAGAGATGGAATTTGTCTTTGAGTTGAACACGAGAGGGGAAATTCCATTTCCACAAGCAATCATGTATTACTTTGTTTGTTACATAAACACCAAAGGCCTTAACTAGAAAGAAGAGAAAGAATTTCGACAAACAACCTTGGATTGAGAATGGTGAACGCTTTGCCATTCATTCGTCAACCTGACCAGAATGGCAAAAAGGCGAGCGACGTGTCAGCAGCTAATTGGCAATATCAAATACATGTTCAAAATTATCATTACTTTACACGTGTGCAGCTCGACTTTTCTCAGTGCTGGAAATCCTTGTAAAACACAGCAGTTTATATAATTATTATTATTATTATTTTTTTTTTGCACAAAGTGGAGGTCCCCAAATATTTTATCTATTTCCATAGGAGCTAACCTGATCACCATCTTCTCCAGTTGATCCACTTTCTCCAGCAGGGCCTTCAATTCCCTAAAGGAAACCAACAAAAAAAGAAGAAAAATCCAAATCAGTGAATTCCAGAACATGGCTATTATTATACTTTGCTTTTATTTTCTAGCACCAGGGGGTCGAGAATATTTGGTCTTTGCACAATACAAAAACATGTCTGTTCGTTTATTGTCTGCTTTCCCTGCGATCATCATATGGAGCACAGCTGAAATAAGAGCGTAGGGCAGACCATAACCAAACAGTAGAATTGTATTCGTAAATTAAAAAAACTATCCTGCTGTTTTCCTTTCGTGTCGAGTTTAATACTTAGTTCTACAAATTTTGCATCTTGCAGAGGGATTCTGCGCAGGAATACCATGACAAAATTCATTTTTTGTGAGGAGGTTAAAATGGATTTCGGAGGGTCAAGCAAAATGAATTATCAAATAAACAATATACTATAATAATAAAAATGTAACGAACAAACCTGCTCTCCCATCGATCCACGTGAGCCTTGGTTCCCAGTTGGTCCTGACTCACCCTATAAGACAAAGTTTTCATCTGTTTAAATTTAATCTATCTCTATATCATAACTCAAATTTGTCTATGGCTTAATGCACTGGTAAATATCAATTATTGTGGAAAGTTGCCATAGTGTGTTGCAATTCTCGATTTTTTTTCGCGGCTGACGGGCCCTGATGGCTGAGCTCGTGAGCCATGGACCACAAAATATGATGAGTGGACATGTGTGGCATATACAACTAACACTCTATGCAATGTCTGCAGCAGTTTTTGAGATAAATGTATTTTATAAGATGTTTCAAGAGATTTGGGGTGTTGTTTTTGTTGTTGTTGCTTTTCAAAACAATAACAGCTTCAGCGCTTCATGGATGTAAGATAGTTGAAGCTAATATTTTCCAATTATATCATATATCACATAGGCTCCCAAAGTAATCGGTTGATTATTACCTTTGCCCCAATTGGTCCTGCCTCACCACGAGTTCCTTGGGGACCTTCCTCACCCTAAAGCGAAAAAAGGGAAAAAAAGAGAATAAAAATAATTGTAACATGTATCAGTCCATATTCCATTATTGTTTTCAAAGATTGGACATGCAAGGTCCAAAGGCGAACTGCTACTCGGAAAATTTGGAGGAACAAGAAATGCAGGACTGGAATGAACGGTGGATATTCATCTGACACAGTTACAAGGTCAATTCACTTGCCTGAGCTCCTTTTTCTCCGAGCATTCCAGTAGGTCCAGAAACTCCTGAAGGGCCCTGAATACAATAAGAATTACTTTTAACACGAAAATAATCATGAGCCACGAAAAAAATTGAACTAGTAACTCTTCTTATAAATACCATCCGGCCTGATGTTCCCGGTGTGCCATTTTCGCCAAGCGCTCCCTGAGGAAATTAAAATATTATTTGATTACTATCATCTATTTCAGTGACAAGTTCGATAGCGAACAGGTAAATTCATGATTTCAAAATTCTCTATAAATTACGGGAATGGCAGAATTATCTACGAAGTAAAGAGGGTTAAAAAAAATACAACAATTACATCACCTCCTAATGCTATAAAGCAATTTCAAAAACATAAACCTATTGAAATGATGTGAACAAACCAAGCTAGCCAACATTAGGGTTGCATACTAACAGGAGTTCCAGGTTTTCCCGCCTTTCCTTGCGATCCTCTTCGACCTCTACCTCCCTGCATAATGTATGAAATGAGACCAATGACTTTCACAGAACAAAAAAAAAAAACAAAAAACAAAAAACAACAAAAAAAAGCAAACGAAATATAATTATTACTGTAACACCGGAGCAAAAAAGGAAAGAGAAAACGCGGGTAGGGTTTAGTGAAGGATCACAAGCTATTTATAACGTAATTTTATCCTTTAAATAAAGACAGACTAATTTAATTAATGTACAAATCACCTGGTAGGTATATTACACAGAATTATGAAATATTAAATAACTTTGCATCTCACCAAGAAAAATTTTGTTCAATTTAGGCCGTAAACGTTTTTCAATTGTCTTAGAAGTAATTTAGAGGCAGCTATAACTACCATGCATAACCTCTTATTTAAAAGAAAACATTTGATTGTTCATTCAATTTTTGAGGAAAAGATGAATTTTCTACCCGCTCTCCTTGTGATCCTGTAAGACCTTGTGTTCCTGGTACCCCCTGAAAAGCAATTTTATTCATTGTTGATTATTTTCCATTTTTGTGCTAAAGGAAATACATACCATGTGACATCATTTTTTTTACGATACCGATCTACAAGGAAAGGATATTACTCGTATTGTGTGCACCGGATGTGCTTTAAAAAATTTTCAAAATTTGATTATCCAAAAAAAAAAAAAAAAAAAAAAAAGAAAACTGAGAATAGCCCTTAGGTACACCTGCATGCCCGCTTGACCTCGAGATCCTCTTGAGCCTCGATTTCCAACAATTCCCTGAAAAGATGATGGCAAAGTAAACATATCAATTTAATATGCCATGATAATTAATGCTATACCTCAAATTGCCACATTTAAGCAAGCCAGGGTCTCAACTTGAAAATCAGGTGCGGAATGTCCCTATGAAATGACAATACCTGCAATCCTTTCTCGCCGATTGACCCTCTTTCACCTTGAGCGCCTGCTTCTCCCTGAAAAATGCAATAGACTTTAAATACCATGTAGAGTTTTGTTGCGTAGATTGCCAATTCCATGTTGTGTAGAAACAGAATTGTGGGCTCAAAATGATTGAGACCTGCTTCAAAAGTCTATATTTTTTATGTCAGAGGAACAAACAAATTAGTTGTTCATCGTCACTATTGTGCAGAAGCACTACATATCGACATTCCTATCCTTTGCCATGCCGTATGAGGTAAGTTTGTGACTATGGATCTAGTTAAACGGCTTAGTCTTCCATGAGTCTCCTTCGGCTCAGTGGTAGAGCAACCGAAGAAGTTATTAAGAGGTCGTGGATTCAGCACCTATAGGGATCAATCTGAGTTCTTTTTCTCCAAGTATGGTTGCGCTATTCGCAAACTAACATCATCTTTCACAGCTTGTCTCACCATTGATCCTGTGTAACCTAAAGTACCAGGAGAACCAAGCCCACCCGGGCTACCCTGCAATAAAACAACAACAAAATAATCAATCAATAGTCAGCGAGTTAGTGAGTCATATCAACGGAGGCACCAACACAGATGAATTAAAAAACACAAATATGTTAAACCCAAACAGTGATGAAGGACTGATCTAGTATCCACTATTTGTTCATTGTCACCATAGACTCATCAGATTGCGCCCTTTAAGGTTAAAAATAGAATAAAATTTTCTTACGAGAAATAAACGTACGAAAGCAGAAACACCTACTCACATTTTTACCGGCAGAACCTGGCGACCCTCTGCCTCCTTGGTCACCTGTTTTACCCTAGAATTGCAAATTTTCGTCGTTAAAAATCGTCTGAAACGGACAGAAAGTGTCCGAATTCGGGCGGAAATGTGGACGGAACCTACCGAAAGTGGACGGAAATTTCCAAAAACTTAAAACACTTTAAGGCTGGGCAAACCTGTTTTCCTTTGGCTCCCTGGGATCCAGCTTTACCGGGAAGTCCTTCTGAACCCTTTCAAAGGATGGAGAGTTATTTACAAACGGCCATTTTGATAGTAGATTCAAGTGTTTCACTTAACAGTACAATTTAAGCATTAAGAATATACATGAGAAAACTATACGCCTCTGATTGGCCGAAAACGAGTGCATTTATTATGTTACGCGAGTGTAAATTACAAATGGCACACTCGCGCGGAAAAAATTCGTACGCTTTGACTTTCTGTTATGCTTTTTTCATTCACTCGTGCTTGTTCACACCAAAGTGCATTCGAAATCATGTTGTAGCCTATACTAACTATGAGAGGTGAAACTAATGAAAAAAAGATGTTTGATTGTGAGTTACGTGATAGTGTTGTGAGAAAGCTAAGTTTTTATTGGTTGTAAGAATAATTTTGATCGTAAGTAAAGCTTAAGTAACGCCAGTTGTTTGGTACGACAATTCTGCCGGCCAACGATTGACGTATGGAAATAAAACACGTGTCCTTATCGTGAATCCAATATAAGAAATATCCATTTGCACTTACAAGGCCTCCCTGTGGTCCTGTCGGCCCAGTATCCCCTGGGGCACCCTGTAAAGTCATAAAATTATCAGGAGATAAAACGATCCAGGCAAAAATAAAACTCCCCTTGACTGTTGACGAAGCAATTTAACTGTACTGCTAAATTCAACCACCAAACGGTAAAAGTGACGACATATAGAAATCTTCATTGTTCTATAAACTTATGCCCCTTTCACATCACAAGACATGTTTAGTTAAGCCGTATTTAACTGAATAAAAATTAAATACAGAGAACTGAAAAACTGAATTTTCGATAGCAATCAATAAGTCACTAACTTGTGTTTTCGATATGCTAAAATTGGAGTGAACTTATATATTTATCTGAGCAGCTTCGATGACGAAAATAGTTTTAAAGCCTGTTCAACAAAATATCTTCAAAACATGTTTAAGTTTTGGCGTGAATGGCTACGAGTTTGTCGGGGCGGATTTGGCTCGTTGAAGATTTATACTTGATTTTTGTTAAATCACACAATTTTGGAAAATGCTCGAGATCTGAATTTGGTTTAAACTTTACTGTCCTATAATCAAAAAACACAATCTCTAGTTTATCGCTTTACCTGCTCTCCAGGGGGGCCTTGCTCTCCTTGTTCTCCCGGTGGTCCGAAGTCACCCTAAGTCGTCAACCGAGAGGGGAGGTATGTTATAGAGACCATATAATTTTGTTTATCTCTGCCGCTAACAAGTACGAACACCTATTAAAAGTTTTACCGAGTTTTGATATTCCACAGAGTTAACTTTGTTTTTAACTTGCTTTGCAGCTCCTTGATATCAAAACCAATTGCGGAACACTGACAAAGAGAGGAATGAGGCCAGGTTGCTAAACACGATTCAAAATGGTGGGCTCCATGAATGAATTTCATGGTACACTTGAATAAATCCTTCAAAAGGTTGTGGAAGCTTTAAAACCTCAAAAAGTGAAAAGTGTCATAACTTCATGTTTGTATTTTGATGGTAGGGGTTAAATTCATTTTCGTTTCTGAAGCAAACTTCTCCTTGAATAATTACGCTGAAAGCAAAAGACTTTAAAGTCATAGCAGTCTAGTTCATCTCTTACCTCTGCACCCTCGGCTCCTTTTTCACCCCCTGGTCCTTGTTCTCCCAGTTCTCCGTTTTTTCCTTGGGGTCCCTGAGGACCCGTATCCCCAGTAGCACCAGTGTAGCCAACGTCACCGGAAGAGCCCGGATTGCCATAAGAGCCTTTTTGTCCCGCAATACCGGGTGCCCCCGGGGAACCTGTTTGACCGGTAACACCCTGTCAATCAAAATAAAGGCTTATTGGTATCGTTGGTAATGGTTGAAAAGATGGTGGAGCGTTTTGAAACGTTAAGAAAAGGGGCTCATCGCATACGGGGCGAAGAGCAATGCTCCTTCCAAATCTCTTAAAATGTCTTCTACATAGTTCGTAGGCTGAAGAAATTATCTAAACAATTTTACGATAAAAATTTCTCCGAGCTCGATCCTGATGAACGGTTTATGGAGAAAATCATACGGCTGAATTTTTTACACGGCAAAATTTGTGCTGCTCTTACGGTTATTTCCGCAAGTATACGTAAAGCGCTCTGCCCCTTCCCCCAACCCCACCCACGATGTCGGTGGGGAGTAAGGGGTGAGTTTAGAGCTCTGTCACCTGTGGAAATGGTCCAAAACAACAACAATAGTGAGAACAGAGATACACAGTTACAACGATCTTTAACTGTATTAACACTCACCTGTGCACCCACATCTCCCGGCGTACCTTGCTCACCTGGCATACCCTAAATGACGCGGTAAACAAAATTAATGAAACGATGAATGCTTTAAGTGTAAATACGAACTGAAACGAGTTATGCCAAGAAGAATGGTGTTTCTAAATTACATAAAACGTATTTAAGGGAAGATATATAATGGTATTTATGAATTCATCCATTTTTAAGGGAACGTACAAGGTTGTATACATGGTTAAAATTTTGGTCAATTTACGGCTAACGGTTAATATCTTTCCGTTGTAGTCACTAGAATTTCTTTTTTACAGCTAACCCTTTTTTTACGGCTAAAGGTTAAAATTTGTCAATTTTTACGCCTAACCGCTAAAATTTTTTCGGCCGTTTACGGCTATAGGTTAACCCTATTGACACTCTCACGTAAGCGCTCCAAAGTGAATTAAATCTTCAAGCAAGAATTCCTTTGGTCTCACTTGTTGTCCTCGATTTCCGACTGTTCCAGAAAATCCGCTCTTGCCTTGCTGACCCTGAAAATTAAATAAACGAAGACTTTCTTTCAACCTTGCGGCATTGAGAAAAATTTCTAGTTTAGTGTAGAGGTTCAACACATACCCCATTCGTTAAAAAAAAAAAAGAAAAAAAAGAAAAAAGAAAAAAAAAGGAAAAAAGAAAAAAAGAAAAAAGAAAAAAAAGAAAAAAGAGCCCGTAAGCCTGTGCACACGCCCTCATTATTAGTGCTGCAGGACATCCGTTTTTCCGCGGCTGTCAGCGGGAAGATTTGAGACGTCTGGCACTTATTGTCAGTGCTAGACCCTTTGCAGATATCTCGCCGGTTCGCGTTACCTAACCCTTTAACCACTAGGAGTGACTAGCGTCTAAGTTCTCCATACATAATCACCACTGAATCACACATTAATGTCATGAGAATAAAGGAATTGATCACCACCTAACGAAACTCTTGATTATTAAACAAATTCTCCTTGTCAACACCTCAGTAAATGTACAGAAAACAGTATGGAGAATATGAATATTGATTTCAGAGTGTGAAAGGTTAGGGCGTCATTCTTTCCCGCAGGTGAAGAAACCTTCGTGTTAAATCGCTAATTATAAGGTTTGCTCTCAGGCTGAAAACAGGTATATTACTTTCACCAAACTCATCAGTTATCGAGATGTTTCCGAAAAACCAGTTCCACTAAACATTTAAGTACTACACAAAAACATTGAAGTCTTGGCCTCATCCGATAGAAACAAGGGAATTCTAACCGGGAAATTAGCAAGCGAACAGGAAACAAGGTAGGCTCAATTTTCAACCGCTGTTTAGGAATTGAGCTGGTGCTCTTCCTCTTGTCGGGAGGATGGAGGCCAGACCCAAGAAATCGACGGAAAATCAAGCTTAGAAACGAAGCAAGTAGAGTAACAAGCAAATGATATCGTACCATTTCGCCATCCTTCCCTGGTCGACCCACTGTTCCCATTTGACCCTGCAATAAATGAACCGTCGTTGTCAGTTAATTTTTTATACATCTGCTTAAGTAAATGAGTCCCTTCCTTTTTTTCTTTTTTAACTGTACACTAATATTAAGTTAAACCTTTTAAATAACGGTTAGGATAAGCTTTATCAGGGAAGAAATTCCAGCGTCAGCTGGGTCTTTTATGGAAAGGACTACAAGAGAAGGAGAGGGCGGGGGGAGGGGGTGGGCGCTTATTCGAGGTTGGGCGCTTTATCGAATAAATACCGTGCCCTTTGTTGACAAAATGGCATGTGACATGAAAGGAAATTTTTTTGGTTTTGATAAGAGCATGGGACAAATAATATGTTCCCAAGAGAAATGGAGACACAGACCTCGGAGGGCCAGGGCCGAGCATAAAAAATTACCATCTTTTTTATTCACTATGAATCATCACACATGAACGTTACAACTAAATGTCAAGTGCATTGTGTGACGTTGCAAAATCATGGCGTGATCGTTCGATCAGTCTCCTTTGCAGCCTTTGTTTGGTGGCGTCACACAACGTGTGGCTTCCCCTTACGTGAAGAAGCCATTTGACAGCAGCGAAGGAGGGTATTAGGCAACGAGAGTAAATTACATGTAACTATCATCGGACAACTAAGGCTTTACTGACCACATAACCATCTTCTCCTCTCTCTCCCTCAGCTCCAGTCCTTCCGCTTCGACCTTTTGGACCTCTTGATCCTTGGGCACCTGTTCCACCGACATCACCTATACCCCCCTAGGAAATTGAATTGAATTAGCAAGTAAGTAACAGTGTCTACCTTTGATCTGAGCGAGAAATTCGACATTATTAACTTTTGCAATTTCTTTTATTTTTTTTGTGATTATTTGAAATAGAACCTACGTTCACTTATTTCCAAAACTGTAGGGAGTGTATTTTTGGGTTGACTGTGACTCACCGTACTTCCTGGATAGCCTGGGGGCCCAGTTTGTCCTTTAGGTCCAGGGTCTCCCTGTTAAGTAGGATTAAAAAGGAAAATATTTTTGAAACTTGGTAATAATACAACTTAGTGACCGAGCCAAAATTTGAACCAGGACCTCTCGGTCTGGAGTGAAGCGTGCTGGCATGAGGAACGCACATCACCCCCATAAAATGCAAAAAGAGGCTGTGACAAATGGTAGAAAAAGATGTTCACATTTAGGTACCAACCAAATGAATAAAGGAATATCTAAGCAACAAAAGGAAGTTATGTTGATGATTAGTGACACTCACGTCAATCCCAGGGAATCCAGCATCTCCTCTGGCTCCAAGCGGTCCAACAGCTCCCTGATAACAAACAGCATAGGGTATTTGAAAAGGCGTTACTTGAATGAAACATTTGCTTTTTGAAATTGAGGTGATGGAAAATTTAACTCACGGGAATTCCTGGTTCTCCATCCGGTCCAGTTATTCCAGCAACCCCAATAGCACCCTGGAAAAGCCGATTATCAGATATTTGAAAGAAACTACAGCGCGTATATCGTCAAAATTGAGATAACTTGTTCGATTATTTGGAGTTCGTAACAACGCTCTCGTGTTTTTTCCTGTCTAAATCCTTTGACACCTAGTATCGACTAACATCTAATTTCTCCTCACAACGTCACTCCTAAATTAAACATTAAGGTTACGAGAATAAAAGAAATGATCAGCAACTAAAATTGCTCATGATTGTTAAACAAATTCTCCTAGTTAGCTTTTTACAAAATGTATGGAAAATAGTATGGAAAATATGCTTTCTGATGCTAGGGCGTTGAAGGTGAAGCTGGGCATACTAAGAAAAACTTAGGCAGTGGTGCACGTGGCATCTGAGAAAACAAAAAACAAGCAAAAAACCAGACAAACAAACAAAACAAAACAAAAAAAAATGAATAAAACAACACTAGTGTCTGCTCAAAGTTACTTTGGTGATATTATATAAGAAAGGCCAGTAGAGCTTTAAAACTCCATGAATTAAGCTTTAGGGATAATCGCTGTTTGATGATATTTGATTTCATAAATGTAATTCGGTTAAAGTATTGCCAGTACTATTAATATCGCAACTGTAAGTTCAAAATCATTCTTACAATTGATCCTCTTTGACCCTGACGTCCTTGCAATCCAATCTATTAACCATAGAATAAAAAGCTATTTTATGTTGAGTTATAGATATGCGTCTATAGATTGTTCCACAGTGAATACAGATTCAAGACGGGGACATTTCCCTAGTGTTACTGTTTTTCAGTAGGTCTAAACTCTTCAAAATGATAATTCTGTTGGCATGCTAGTTCTTGTGGAAATGAAGGTGGTCATGATTTGGCTAATAACAGCTCACATATTTACGGCGAAGACATTCGCAATGAAAAACAACACAATCGGAATGAAAAGTCTATGATGAACATGACAGTGATCATAATAGGACTGTTGTCAACCCGAATACTTAGTGGTAGTTTGCTGGGAAGTTTATGTCAAGTGATCATTTCTGATCTAGTTTCCAGTCTGGACAGCTTAGGTAGAGATTCAACAACTTACTTGTTACTAAGTTATGGTAAGTAAGAGCCTTTAAAAAGAACGATTGAAAAAGCTCAGCAAGTTCAACTTACAGGAGAAGGAATGATAGATCCTGCAGAGATTATGGTGGGCACCATGTATGGCCCTTTGAGGCCATTAAGAGTCTGCAAAGATCAAATAATATGTTTTATTATTACAAAGAACATGGGTTTTTCGTTTGTCTTGAACTTTATCAACATCAAATAAATTGTTTTTTTTGTATTAGTCCTTGAGTATATGATCGTTGTCGGCAACACTCAAAAATTATTCGAGAAATAGCGACTGATCTGAGATTTTTATTTTTCAGAATCAAAGTATTACAACAATTAACTAAGTGAATGAAAGTGAACCTCGCAGTAATGTGCACTACTTTGGCAGTAGTGAAAATAAGGCCTGAAAAAAAAAAAAGTGCACTACTTAGGCAGTACCAACTGAGCTAAGAAGCTAACTGGGAGCTGGCCAGCTCCCAGTTGGCTTGTTAGCTCAGTTGGTAGAGCGCTGCACCGGTATCGCAGAGGTCATGGGTTCAAATCCCGTACAGGCCTGAATTTTTTTTCAGGCCTTATTTTCACTACTGCCTAAGTAGTGCACATTACTGCGAGGTTCACTTTCATTCACGTCTTTATCCGCAGTTCAAATATATGACTTTCATATATTCTTAACCAACAATTAACTAAGAGAAAAATCTGACGATGAGCTAAAGAGAATCAAGCAAAAGGCGGGAAAACTCCGCTTGAGAAGTCGCGATTGTGTAATTGTTTGAGGGAGTGACAGGAATTTTCCTGACCCACCCGGCACTAATCAAGCGAAAGCAGAGACAACACAGTCTTGGATTACAATCAATGCCAAATAGAAATTCCTTATAGCCTTTTTCTAATCACTTATCAGGCCTGAGTTAAGCTTTGCTAGTTTGCAAAGCCGGGATCGTGCTGAACAAGTAACACTTACAGCTGTTATTGAACCTGCGGCAGCTGGTAGCCCTGGTGGTCCAGGAGGTCCTGAAGGCCCAGTTGGTCCTCTTATACCAACAGGTCCCTAAGAACAGAAAAACAATCCGCGTTAGTGGTTTTTTGTAGGAACTCTCTAAATCTTTTGAAGACCCAGGTGGTCATTAACCAAGCGAGATTTTGACTGTAACATGCAGTTCTTTTCCGTGAAATTTCAGATAATTCTCGATCACTGAGACTACCTACGCTTGAGTATCATCTGAAACAACTCAAAAAACTATACATGATGGAAGTGGACTAGGAAATCCAATTTGTTTGAACAGACCTCGACTATGATTACGCCCTCCATTTCAGAAGAAATAATGTATGCAGATTACAGTGATACCGGGCCAATGTACCAGCTACTCCTAGAGGGTGAAATACCCATGTCATGGAGTTGTACCTGCGCAATTCAGCGCCTTCTGCGTGCTACTCGACAGTTTGAATTTGAATAATGGGGGCTAGTCTCTAAAGAAACTTTGGTATGCGTCGGTGCGAAAATACAACAAGATAATTTGTTTTTATCAACCGAGTTGATGTTGTAAATATTCCGAGATTGTTTCGAATGAAGAGCGGATGGTCCCTCTATTGTTTTGAATATATTCCGAAGAAGTCCTGTTGACATGAAATATTTGTAGTGCTCCCTCTTTCACAACAGAAGATTGCACGATCTTCTCGGTGTTTATCACGGATTCGATTTAGTTTTACGCTTACATTTTTTTTTTCATGTACGTATAACTAATGGTTGTGTTGACTAGAATTTTTCAACCGAGCCAAGGAAGTTCGTCAGCAGGCGTGGTCCACCATGATAACGGAGCTTTTGATTTGTGACATGACGATGAACCCATTAACCCCTAAGAGTGACAAGCATTTAATTTCTCCTCACAACACATTAAGTTCATGAGAATAAAGGAAATGATCACCAACTAAAGAAGCTCTTGACTGTTAATTAAATTCTACCAATCAACACCATAGGAAATGTATGAAAAACAGTGTGGAGAGCAATCACACTTATGCCGGGGTGTAAACGGTTAAGCCCTAGAGTTGGCATTTATCCAACTAAACAAGCCTAATTCCAGTATAACCATGATAACGCGCTATCAGGTAGAATTCTACACCCAAGCAATAATATCAATCCCGAAGACAACTCACCGGGGGTCCACTTGGTCCTGTCTCGCCACGGAATCCACGAGATCCCGGAAAACCCTTATTTAGAAAATAATAACCATAACTTTACTTTATACAGTGGATAAAGAAATGGATAAGTGCATAGAACAAATGGAAGAGTGGGAGACAGACAAACAGACAAACAGGCAAACATACAAACAGGCAAACATACAAACAGACAAACAGACGAACAAACGAACAGACAAACAGACGAAAGGCAGACAGGCAAACAGACAAACAGACAAACAGGCAGACGGGCAAACAGACAAACAGACGAGCAGACAAACAGACAAACAGACAAACAGACAAACAGACAAACAGACAAACAGACAAACAGACAAACAGACAAACAGACAAACAGACAAACAGACAAACAGACAAACAGACAAACAGACAAACAGACAAACAGACAAACAGACAAACAGACAAACAGACAAACAGACAAACAGACAAACAGACAAACAGACAAACAGACAAACAGACAAACAGACAAACAGACAAACAGACAAACAAACAAACAGACAAATAGGCAAACAGGCAAACAGAAAAGCAAACAAACAGACAATTAGACGAGCAGAAAAAGAGACAAACAGCAGACAGACAAAGTGACGAATAGACGAGCAGACAAACAGACGAACAGACAAAGAGACATATAAGTAGGCAGACAAACAGGCAGACAGACAGACAGAGAAGGAGAGAAGAAAAAGCGAGATAGAAAGAACGAAAAAGAAATCATAAGTATGGGAATATATGGATAATGGTATGATATAAAATTGTTTAATGTATTAGTGAGAAAATTTTGCATAATTGATAATGAAGAATTTTCCGCTGACCCTTTCTCCTGTTCCTCCGGGTGCACCTTTTGGTCCATACACCTGTAGGTTAAAAAATCCCTTAGTACCAATTAATCAGCTTATTATCTTGACAATTTATTTGAATCAAGTCGAGATCAACCCTTGAAAATCACACCAAAATGTAAGAGATGATTAATGGTATTAAATATCAAATCCAAGAAGCTGGCGTCACGCAGCCTTGAAGTCCTTCAATCTAAGACGCAGATCTAGTCACCGACCAAAACTAAACACGGATCGAGTAAAGAATTCCTATTTTAATCGCCTAAGTTTTAAATGTGACCCAGCTTTATAACTGGTATTCTGTAAACATTTAAAAATAATAAGCTCTTTAATCAGTACGTACTATGTAACTTACTTCTAAATGGGAAGTTTTGCAACATAAGATATGTAGTTTTTATCTTATGAACTAATAAAGACTATTATTATTATTATTATCCTTGAGTAAATCGAATCGGCGAGTGTTCTGCTATGAAAAAAAAAACAGTCTGCCGTCTCAAACTCTCCCGCATGAAAAAAAAAGTGCGTCCTGTAGCGCTGATGATAAGGGCCTTCTCGCGAGTTAACCTTGAACTCATAGAGTCGTCAACCTGTGCCTAGCCTCTGTGCTTTAGCACAATTCAAGACTTACCGTAACTTCAACTTTGCACAACTGGTTGATAATGGGAGGAACGGCTTTTTCAGGTTCTCTTAACTTTAACCCTACAACAAAGGGATATCCAGAGGACATTTCAAACAGTTCGATCGGATCAGGAGTACCAGCGCCAACAGTGAAAACCGTTACATTCTTGTCTTTGAGAACCTTTGTGTTATCTTGTGGATTTATAGTTGGCAAAAAAGGGCTCTGTGACTGCTTACCATCCGTGAAAATAACCAGCACCTGAAGAAAACAAAATGAGCAGATGAAACAACATCTTTTATTTTACAAGCTGAATCTTACATGCAGTTTGATTGGTTCCTACTTATGATCTATTGTAGGTATAGTTGCATACATAACGTCACCATTAACGACAATTTACTTTCTTATCATATCAAACAAATAGATTCCATGTAGGCTTGTGCCATTACAGTAATAATTCACACAAGACGAAAAAATATGGCAAGACCATCAGTAACACACTCGGCTGCGCTTTCGTGTACCACTTTTTTGTTCTAACCACATTTTGATGTCATCTGTGATCTATTATAAGACAGACGTACGGAAAAACGGAATCTATTTTTTCACTAGTTTGCAAAACGCGTTTCGACATTTCTTTTTAAATTTAGTTGAAAAGGCTCGTTGAACCATTAAGTACTCATTAATGGATACGTCATTAAATTACACCATAAAATTTAATATACTAAACAACTCGTAAACAATTTGAATGAAATCCAAAGGAAGAACAGAAAAGCAGTAAGTGACAACTATTTACCGAAGTGGAGGTGACTAGTGGTGGATATTTACCGAGCCGCAAAGCGGCGAGAAAATATATACCACAAAAAGATGATTTGGACTCATCGATTCCCGCTACAAATACAATACTTTCGGGCTCAAGTCCCGCGTTGCTCGGAGATCACCGTGCGTTTCTCGGAGATGACAAGCTAACAATATTCGGAGTTTGAGTCACCAATCAGAGTGCGCCCTCAACGCTTTTCACTGTTTCGTATGCACTAAAAAGTATGCGCCATAAAATACCTGAGGAAAAGCTAAACGAAAACAAAAGGGATAAATCAAGATGTTTATTGGTTTAGAGTTGGATTCCCCCATTTAATATGTAAAGTGTCTTTTATATTGGAAAATTTAAGTGGCAGAATCCGAAATGATTAAAGAATTTGCAAGGCAGTAATAATCAAGACAAACCTTCAGAAAACTGCAAAAACCTTTTAACTTGAACTTACAGAGGCATAAAGTCCTGATAAACAGAGCGTGGAGTATTACAATTACACAAAGACCACACTCACGTTTAAATCGGACCGAACATATGCTCAAATTTTTGTCCGGGACATTATCTGTTCCTCAGAGTTCCTAGATTGCCGTTTGAGAATCGATTCCCCGCGGGCGAATCAGATTTGTTCAATGGTCCACGTTCATGACTAGATTAATAACATTTTTAATTGGGGCCCCTAAGTTTGTTTTGTTTGTATGTTGGTTTTCCAACTCTTCACACAGAGTAATTGAATACGTTGTTACAAAAATAACAACAAAAACAAAACAAAACATTTGAGCGATAAAAACAAACTTTAAACTGAACGAGATTTTTAAGGGAGTTCAGCTTGCCATCAACGCACGTGTTCTGGCTGCCATGGCGGCACGGTGGCTAAGGGAATCTTAAGTCGAGGTTTGGATAATTCAGCAAATGGGCCGTTTGACAATGGTACACGTGGGATTATAGTCCTGGCCCCGGTTGTTCTAAAGGTGGATAACGCTATCCAAAGGATAAATCTCTATCCAGTGCATAGCACAGTTATGCACCATTTGAACAACTGGGCCCTGAATTATAACCACGCACCTTTATGGGCCCGTCACAGATAAAGTAAATCAAAAGTAAACTTGGAATGGACCGGCTTTCCTTACCTTTTTATATTCGGGTCCTCTCATTCCCTCTGATGTCTGAAAAAGTTCATCATTACTCATATCAATGCCTCTATTAAGCATCGTATTTCCATCTCCAATTTTGTATGACTCTATTGCAGCTTCCACAGCAGCAGGAGTTTGAGTTTGAGTAAATTTATACAGCAACTTTGGTGAGCTGTCAAATTGGACTATCCCAACGTGAGTTCCATTGATACCAGGGTTAATATCGAAATTTCCAACAAGTTCCTTCACGAACGTCTCTATGCTTCCTTCGTTGTCGAACCCAGGCAGATTCAGACTTGCTGAACTATCCAACAATATTCCAAGATCGATGGGGGGGCAACCTAAGAGTTCTATCAAATAGTAACGGATGGAAATTAAAATTACTGTCCAGTACTAAATCGAAGTGACAATATGGTGAACTTGTGGACATATTGTCCTGAACGTAATTTAAGAAGTCCTTAGTTGGAAAAGTAAACTTGGTATTCAATACCTACTCTCCTAAAATGAGTAAGTTCCTAAGAGGTTGGGTAATTAGTTTAAATTTTGGTTAACAATTGGTCCACCATATCTGATAAGATGCGTGCCCTCTTAAGACTTCTCAGGCGGTGCTAACACCACAAAATTTGCATATCGAATCCCTAAATCACTCATTCCTATGCTTCTCATATCCGCAAGTAAACGAAAGAAAACGTTATTCGTCCCGTTAGGAGCCTTGTCTAGTTATCATAAATCAATTTTACACCATCATAATATCACACGAAATCATACATCAGCGTTTAGTAATTAATATTTGAAATATTTATAACAGAAGTTCTTAAAAGCCTTTGAGTTTCTCCTTATCTCGTGTGCTTTTTGAACGGCATTATTCAAATATTTTTACACATACTCCGACTGAAATAGAAGCACCTTTAACATGGTGACACAAACTGGCCTTGATTGAAAAATCACAAATTTTATAATTTACGATTACAATTTTTATTAATTCTCCTGGAATTCTGTCAAAGAAGTAGAAACCAAGAAATCAATCGATAAGCAGGTATTGAAATGCATGGCTTGTGCGTAAGAAGAGGGAGTAACGGTCTCATTTGTCTACAGCTCCTTCACTACGTAACGTTATCCAATATATCGTTTTGCATTAGTATTATAACCACCTTAACTCTATATAGACTAAGTGGATCCTCGGCAAAAATATCACATCCTCTACCTCTTTCGGCTAGTATGAATCGTAATAAACGAAGATGAAACAAGTGTGGCTAGGGATGGATAAAATTAGAGCGGACTACAGATGACGAGCCACAGACATTTCGAAAAATTTTGCAACCGTGACTTAGCTCTTGAAATTCTGACACAGAAATATTTTCGGTTAACTATTCTCTCTCTTACCATATTTAATGAGACAGAAAATGACGCTTTTTCAACGAGCAGCTGCACGCCAAAGCGACACAAATGTGGGACTCGTTTAAAATATATCAAGAAGAAAAGAAGCACTCGTTAAAGCTGCGTTAAAATTAAACAGGTGAACGTCACGTTAGACGATAACAATGCTTAACTGTCTGAATAAACAGTGGGATCATTATCTGATACGAAAGAGACGTTTGTGGTTAGCTTAATCGACTGTCACATCACTGCTATGATAAATATGTCTTTCCAAAGTGAACCTTTTTGAAAAATTGTTCGGAGAGTCCCAAGCATCGTGTAATCAGTTTTACTTTTGAGAAAGATCGGCGGAGTTTAGTTTTACAATCCTCCGATATTGGGTGTTATGGGTGTTGATAATCCTTGATTTCTCTGACAATAATCAAGAGAGGATCCTCTCTAGCAACAACTCAGTGTTAATTCATAAAAAGCATTTGTCGCTTGTTAGCTGTACCCTTTGCTACATACCCTGCGGAGTTCCATTCAAAATTCAAGTATACTTTTAAGGTAAAGATGATTTTTAAAAAGAATTTTCAAGCCTGAAATTGTTACTTAAACGAATGAAGTGTAATTCCATAAAGAAACGAACTGAAGATTCTGCGAGACAAAGGTTGGAGGATACTTAATGATAGGAATAACGTAATGACATGGCGTAATAGTAACGCTTGCATGAATGTGTAAAAACAAAGCGCCTCTGTCCTCACGCAGTGGCTTTCTTGAAGTATCATAATATAACCGGGGGAGCAGGAAATTTATGAAGTTTAAGGCTTGAAGGCGAGAGTTGTTTGGTTGGAAAATGCGTTTTTAAAATGCCTAAACGTGATCAACTTGGTAGATTAATTTCACATCATAAAAATTTAAGGCATTCCTGAGACTGTGTATTGTAGACTTGATGATGAAGTAACGTAAAAACTAGTCCAGTCGTTTCCAAATGAAAAGAAACTTAGGCATCAACACGGTAACGCATGTTGCTTCACAATAACAGCAGGGTAATGTAGGCGAAGGCCACAAGAGTCGTAAAAACACGGCGGGGAAGTCATTTATGTAATATTACAAATAAAAATTACTTACGTGCTTCAGACTCCAAAGACCACGCGATCAGCAAGCTGAACAGAGCTAACAAGCTACGGCTGCCCATGCCGACCAACAAAAAAATCTCAGTCTGGCAGACAACAGCAAGCTATTCCTTTGACATTAACCCCCAATTTCTCAGCTCCCTCGATCGATTATTGCATAAAGACTTGGCTGGTAGTCAATGATAATAGTCTTTTATTCCTGAGCCATTCTTTGTGACATGGATGGGAAAGATTTGCAATTCGAAACCTAGACGTAATATAATATCACAGGCAAGATTGCACCCTTTTTTTTCGTCTCACGTGCACGCTTGTATATCCTTTTGCTTCGTTTATGTCATCGACATTTGGGATTTCCTTGAGAAAGAAAGCTCTGCTCAAGGAGAAAAATTTCGTGAACACATTTCTCGCCAGGATCTCTAAAATGGAGGACTTGAAATAGTGGCCAAGTATCAAAGGTCTTTGATAAAGCTATTTTTGGAGGGAAACTGCGCCTAGTCGTGGCTGGTTAAATATATTTTCAGTCTTTCTGAGTGTTTAAAAGTAGGTCTTTTTTCCCATCTTTTGTTCCACAAAAGGCCCGTTTACATATAACAGAGGAATGATGAATGAAAAAGAAATGTAAACGTTGTAACGCAGATTTAATAATGTAAACAGTGGAGATATTTTGAAACATCATTGGCTGAGAGCTTCTTCGGATTGATAACCACATTGTAATGTTTAAGTATCCAATTCTACTGATTTTGTTAGGTCGATTAACAATGATGACAGTTAATCTCACCAGTTTAGTAATAGACTAGCACGTAAACGAAGACATTCATCGTGATGGAAACACAGGTCCTTTCTATTCCAATCGATGAAATACTATGGACCAACAAAAATATCCCCATCAGTAAGACTCGATGTAGAAAATAAAGGTTCATTCAGGAGGTCGCTGTCCAAGAATGTATTCTAGTTGCGGCCGACTGAAGTAGTTCGCACCAAATATTCATAATACAATTCAAAAGGCTTTGATTGGGTGTAACGTTCATCAACAGCGTACTCTAGTAATATCAACCAAGTTGATATCGTAAGAGTTAAGAGTTTGAAAGCTAGCTTAACTTTCAACTCTTACGGCGGCCAATTTACGTTGTCGACTCAGTTGATAACACCGAATTACCCCGTTATACTCTCCCAGTGACGCAGCACTTCAGTTTCTTTAGAAACTTACCCCCTAGTAACATTCAGAGTATTGCGTTACAATTTTATACCATTCTCTCTTTTGCCTTTGGAAACTTTGCCCACTACTTTGTCATCCTCCTCAACGCTTCACTGAGCGATCGAGATAAAGAAAAAAACGTGTCTGTAATGGGTTACTTTTCCCGGGAAATCTTGACGTCATGGGGTCCCGTCGTCCCATTGGTTTGCAGTTTCAGGAGGAGAGATAATCTCCTGGCGTGGCGCGAGTTGTTTGCGAACCTTTATAAGCTAAAATCTCGCACTTGATTTTGGAGCGAATACATCGGCTTTCCGTCCCATGGCATCCATTTACGCAAAACGCCTCACATATTATTAGCTACTCCGACTTTAGATGCCGATATCTAGAAAAGCCTGACACCTTTCTGTTGATTGATACCCTGTGAATAAGAATGTTCAGCCATTTTGCTCATGCTGCGTTATTCAATACCCGATAAATTGAATAGAAGAACCCTCGTTCGTTTCACGCCTTAGCGGCTCCTGACACTTCCTAAAAGGAGACCTCGCTTAAATTATATTTTTATCGTAAACTGCAGTATAGTTTGTTAAGATTTTAGTGAAACTAGCGCGCGCACGAATTTTTTTCCCGAAGGACACCCGCGAAGGTGGGAAGTAACCTTAATGAAGGCAAGCAGAAATGGTGCCGTGGTAAAAGCGTTTGATTGACATCTCTGTTGCCCACGTTCAATGTGCGGATCTAGTTGTACCGATAAACGTTCATCGACTTTTCCGATTTTAGCTTACGAGCAGGTCTCTTTATTAGTGCCTCAGCATGATCATTTCCTTGCCCGCGGGATTGTATGAGGCCTTGAGCAACGCCTCCAGCACTTATAACGCGTCTACAATCTTCCCGCAGGCGGAAAACGTGCGTCCCGCAGCGCTCATTTAAGAGCCCGTTAGCTGACTATTTCGGTTTCACCTATTCTGTGGTTTTCTTGCAAAAACCAACTGTCAAATTTCCTCTTCCGACCTGGAAACAGTGGACGAAGAGCCAGTTCGTGGACGTAGCAATTTTAAAATCCAATTTATTTATTTATATATGACTGATTACTGAACATGGGCGAACTGTTTCGAAGCCTGTTTAGCTTTTGATGAAGTAAATTAATGAGAAGTATCATTTTCTATAGTGATCATCCTTCATTTGGCCACTTAATCTTCCAAATCTTATTCATCGTGATTCCATACGAAACTTGCTTATTATAAGGATAAAACAACTTTTATTTAAACAACTGCGCTTGGAAGGTCCCAAAAACTACGTTTTTTTAACATGCAGCAGCCGCTAAGGACTGCTTCTCTCGTTTGAACTCAATAACTTACAGTCTCAAGTTTTAATCACTGCACCTCTTTAACAACAATGTACAGTTTGACATGCATTTTTGACCATTAAGAGAAGCAAACGCGTCCGAATTCTAGACCAAATTCCTCTCCACTATCTCCGATATCATATACAGCTACATCAAGAACGGGGAGACGGTGAGGTTTGGGTGTGTCCACTTCCAATGTGGTACGATGCCAAGATCCGTCTTTCAACTACACAAGACAAAAATAAGCATGAGGATATGGAGGGGAGAGGAAAAAGAGGAGAAGGTGAAGGAGAAGAAGAAGGAGAGGGACAAGCAAAAGGCGAAGGAGAAATGGGAAATGGAAATGGAAATGGAAATGGAAAAGTGAAAGAAGGCAAAGTAAAAGAAGGAAAAGAAGGAGAAGGAGAGGGAGAAGAAGAGGCAGAAGGAGTAGGAGACGGAGAAGAAAGGGGAGAGGGAGAAGGTGCGGAAGAAAGATAGGGAGAGGGAGAGGCAGAGGCAGAGGCAAAATATCCTTTCACTCTGCTCCAACGTGCTTTAACAATTTAGACGTTGATGCCTAACTTTGACGTTTTAGAACGTGACTGAACCTCGATCTTGTCTTCAAATGAGAAAGTTCGGGTTTTCATCCCAACCCACGGCTTATAGCTGACATCATATTTTCTCTTGATGAAGGTAACGTTAAACTCGAACCTAGGTAGTCTCATTCTTTTTTTTTTTTCGGTTTCACTTACCGCACAGTCATCCCCCACTAGTGTCGGTTTAAATTTGTTAGAGGATCTCGAGTGCAGTTCAAGTCCATTAACAGTTAACATCTTGATGGACTTTATCCCTTCATTCGAACTCTTCTCAGGCCATGCTACTGAGTTCTTGCAGTGATACGTAATCCGCTGGCGGGCACGATCGCTTAACAGCTGGAGGAACTCCAGCTGACTTTGCTCCGACACGTATTCAAGCTGTGCAGAATACAAAACAAAAATAGACGGTGAATAACTAAACTTCACAAGTTTAAATCAATCAAAGAAGTTGAAGCCATGGGGTTAGGCCAAGTCAAGACCTCTGGTCGTTTTGCATCGTTTACCTTCCATATAATCTCTCTAATTTTAGTCTGCCTGTGACGATCATACTTCACAAGTCATCTGTGATCAGGATTGTGAATGGCGCGTATAAAAAATGTGTGAAATGTAGAAAAACAAGTAATCGGACAACAGAGGTGAAATAAACGTTGTTTTTTCCAATTCTCATCTATTATGACTTCAAAACGTGTACAACTTCTGATTGTTATTAGAAGCTCTTAGTATATGCGCAGAAAGTAGTTTAATCAAATTTCAATTTCCAAATTAAACTCCTGTTTGTCTTATCTCTGAAGATTATTTGTCCTGATAAGCCAATTAAGCGTTGTATCCGCAATCCAATAAAGAAATCATAGCTTTTAACGCCATTGTTAACACGACATCCTTTGAGGATAAATCAACAAACAGAACGTCTAGTGGCAAATATAATATTTTCTAAATGGAAAGAATTCCATTAAAGAAATATATCTTATTAGACGTTTTGATGTGTAACACGGTAATTTAGCGTTATCAACTGAGTTGAAAACGTAAATTGGCCATCATAAACAGTTCAAGACTGACGTTTCGAGCGTTAGTCCTTCGTCGGAGCGATTGACGAAGAGCTAACGCTCGAAACGTCAGCCTTAAACTCTTTATGATGGCCAATTTGCGTTTTCAACTCAGTTGATAACACAAAATTACTCTGTTATGCTCTCCCACCGACGCAGCACCACAGTTTCTTTAAAAACTTACTCCCGTTGTTCATCCGTTTTGGTACGAGTTGTGCCGTATTTTGACGAGCCCGTAGAGAAGCATACAAATTGCTGTAGGTTGTGTTTCCAAAGAAAACGAACAAAGTTTTGCAATTTGAGTTTCTCGTTTTTGATACAAATGATTCATTATTAGGGATTTGGGGTCAGAATATTAATATTGTTAAGTTTTTTAACTATACGTGAAAAAAGCTGCAAAAACACAAATGTTCTGAGACTTGCACTTCTGCTACAAAACGAATAATAACCCTGAAAAAAATATGTTAAAACGTAGCACTCTCAAGTTTCCGAAGACTGAGTACTTACCTTGTCAAGTCCGAGCAGTTCTTTGCCTAGCCATTTGTATCCATCGCTACCGCTGAACCATTTCTTCTTGTCAGTTACAAACGGCTGTAGAGCAAGAAACCATACAAATTGATTGACCCTCCCAGTTTTGAAACAAAAGAGTCCTATATTGAGAGCATAGCTACAGTCACACCAGTCCAACACAGCGTTTTAGAGACAAAGTCTACACCAACGAAAACACAGACAATGGAACAAGATCACCAACCTGGTTTTCTTGTCCCGGATACAGGCAGGACCCGTTGGTTTGGAATTCACAATAAACTTCGATGGCATCGTTTGCTATCCCACCATTAGGATCAATCCAATAGAGTCCTAAGGTAATTAATTAATCGATCAATCAAATAATCAATCAATCAAATAATCAATCAATCAATCTATCTATCTATCTATCGATCAAACAATACTAAATCAAGATAATTTAGTTTATCGACTGAGTTGACAATGTAAACTGGCCACAGTAGAGAGGATAGTCTGCGTGAGTAAATAAATGAACGAGAGATTGGTTAGCTGAAACACTGGACTTTCGAGAAATAATCATTTTATACTTTGGATGACAGGTCGGTTGCCAACACATTTTAGACCAATTTCGTGATTGTGAGGCACATGATGTGAGGCCTTAAAGGAAATTTCTCGAACTTTGTTATAGCTCTCGCAGGTTGAAAAACCAAACCTTTCTATTAATAAAAGTCAAAAACAAAGATGATGTGTATTAAAAAAAAAAAATGAAATAAACAAAGATCACTTTATGCACAAACCGCTTTTAAGTTCAGGATAGCTCATGTGCAAGTCTCGACAGGTCCTTGCGGGGAATGCTTGGGAGCCGTTGGGATTCTTATACATGTCTATACGATAACTGATCACGTCGTAAAGGTCAATCTATAAGGTAAAGAAAAAAATAAAAGTACAGGTTTTCGGAAAGCGACTATGGAAAGTAAGTGTTGTCATTTTAGAATACTGTATGTCGACGCAAACTCTAGCGTAATTACCTGTAGCCGCTTTCTAGTGCATTGAGTTAGTAAGCCCTATTATTACTGTGGCACAGAGAAGAGCAGATCAGAATGGAAATCCAATTCCAAAGGAAAGTAAGCTGGAACTGTGGAAATTTCAGGTTGCGTTTTAGTTTCTGAGAGGAACGGGTTGGAGCCCGCTGCCAAAGGCCAAATTATCTTTAAAGTAAATGCCCGCCAACATACGCTAAATCAGCTTCAGGTGGTACTGGGAATTTTTCAGTTGACTACAGTAAAAAGGAAAACCTTGTATCGACAGTTTCTTGATCATGAACACAGCGGAAAAGATCAGTTGGTCAATTACATCTATAATTCATCGATCTAAGAAGTTAAAGGTACGACTTTCAACGTAACTAAGAAGAAGGTAAGAACAACAACAAAAACAGCCACAATGACACTAGGAACAATAAAACTCCACTGCATTCCACGGCAATAATATATTGTTGCCGCATAAGGGACGTCGAATCCAATAATTAAACTGTTAGTATTAATTTACTAGCTTCAATACTCAAGCAACGTTTATGCCATGTTATCAAACTCCTATGGGACTTCCACGGGGAAAGCGGTTTGTAACTTGGAAAAAAGTCATCTTACCTGAGGCTTGGTTTCGGCCGCAGTGTCCTGATAATGGAAACACAAAAGGTCAACTCAATTATTTAAAACATTCACACACAAGTGACATCGGATACACTTATGACATTTAATTAACATTAAAAGAAAAAAAAAGGCAAACTAATACTTTTATATGGTGGATTTCGATATGTGTAGTTAGTTTTAAAAGCTGAGGGAAAGATTGTACCTAGAAAGGATATTTTGATAAGCTTTCTACTCCTCCCCTTTTATAACACCTTTCTATCCATTACCCCCTCTCGATTATTACTTTGATCGCCATTTTGGTGAAGGTGATATTCATTGTACAGAAACTTAGGCTACCATTTCCCACATTTAGTACATCTTCACTACACTACGCTAATACCTGTTCGCCGCTTCGGTACAACCTCCTAGATCCAGATTTTTCTGTTTGGAGAGAGGCAGGATCGCTGTAATCTTGTTGGTAACCTGGGAACTAGACCGACACAAAGCGTAGATAAAGTTTAACGGTTCTAAACATGACTACTAAACAGTTAATCCACGAGCGCGCGTTGGATATAAGATGATAGCCAACGAGGCCCGTGGGACCGAATTGGCTTTAGTCATCTCATATCCAACAAGTGTGAACGGAATAATTGTTTATTACAAACGCCCCAAAGTATAGATAAATCTTCCCAACTTTATTTTGTAAGAGCAAACGGAACGCCAGTGTTACAATGTAAAAAATCACTACTAGTTTAACTCGCCTTCATGCGCGCAGATGGTATAATGGCTAAGCCAATGAAAACTCTTTTATTGCATTATCCAATGCTCCAGTTTTTAGTAACAAGAAATATTACATTGTACTTAAGGAATTAACAAATCGATTCCATGTTGCCGTGTGTCTGTTCAGAAACAGATCACAGGAGACGTCAAAATGTGGTAGAGCATAAAAGTAGCACACGAGGCGTAGTGTGTTTCACTGATGTTCTTCAGCTTTCAGAAGTTTGGAAAGCGCAAGAACAACATACGAACAGAATGTGAATGACTTACTGAAAACTGTCCCGCAAACTCAGCTGGAAGAACGGCCTAATGAAGGAAAAATAATGATTAATACTAGGGTTCTCTTTCGCAGCCAAACAGGTTCACAGGGAAGAAGGTGGAGGGTGGCTGGAGCTGTAAGAAATCCATCACCTGCGCATTCCCGTCATTGTTATAAGTATTATTTTTTTTCTAACAACGAGAGATTTCTATTAAAAGTCTGGAAACATTCCTTCCTACGCCTTTAGATCGGGCTTATTAAAAAATGGCGATGACAATTTCTTTGACTGGCTCAAAATTTGGAACGAAATGCGAATTCTTGGGAAAAAACCCAAAGAAAAGGAAACAAACGGACAAACACGAGGGGCCTCCATGGATGATGTAAAATGCAAGAAAATATTTACGATGAAAAGCGACCCTGTAGTTTAGCTTGTATGCAATTTTTGTTCACTGGGTATTTCACTTACCGGTGAACCAGGAGGTCCTCTTCCACCTGCGGGACCCTGAGATAATTTTATTGAATACAATCAGAATTGTATACAAACTTAATTTAATAATGTTATATCACACTAGCATTGACAACACAATTAAATGCAAGAAACTCTCAGATCAAGAACCAAGAAACAAAACCGTATCAGGCCGCTCTTTGAGCCTGAACTTGATCAGAAGCACCTTTACTGAACTGATTTCTTTCCCTGTTAGTCAAAACGATTTTCTTTTTTTCTTTATGTTAAAGCACAAATTTTTCATTCCTGAAAAAAAATGTGAAGAGAAAAACTTACCTCTTGGCCGTCGTCGCCCTGAGAAACCACAAGAAATAAGAAAGGAGAAAAAAAAAGCAGGATATGAGAGAAACGTCAGTTTACAATCACTGTTGTGCTAATGGAAAGCCATGTTTATTTCTAAAATATTAGTTTTTTTGAAAGATTTTCAAACTTAATAAACGATAACACTGTTACTCTACCTGACGACCACGATCTCCCTGAAAAAGTAAAAATATAAGAAAGTAACGGTATTAATGAAAATAAACAGGAGAAGAAACAGCTAACATGGGACGCCAAAATTAATCGTTAGAGCCATTCCCTAGTAAAGGTCCATAAAAATAATCAGTAATTAATAGGTTGTGATTATTTACGCATTACGGACCAAATTTTCAACTGAGTGTCAAAAGTAGTCCGTGATTGCTTAGGTTGTGCTTTTCTTCGCTCTGTGATTGGTCCAGAAAACTCACGCCATTCTGTAAACCAATCACATTCAAAACTGAAACCAACCATGACTTGTTCCCTAACCTTTGTCCGCGCTTTAGGCAGTTTGTTTGGTTGACTTTGAGTTCTCATTAACTCAGTTAAACGAATTTTCCTTCTTCTGATTGGCCGTTGCGATTACCTTGGCTTTGATATTTTCGAAACTCAAGTGAAAACTGCTCTAAGTCCGACTCATGAAAAAATCAGCGTCTGAATTAAAGCCGTTCCAGAGTTGAGATTCCCGTATCACGTTGAAGAGGTCAAAAGTAAGCAGCTAATGAAAAAATAATAAAAACTACCTTCAATCCTACGGATCCAGACATTCCTGTTGGTCCCTGTCACGAAATAAAGTTTAATAATGTTATAAGGACTTGACATCCTGAATATCATCAAAATAAAATACCCATGTATTTGACTTACTTCAAAACCTTCGTCCCCTCTTTCACCGACCCGACCACGTGGCCCATCAGCACCCTGGGCAGAAGACAAAAAAAATCCCTTAGTAAATTAAACTTAATTCGTGAGCTTCCATGTTTATTCGATGAACGCCGCAGCTAGGAACGTGGCGCTTATCTGTTCGCCTGCTTGCAGGCCATTCCATTGTAACAAATGATTGTATTAAGTTTAAATATGAAAAAACGTTTTTCGTCATGATTTCTATAAAACGATTTTACGATTCTTCAATGAGCACTGCACCTGAAACGCACTGGATATATTGAATTCCGTAACGCTTAATTTAAGTCAGAGGGTAAAATATCTTTTTGCTGGAAAATACATTAACAAATAGGCAAATGAATAATAACAGCTGACAGCCTACCACAGCTCCTTCTAACCCACTATCTCCTCGTGGACCAATGGAGCCTTTTTGACCCTAAGGTTGAAATATCCATATGAGCATTAGCGAAATATCAAAGGATCGTTGGGTCCAGGGGCAAAGTTACAAAACTGGACAACCATATATCACTGTGGATAATTGTTTCAAATGATGTGAAGAATTGTTGTAGATCAGTATGCGTGTCCTACTGCATCAATAGATTAAGCTTCTTGTTCAACTCGACGTCTTATGCGCAGACTACACAATAAACATATTTCTTTGGAGTTGAAGTGTACCTACCAAAAATAAAAATTTATCATCCCATTCCTGCACCGAAAATTTCCTCACTGAGTAACGTTAAATGAAAAGATTTTAAGCCACGACCTACCTTTGGTCCCAGGCTCCCGTCTGGGCCCGTGTCACCCGTATCACCCGCGTCTCCCTAGAAATTAAAATACGTAAAGAGAAAACTTTTATACATCTGCTCTCTTTTCGCCTAGGAGTTTTGGCTCTTTACGCTTTACATCCTTCAAAAAATTAAAAATCTAATGTCAAAGAATAGAACACAGATGTTACAAATAACAATATCTTGTCAAAAACGTTTTGTTTGATTTTTTTGTGAGGGAACCTCATTTTGTTTTTTCTCAGATATTCTCGACATAAATGTTTGTAGTTAACATTATTTTACATTGTGTGCTAGGCGAAATGAAACAGATAAATACATAACCAAATAAATTAAATGATCCATAAAAAAAAGAATGAGTCATCAAGGATTCTAATGATACCTTTTGTCCTCTTGAACCGACGTTTCCATCATCACCTGATTCTCCAGGATCGCCCTGGACTCAGACAAAAGAAAACTGGAATTATTAATAAAAATGGGAAAAAAAGTATTATAAAAAATTGGTTTCTTAAAATATTACGTTGGTCTTATTGAATTTAATGCTTAGGTATATCATGTCATGTCAACCAAATTGGTGTGAACAAGCAACCAGAACTACATTGGTAGGCTAAATACGTCAAGAGTAAGTTAATTTAACTATATAAGAGGCTGAAACCGGAAAAACCGGATGAAACTGCCTTGTATAGGTTAATCGACTCACCGTGGCACCAGGGTTGCCGTCAGATCCTCGCGAGCCACGCTGACCTGGAACACCCTAAAACAAGACACGCGAATGAGTGGTTTGTATGAGAAAACAAGGACTAACCCTAACCCTGAATGAATTTATGAATTAATGAACCCCTCACATACCAAACCTCTTTTACAACGGCGCACTTCGATGACACAATGTAATCATGATCTTAACCCTCTCTTTCAGTAAAAGAATTAACTTGTAAGTTACCGCGAAAGAGGATGCTAGATTAATCCTGGTTGTGGTGAGCTATCTTTTGAGGTTCAAATGCCTCACAAAACGGAACGGGGTTCTACTTCTCATTAGGACTGTGTTATCAAACAAGGGGTTTAACACCAGGCAATGTCTCGTGCGACTACCCCACGCGACTCTCTGTGGACCTCTGGGAAACTTACAATGACTATATTACAAACATATCGGAACCAGAAAAAGTGTAACTTGACTAGAAGTGCCTCTTCAGTGAGGGTAACAGATTAAACGTAACCTCAACCCAAGGGATGCTTACGAGACTGTAAAAAGTGTCCCCTGAATAACAGCGTCTCTGCAGCAACGGTCACAATTAGGATTAAATTTGGTGGCCCTTAAATGGGGCTGAATAAATGGCTAAAAAAAAACCTTTTCCAAAGAGAGGTTCCAATGGACTTCTTTCTTTACAACAAAAGCCGCACAAAGTTCAAAGCAGCCTCAAACACTTAGTAATTAAAACAGGAAAGCGTTGTCTATATGAATATTGAACATACCACAGTGCCTTCGGTTCCAGTGGCTCCTTCTTCGCCTTTTGGACCCTCCGGTCCAGTTGGACCAACATCTCCCTGTGATCCAGCTGCTCCCAAGTCGCCGTCAAGGCCCTGAAAAGTGATAGGCAAGGGTTATTCGGCTGTCAAACAAAAAGTCATCCGCTCGCTGAAACAATATCACCAAGAGTATCCAGGAAACTTGGGAAAAATGCATCTCGATCCCCACCCCTGCTCCTAACATTAATACAACGTTAACTAATAGACAGCTATGACACCTTCACAGAAAAAATTGTGAAGGGGAGGGAGGTGTGTGATTTTCGTCGCAAAGTAAGTCCATAAATAGCAAGTGCTTTAATCTTTTACAACGGAAAATCAGGAAGTATATTCTCCATACTGTTCTCTATACATTTCCTTAGGTGCTGACAAGAAGAACTTGTTTAACAATGAAGAATTTCTTGGGTTGGTAATAAGAATGATAAATAAACAGACAAATGAAAGAATGAATGTTCACATGTATCAATAAAAAAGAAATGAATACATATATAAATATATATATATATAGTGGTAATAGGACTGAGTGGAGTCCAATTCGGTCTGTAATCACACGAGTGATTAATAAAATCGGACGACCGCGAAGCGGGAGTCCGATTTGTTTATCACGAGTATGATTACAGACAGAATTGGACTGCAAGAAATCCTGTTACCAATTAATCATAACCATTTCAATTTCCGAAAAAACAAATACACCTAGAACAAATATCTCCAGTGGAGACAATGTCTTTAGTTAAAAATTCCTCCATTTTGGAAATTGCCTAGTTTTTCTTTGGATAAGTGGTTGTTGCTGTGGTTATTGTGATCAATTCTGTGATTGGTGGATTTAGCTGAGTGGACCTAGTATGATTGACTGCTTAAACTGTCCGATTACAGCCAACTGTCCGATTACAGCCAACTGTCCGATTACACTATCCGATTTCAACTGTACAGAATGATTAGTGCAAAATGAAGTTGCAAAGGCACCAATAAGAATTGGGGAATTTGTAATGGTTATGATTAATGAAGAAAAAGATAAACACAGCTCGAAGGAGAGCATGCCAACATAGAGACTAGATAAATAGCTGTAAAACTACTGAAAGTTCAGGAAGCTTATTTTTCTTGACGAGCCCTACCTTAGATCCATCTCTTCCACGTTGTCCTGCTACACCAGATTCACCAGGACTTCCCTGTGACGAAAAGAGAGTTCAAATGGTTTTCAGTTAAAGGGAAAGCAGAACAGCAAATGAAACTGAACCTTAAGCTATATCCTTTGATTGCCTACAAACGCTTTCAAAACAAGAAAAAGAAAGGATTACTGAGATAATACTGCTGCTCAATTGGGGCGATCTGATGGCAGACCCTTTTTTCAACGAGTTGCCCTTTTTCAAAAACACTTAGTGCAATGTAACCAAAACAAACAAAAAGAGGACAAAACGAGCAACAAAATACTTACAGTGGAACCGCGTTCGCCAGACTTCCCTGGAGAGCCAGCTGCTCCTACCTCACCCTGTAAAAAAAAACAACAACAAAAAAAAAATTAACCAGGATGAATTCAAAGAGAATGGTTTTCTTTTTCTCGTGAAGTTACCACAGTATATAAATCTTCATCATTTCAGAGCAATGACAAGAAGATAAACTTACATCTATGCCAGCTTTTCCGTCTATTCCTTCCTTTCCTTGTTCTCCTATTTCTCCCTAGCAAAAAAAATTGTGAAACATTGAAAATATTACGTAAACGTGATATTGTTTCGGCTAACCGAAATGAAATCATGTTCAACTTTTGAAATAGGTTGCAATGAAATATGATCTTCTTTTTTTCTTGAGCGGCCTGTAGTGGGCCATTTTGTCTTTTCATAGCCAAGAAAATTGAATTTCAGCGAGTTTCTCTCACCATCATACATGTGTATGTTCCTTATACGAAAACATTCTTCTGAGAACGGCGATAACTGATGATTTTAGTTAAAGTCTAATTCATCAATTAAGAAAGCACACACTCCATTCTCAAGTGAAGCTGATCACAGACCCCTTAACCACGCAATAATCGACTACTCAACCCCAGGCAGGGTGGCTCAGCTGCAGTGTCATGGACGCGTAATCCGAGGAAAGGAAACCTGAGATTTGGGATGACTCATGACTCAGTAAACGTTCTGAAAGGGTTTGATTCGTATTCCCTTGTTCATCGACAAATATTGGAAATAGCCAAGAAGTCTGTCTTTAAAATCCCGTTCCAGAATCGGTATTTTTACAATTTTGTATCATGAACGATGCTGTATAAATCACACATAATTTGATCCATAGCTGGATGCTGGTAACATTAACCGTCTCACTCTCAGAAGTGGTTCGATTGTTACTTTCCCTGACAATTTTAACACAGTATCCAGCGAATAGCTCATTAGAAAAAAAAAAAACCTATCAGCTTATCAGATAACATCAAATATTCTCTACTGATTAGTTTCCAAGAAAATTCACAGCAGTCGGAAGGGAGAATCATTTATGAGATCTCTAGAGTTTGAAGGGTTAAATCAACTGTACCTTTGCTCCCGCTACACCTTGGATTCCTGCCTTACCAATCAGTCCAACATTGCCCTGGAAAAAAAAAATGTTGAGTCTCTCTGGCCCTAGAGTCCGTTTCTCGATAGTCCTGGTGACTTTACGGCCCCGTAAAGCTGTTTTAATTTTTATTCCAGATGGGGGTTTCAAAGGTTTTGAAAACCCCACCAAATAACAAACAATTAAAGAAACAAAATGGACTGGTTAGGATGCCAGAAACTACTACTTATTCAAATTTGATTTTAAAATATGGTTTCAGGCCCGTTTAGTTACCGGGACTTTCGAGAAAAGGGCTTCTGAACGGATATTTTTCGTGTCAGAGGAAAGTCACTTACCCTCATTCCAACTGGCCCTGAGTAGCCCGCAGCTCCATCTAAGCCAAAATCGCCCTGCGAAAAAAGTAAGACAAATAACGGCTCATACACCATGGTGAATAAGCCAATCAAATCACAAGAGTAAATGGCGGTGACGTCAACGTCCTTGTCACCAATGGTTCATTGGTGCTCCATACCAGCGTTGGCAAGGACGTTTTAGATCCAATTGAAAGAGAATCTCTTTTCTCCTTATTTTTTAATGTCCCACAATCGTTGCAAAAGAAAAAAAAACTTTTTTCGTTTATGTATACAATCTTCCACCTAGCCATCTGACTGATCTTGCAATTTTGCAAGGGCATTGTCGTAGGAAGCTATTTTTTTAAAAAAGGGAAAAAGAAAAATGAAGAATAACATTAACTAGAATAATAATTCAACCACAATTATCTTCACTTGCAGGAAAAAATTGAGGGAACCTTTCAAACTATCTTCCACTTACAATTGACCCAGCAGTTCCGGGTGGACCAGGAGGTCCAGGCTGGCCCTGGGCTCCCTGTACAGCAAATTGGAAAAAAAAATTTCATTAGTCTCCTTGAATGCAAGATGACAACAAAATTCATATGGGCCAGAGCTCAAACAGGAATGCAAGAAATTGTTGAACTCTTTTACATCGAAATTGCTGACATTACAAGTAACACCGAAAAAGGAAAAGCATTCAGGGTCAATAGGCTAGCTTAAAGTTAACACCATTGATAACGTTAGGTTTCTCATCATAGATTGCAGATCACCCCAATCCCCTTTTGTAGCCTATGTACTCATTTAATGCTCCTGTCTTATTGTCAAGATGTCACTTATGCAGGACACATCAATGCGAACAATTAAGAAGCTCTTACCGGTGAGCCCCTGCCTCCGTTGTCTCCTGGGGGACCAGGATCACCAACAGCACCCTAAAAATATGCAATTCAAATGAAAATGTTAAAGTGGCTCTGAAAAGTATAGAAATTTAAGGATACAGTCCTTTGGATTTACACAGCCCCTTGCCGTACACCTAATCACTTAGAAAAATCAAAAATTCCTAGAGCCATGACATTACCTTATTTCCATTGCGACCAGTTTTTCCACTACTTCCTTGATCACCAGCCCCTCCCTAAGGAAAACGCGCATGTGTGAAAATAAAATAAGCAACCCTGCGTTATATTGGTTACAGAAAGGTCAATTCATTAAATTTACCGCTGGTCCAGGTTCTCCCATCATTCCCGTTGCCCCGGGTCCTCCTGGTCCTCCCTGTAATGATAAGAGTAAGTATAGACCTTAAGATTCTTAAATGCAGTCAATGGTTTAAATTTAAATGATCGTTCGTTTGGTTACAGAAAAGGTAAGCTCTAGGTAATATTCAATGAGATGTCTTGTTTAATGAATTCACACTGCGGGTTACTCACAGTGTGAGTATCTAGAAAAAACTGTCATTTCTGTGAAACCTATGAAGTAAAAAGCACATAAACTTCAATTTATTAGTGCAATAGATTCCGACTTACGCTGTCGCCTTCCTCTCCACGATATCCCTTTTGACCCATGACACCTTGAGCTCCCTAATCATAGAGCGGAGACACAGTTACACTTGCAGCTTATCACACGAGATTGTTCGCGGTACACATTAGCAAGATAAACTGGTCAAGGCTCCTTGACAAATTCCATAAGGAATAATTTGCACCACCCGGCCGCCCGTCCGGACGTTCGTATGTCAGTGCATAGGGTTAAAATCATCTTAGCGTGCCATTTTTGGACTGGTGAATTAGCAAGGAAATGTGTCGGAACTTTTCATATAACGCTTTAAAGCAATAGTAGTGAGCGAATATTCAAGAGCTAATGTATCATTTATTTACGAATGTTTCTCCTGTCATACAAAAATCTTCATTATGAACTCCAACGGTCTCGGCCCCTGGTCCTTTTTTTTTTTTTCAATGTCACTCCCTATCCCCCTACCCCACCGCCTTCCCCCCCCCCCGAAAAAAAAAATTAAAAAAACAATTTTATTGACTCCACAGGTGGTTAAAGGAAGCATGTCTGCCTTAGTGGAAAAGTTAAAGACAGAAAGAAAGGAAGGGGAAGGTAACAGCGGGCTTAAGGAAACTTTATCTAGGCTCTTTTATGATTGAGCAGTCAGTATGTACCTGAGAACCTGTATCTCCACTGATCCCATGTAATCCGGCGGCTCCTTCTTGACCCTTCGGAAAAAAAAAGGACATAAAAGCAAATGATGATTAACTCCAGATTTTCACCGAAATACAGTAAAACTCTCAGAAATTCCAGTGATGCAGTAATGTGTTGCATATAGGTACAAAGAAGATTGTATTTGACGTTAACTTACCCTAAATCCTTTAAGACCTGTTGGCCCTTGATCTCCAATGGAACCAATCATGCCCTGAAATAAAAATACATTGCGGCCATTTTAACACCTTTAGCTCGATAGCGTAAATAAGGGTTGCAGTTTTCATCGAGGTGAAAACGATATAAATAAAGTAAAATGGTTTGGCTCAGGTGATTCTTAACTCTAACAGAAACTTTTACAGGAACAGTGGAAAACATTTCCAGCGGCATGGATTCCCTCTATTAAGTAACAGAGCAACAGGACATGGTCAGCGTGCGCTAAGGAGAATGTATTCGAAATGTGAAAATTACAGCTGAATACAATAAGCCAATTGAAGTGGAGTACGATGCTTCAAAGATTGGATGGTGATCAATGGCCCTTATCGTTTCACGAAGACTAGCTGTATGCAGTAGAAACGTCGCGATACACATCGGGAGACAAACGATAATACCTCATAACCGTCCAAATCTAACCATTTATGAATTTACATATTAAACAATGAAGATTCACCTAGGGCGATCAAAGATGCGAAGCTGTTTGTTTCTTTACAGCAGAAATTACGTTATGCTACGTATAACCAGTTTTTAAACATACACACCCATGATATTTAAACTCAAATTTGAACACTGTTGATGACTAAGATCGTTTACCTCGTCGGCACTACGAGGTGGGGGGAAACTGATCAGTTGAGGAATGTATATGCATTTTTCATGACTTTTAACAGAATAATTGTATCAGGAAAGTAGAAGAAATTTGTAACGTTAAAAGTTAAGCATTTCACTTGCCATTTTCCCTTCAAAGCCAGACGCACCAGGGGCTCCCGGGTCCCCTTGTGGACCCTGAAATAGTTGAAGGAGAGGAGATTCATAGTTAACGCTTCGGATCATAATAAACACATGTAATCAAAAAAGGGTATCTAGAGACAAGAAGGATATGTGAACTGGCGAGGACAAATAACATTTTAAGTGTTAATAAAAAAAAGGAAATATCGATACACTCTTCTACCAATTTTGGCATAACGTGAAACATCTGTGCTTCCAATTGCACGCGGTAATTTGCCGATGAGTCCTTTCTATTTGAAATAGAAGTTCACGTACATCAATGTTAAATAAATCATTCATAATAGTGACGTGAAATCCTTCTTTGTTTGTTAATTAATAAATGAAAATAGTTGTTACGATTGAGGACTTCATACATCTGCTCCACTTTGTCCCGGAGTGCCAGCGAGACCACGATCGCCAGAGACACCCTGAAACACATTCACAATAGCTAATATGAGGTACGTATATGCTAAGGAAGATACCCAGGATTCTGGTTGCCTTGGAGGTGTGTTTTGATCGGCATTAAGATGGTCCGTCAATTACACGTTGGTACGTCCTAAGTTAATAACTACTCTCATTCTGGTTTGCTCATCTCATCGTTTAATTTTGACGCGCCTTTTTTAGACGATTATGAGAGTGAAACCCATGGAAAGTCTCCTAAGGAGATTAATGTAATAATAACCCTCGATCATTTCTTTAACATTCAAATCATGGTGCTGATCGTTAGAAACTTTCACATTTTTCAGAATTTCTTCCATACCAATTATGAGTTCTGATCTCTGTACAGAGCATGGATGTGCTCTAGTAACGACAGATTTGGAGTTAAAAGTTAAATGAACACATTATGATATTACGAATTAGTGATAAGTATTCTATGATTATGCTGCTGAGTAATTTTCTCAGTCTGTGAACTCACATTAGGTCCTCGAATTCCAGTTTCTCCTGCTTCGCCAGGTTCACCCTCAGCGCCCTGTTACATTAGAGAGAGGCAGTTCAGCACCTGATATTACTCTTCTCCTTAAATATATGCCATGCAAGACTACAGTCCAAAGCGACTAATTCAAACAAACACCTTAATAGAAAATTATTCGACTACATTCAATAAAACCTGAATTCATACCCGAATGAGCTAGTAAGGCGACACAACCAACTGGGATACGCAAAAACTAAATTTAAGAAGCGATTTAATTTTTGCGGGTTGTTTGTTCCTTTGAAGTCCAAAATGTTATAATCACGGTTTCATCGGAACTGACTAAAGGTATGGAATGAAAACTTTATCCTGTACTGTTTCAGACACTTCACCTGTTGTCCCATCGGTCCAGGTCTCCCAACTCTGCCGGTCGGTCCAGCATCGCCCTTTTTAAAATAAACACACAAATATCACAAATCTTACGAAAAATTAATCTTTTAATTTGATCAAAAGTCATTTCACTGTTAATAAAAGCGATACATACCGCTTCTCCTCTCCTACCCGCTGCTCCAACAGGACCAGTAGCTCCAGCACCGCCCTAGAAGGACGAATAATAGAAAAACTGATCATAATCTTCATAGCAACATGATCAAAAGGTCTAACCCAGAAGCAAATTTATAACAGTAATTGAAATAGGTTTAAATTGGGCAGAAATCATACTCATGATATCAGACAAAAAATCTGTCGACTCGAAGTTCAATAACCACTACTTAGCATCTAGTTTGAAATGGCTCAATACTATTGCCTGATTAGTGTTGGATAGTATTGGTTAATTGTTACAATATTATACGAATCCAGTCGTAAAATAAGCAATATAAAGACACAGAAATCAATTAAGAACTTGACATGAATTTTTGCTGATAAATTACTCCGCCGAAATCTGATCAATCATTTTTTCCGCCAAGCAGATAATAGTGGCGAGAGCCAATCTGTTTTAGAGGATTACCCGGATTTCAAACAAATAAATAAAATCTCACAAAATAACTCGAGGAGTAGCATATACTTTAAATATGATTATGCTTACACTTATTCCACGAGATCCATCTACACCAGCTGCACCTACGGGTCCCATGGAGCCCTGGAGATATCGTTTGAATAATTTAATAATAATAATAATAATAATAATAGTAATAACATTCAAGAGTGTATTTTTGGTTACTTTTCATTATTATTATTATTATTTTTAAATTTTCATTATTTTAGATTTAGATAAACTTATACAACGTGTACATATATATATATATATATATATATATGTATGTATATGTTATATCCTAGTCCACATTGCCTAAGCTGTGCCCGCAATGATATTGATGTATACATTGAATTATTTTACAAGTTATTTTGCTTCTTCGTCAAATTACTGACAATTGCAGTGAAACGATAACAGATTTATGATTTGACCACTTTCTATCGTAGGATTGAACAACGAATTTTCTTTTCCTTGACAAGATCATGGAACTTTCCACAAAGAGTTGGGGGGAATGAAAAATAAAAAATAAAAAAAAATAGCAAAGAAAATACATTTATTGCTTCAACACAAAATTGCTATAAGCAACTTCATCACAAATTTGTGGTAAACTGAAAGAAAAATTGAAACTCAACATCCGAGGACTGCAAGAGCTCACGTATAAAAGCGTTACATACAGGTTCTCCCATGCCTCCTTCGTCTCCCGGAAGTCCAGCTAATCCTTGCAAGCCCTGTATTAAGTAAACAAAAAAACGTTCTGGTACGTGTCCTCCGTCAGGGTATTTAACTTTCGAATCATTCATGGAGATTAGAAACTTAAGTTTAAAAAGCAGCATATGTTAGATGGGACTTTCTTTTAAATCCCTCACGGAATTTGGCAATACTAGACAGGATCTTTTGACAACGATCTTAGAGATTTCACGAAAACCAATACCTTAGAAAAACATAAATATTTAACTAGGATTTTGACACAGAAACTTAAAGGAATTTATCTTGACCCCATATGTACCTGCCAAAAATACGATAAAAGTGGATCTAGGTAAAGGTATACAAAACGAATGAGTGTTGACAAAACGTACTGCGCTATTCACCGGATAGGGATTTATGCAAACGATAAAAAAAAAACAAAAACAAAACAAAACAAAAACACACACACACGCACGCACACAAAAACACAGGGGTCCACACAGGGTCCTGAAGTTTTGTCCCTCTTAGAAAAGAATTTTAAAACCTACCGGATCTCCATTTACTCCGTTAAGGCCAGGTTCACCAGCTCTTCCCTACAAAAGGATAAATCCCACATTTATGAGACTTTGGTTGTAAAGTAACAATCAAAGACACAAATTACGACAGTTTAGCTTCGCAAGCAATGCACATGTTGAGATGAAAATATTTCCCAGGTCACAGGATTATAATTGTACGCGTTTCTGTTGGATTCTTTGAGCACAATATCATCATACTGTTCGGAAATCATTGTTTTTTTAGGAATCAAAATTACGTTGAAATCTCCAATATGAAAAGTGGGTCAAAATCTTGAGCCAAAAAAAAAATAGACCTACAAAGCCTGTTTATGTAAACAAAAAAACGAGAAAAAAGGATCAACAATGGAAAGATAAAATGCCATTTTTTGGAGAGCTGGGTATGCAAAGAAACTTGTTACAAATCTGATTTTTCAAATAGTACTCACTCTTTTCCCAGAAACTCCATTAGAACCTGAGCTTCCTTTGGGCCCCTGAAAGGTGTAAAAGAAATCTTTCATGAAAAAAGGTTTAATTAAAACGCAGAAGTTATCCTAATGTATCTTAGGTGTTCTGTCTTTGAAAATTTGTCCACCCAATCCGGATACTCCCAGCCAATGAGTGTATCGTGCTGTTTAAGTTAAAGAGCTGTGAAATATATTGAAATAACACTTTTTTTTCGAGCGGGAATCTCACATCACATCACATGTACCGCTCATCCATTGACTCACCTGGCGGCCACTGAATCCTGCTGAGCCCGCATCACCGGCAGAACCAGGAGCTCCCTAGGAGTTGAGAGATTTAATTTCGATTAACAAAAATCCACACATACATTAAGAAAGATATAAAATTTCGATAATCTTACCTCATCACCAACGTCCCCAGTTGATCCCTGGGACCCTGCAGGACCTTGGAGACCCTGTGGGGGACAAACAACGGACACAATCATTGCTCGAGTGACACGGTACTAATCGTTTGTGGCCATGGAAACGTCATTTATGTTTTTTATTTTCCTACCATGGTTCCTGATGCCCCTGCCGCACCTTGACCTCCTGGGGCACCTGATTCACCCTAAATAAACCATTGAAAAACAAAAAAATCAAACAAAATAAAAAATGCTATAAGGATGTATCGATATCTGCTTCTCTGGCAGCAGAACCAGCTGTTCACATTATATCATCCAGAACGCTTGTCTACGAGACAACTTCTCAACTTGTTAACGTAATAAACCAGGTTATGCCTGACACTGATCCTTACCTGAAGGCAAATAGACGATGCAGACTCCTCACCTGCATCCTAATATAACTTTAGCGAGCTTAATAGAGCGTGCTCCATGACAAACAAGGCGAGATAAATGGCATCTTTAGAACAATATTGACAACAGTCGAAGATTATAATGATGATGACGCTGATAATGACAGTAACAATGGCGAGGACGATCTTAGCTCTGTGCCTTACTTTTAGAAAACTCCCAGCGATTATTCAATAACGTAGCTTAACCTTCTTTACCGACCATACCTTTGGTCCAGTTGATCCTCGTTCCCCTTGACTTCCATCATTTCCAACAATTCCCTTTGATTTAAAGCAAAAATAAGAATAAGGAAAATGAACATTTAACTCGGACCTTACTAAGGCAGGCAACACAACACTCGCTTAGTACAAAGGACAACCGACTCACATTTCGTCGAATATAAGTCTTACTTGAATGATGTAGTTTTCACAAATTCAGTCAAAACAGGATGACTGTGATTAAAGAACTTACTTAAAGAAATGACTTTCACATAGAACAAAATTTAAGGTTTTAAGAATTGTCGTCTTTTCCTCATCGAGAAGATTGCGCTGCGAAGCTCGCTACCCTACCTCAACTCCTTTCATACCAACAAGTCCAACGCCTCCAGATCTACCAGGAAAACCCTGTGAAATAAATCAATAAATATGTCATCAAGAAGACTTAGTTTGGATAACTTTCCAACAATTTGGTCATTTTTTTGGCTTTACCGGTGAACCGTCCTCTCCTGGAAAACCATCATCGCCTTTAGCGCCCTATAACAAAACCCAAATCAATCAATAAATTATTAAAAATATTTTTTAAAAAGAGCCAATCATTATTAAAGGGTATTTAGTGACATTATATTTGCAAAATGCACTGTAAATATGTAATAAGATACCGCTCTCCTAGGGCACTTTGTACTTTACATATTAAAAACATACCGAACTTCCTGGTGCGCCTGCAACTCCACTAGATCCTGGTCTGCCCTCAGAACCCTATCAAATCAAAAATCACACGTGATGATGTTTATTAGCTGACTTTGTGTCAAAATAAAGTCCCCTATAAAGGAAGTATTTTTAATTGCAGTTCATTTTCAAATCATGTGCTCACTAAGCGTCATCTCGTGTACCGTGAAGCGAAAATTCGAATGAAGCTGCAGCTGTCTCCAACATCAATGTTTCTTCAAGGTACAACTATTTTCAGAGTGTTTCTTGGTAATATGCGACTACGTCTGTGTATTTTCTGATCAATTGTTATTTGAGTCTTACCCTTGATCCAGTTATTCCTGGTGGACCGCGTAAGCCTGAAGCACCCTAAAGGAACAGAAATATGTATAGAAATGAAATGAAAAACTGAAAACACAAGGATACACTTGCGCTACAAGTGAAAACATCACGTGATAACCTTGGACGACTGTGTCATAAGAAGCGATGAATTAAATGGTTAAACACTTACCCCATCTCCCTTAACGCCTCTGGATCCTCGTCCCCCACGTCCTCCAGTCATTCCCTACAATATGTAATGATGCAAATGAGTATTAAATCTGGGAGTGAAACGGGTATTTTCTCACTACTCTCGACAGTTGAATATAATCTGTGGGCTCAAACTTAAAGTTATCCTCAACTTATAAGTAGAAGAGCCTCATGGGCGTCGATATTGAAAACAATGTCATGGCTGATGCTTGTTTTAAAAATAATGTATTAAAAGGAACATTAAATATGCCAAGTTTTATGGCATAGTTAATGAAAAGAGTATAAAGTTATTCCTACCGTTATTCCGATTGCACCCATAACACCCGGATCTCCTTCACTACCCCGCACTCCCTGTCAGAAAACGCAAAGGCAGTCAACTTTGTTAGAGTGTGATATTTGCCGTCGTCAGCATTAACTGCTTCTGTCTGTCTTTAATACAATCATTTTGTTAAAAGTTCCTTATTGCGATAAAAACATCGCAATTCTATTTGAGGGGGAATCTGAAGCGTAAAAGCAATTTAACCCACTCTTTGTCCGGTTTCGCCATTTCTTCCGGGACTGCCCGCTCCGCCACGGCCACCCTGTTGGAAATAAAAAATTGAAAGATAAAAAACACATCCAAGATGAGACTTTGAACGTTTTATTTACTAGTGTACTTCGAATAACAATCCATCATCCAGCACACACGCGATTTATCGTATGACTTCGCACGCCGTAAAGTCGTTTACTGTAGGCAAAATATTTGAAGGATATTAAGCTCAGTCTTCCTACAGCTAAATTACACCACTACCAAGATAGATTTTACTTCGTGAATCGTAAAGTAAACGATTTGAAACCGGAAGCATCAGTTTGTCGAGTATCCTGATCGTCTCAGTAAGAGTAAGGAATGTTAAGCGACGTATCAAAAACCTGCATGGAAGTCATAAGCAGTGAGGCCATCCTACCTGTTTACCGGGCGAACCTTGAAATCCTCGGGCACCATTTGGTCCCGCAAGACCCTAAAAGGACAACTTCGTATGAGAAGAACATGCATATTCTTTGAGTTAAACGCTGTATGTTTCAAACTAATTTTTCAGCATGTCTCTATTGTTTTATTACAGTTATGTCCCGTAATCCCGAATCCCGAATCCCAAATTTCTAAAACGGTAAGAAGACAAGGGGACCAAAGGAACGAGATCAGAAAGGAAGTATTTAGGTGTCACAAGATTGAACGCCTTTAAATAACCGTTGCCTTGTCCTACATATCTTGGCCTAAAGTGCTTCTTCCAAAATAGGCAATTAATCTATTCCTACCGCTGGTCCTTTATCGCCAGTGGATCCCGTGCTTCCTGGTCTTCCGAGCTCACCCTGAAAAGGAAACATGTCCAAAATGCATGAACACTATTTTAAGATCAAGTACGCATAAAAAAAGAAGTAAATGGCTGGCACATTACTCAAAAAACAGATAGTCTGATTGATAAAATCATAGCAACTACTATCACGATTCGTTTGAAAAAAGGTTTGCATGAAGGGGTTGCTTTTAATTTGTTTTCAGTTCAAATTCTACAAAACTACACAACAGTACCTTTGCTCCTTTGCCGCCTGTTGGTCCAAGATCCCCCGGTATGCCCTAGAAATCAACAGGAAATAAGATTAAACTGTGCATATGAATCAAATGTAATCGAAAGACTCCGTAGACGTACAAATGTTGACACTTGAAACGGCTGCATATAGAGACACGGTTCTATCAATTCATTGTGAGAAACAATTCCTCTGGTTGGCATGCAACCCTTTGACCCCCTGAGAGTGACTAGCATCTAATTTCTTCGCACAATATCACCCCTGAATCAAACATTAAGGTTACGAGAATAAAGGAAATCATTAAATTTTAAACCAATTCTCCTTGTCAACACCTTGGGTCCTGTATAGAGCACAGTATCGAGAATATCTACACTGATGTTGAGTGTTAAGGTTTAAAAGGTGAACAGTATTCGTTCCACGTTATAAACTTGTACTAACGGTTTCTCCTGAACGTCCCTCTCCTCCCGTAGGTCCTGCTGGTCCAGGATCGCCCTGAAAGTACCCAAACACGAAACCTCAATAAAGCCACAAAAGTAATACACAAACAAACAGAAAAATTGCAATAATGACAGATTAATGTCAAAAACTTAAAGGTTTCTACAAATGTAGGAGTTTTACACTAAACTGAATTTGACTCATGTCAGTATACACAAAAATGGATCATTTTTGCGATGACATGCTTACCGGGCCTCCAAATTCCCCTTGTTTACCAACCGACCCGCGGGAACCCGTCACTCCGTCAGTTCCCGGCAATCCATCAGATCCGCTTTCACCTGTGGGTCCGGTATCGCCCATGAGGCCTGTGTCACCTCCCTGTCCTGGGCTTCCTTTGATTCCTGGATCACCCGGCGCTCCTGGGCTGCCGGGACCTCCTTTAAAGCCCTGGTAAGTTTTAAAACAATGGCACATAGGTTTAAAGTTCCTTACTCGTAAAAAAAAAAAATTTTAATACTCTAATCATCCTCAAAGAACGCTTCACGTTTTAGAAAAAGTATAAATGAGCTTCTTTTGATTTTCTCCGCTTTACTAAGCCCCCAGCTTGCACCTACGATCATTACCACCTTATTGCCCGTCCCTAGTAAAACCCTTGTGAAATCCTTACCCCCCCCCGTAAAATCTTGGTATTTGTTTGGACTGCCTTATGCCTTATTCCCAATATACTTAAATTTGATACCCTGTATCAGTCTTTGTTATTAATATCGTAGGTTTTCAACCACAGGTGGGCATACTGGTGTCTTTATTTACTAAATCCAAGGGACAAATGGGAGAAACTTGATATTTGCACTCGGCAAGTATACTTAGTGTGAACTTTATTACTATGATAACAAACATTAACATACCTGAGTTCCAGGTGCACCGGCTGGTCCCTCTTTTCCCTCGAAACCCTGAAGAAATAAAATAATAGGTAGTTAATAAAAAATAAATATAAATAAATAATAAAATAAATAATCGGATGAAAGTTTAACGAAAGTGTTCGAGGCTATGAACTCATACCTTGTCGGATGACGTATTGTTACACGCATGACGAAAGCATTTTCCTCTTAGTGTCTACATTGGCCAGCTGATAGCAAATCATATTAGCGTATGCTGTCATATTATCTTTTCGCACCAGAGCTGATTTAATTTGATTTCGGCGGGAAAGTCAACCGCACGTTACTGACCAGAATTCACCAAGCAATTGATGAATGAAAATGCTTACTGCTTGACAATGAGAGAGAGAAATTTTCAATTGAGTGCAGGAAATCCCGAACCAAAGTAATCTCAACAGCCAATCACAACGAAGAAAAATATCATAAGCAGCCAATGAGAACTTAAAGCAAAGTCAACCAAACTGCCTGAGGCACGGGAATACGCGATTAACCGGTTTGTGATTGGTTCCCCTTCTGCAGCTATTTGGTTGAAGAGCTGGCGCCATTTTTTGGACCAATCGCAGTCCGAGGTAAACCAAAACTGAAGCAATCCGGTATTAATTTTGACACAAAAAAACTGACATAAAAAGAAGTAGTAATAGCGTTCTTACTGAAGGGCCTGGGTAACCGGGCCGTCCGCTCACTCCGCTTAATCCATTCATACCCTAGATCAACAAAGATATAAAAAACTTAAACTTAGTAATGTTTACCTCTTCAGGCGTCGGGCATAGTGTGCATTTTCGTGGAATACGCATGTTAAAGAACGTTATTCGAACGCCGTATACGCGAGGAGATACCACCCCCCACACCCAACGATAAATTTATATTTGCAGGGGAATTCGCGAATACTATTTTGCACGTTTTCCAGGGAACAATTTCAGAAATAAAAAACATGCAAAACCACTGAGTATTTAGTAACTATTTTCCTTAACATAAAGTTTATAATAGATTGTAAGATTTCTAGAAGGGATTAGTTTACTAAGAATTAAGAGGAAACTACGAGGTATCTCACGTAAAAATATATAAATTTTGACACAACATTACTTTTTTTGTATATATTATGTGACCATAAAACTTAGAGGAGGCACACGTTCATCGTTGAGCCCCAGCAGATTCACTTCTCTTAAACTGGTGACTGCTAAATTAGCTAGCGCTCACATAATAGCCGCGATTCACATGCTTTCAGATGATAATGATCGACCTTATTTCATCTCCGTTTCTTACGCATGACTAAAAGATTTCTGCTATTTAAGTCTCGACTGCCAAAAGTACTTATGACAAACAAATTTAAGGGTTTTTTTAATGATCGATCTGAGAACACCGAGAAAGAGTTGTGTCAGACATCTAAAAAACGTGTTTGAAAGTTTTCTGGGCGTTCTCGGAGGTATTTGGGCGTGATCAGACATGATCATGTGAGCATTCATTTGAACTTACCACTGATCCGTCAGGTCCTGGTTTGCCAACGTCACCGGTATCACCCTACAGTAATATCACAAATAATAAATTTCAACATCTATCAAATATAAAGCTTATTTCATTCATTCAATTCTCGAACCGGGTAATCCAAAGGTGTAAGGTTCGGATTCTACCTGGATCGGACATTCAGGAGTTTTTTCTTTGTCTCACAATTATGACAAATGAATCAGTTTTTGTCCTTTACTCCACTGCTGAGATAAAAATTAATTAGCTCTCTAACATTGTGTCCACCACGTAAATTGTTGACAAATTTCACCTACCAGTTCACCATCCTGTCCCTGCTGTCCAGCGATTCCAGTTCGTCCTTCTCGGCCCTTAGACCCAACAGGACCAGGATTGCCTAATGGTCCAGGATCACCCATTGGTCCCTGCGAAATATTTTCTTATGTTAACCGTAAACAATCTCATGACAGTAATAAGCCTTCAAGGGGCTTATTAGATTGGGGGGAGCCCCTTGTACTGGATAGTAAAAAAACAACAACAACAACGAAAATGAAAAACGGGGATTGTATTCGATGACTTGCCCATGCGGTCGAGCAATTATCGTTGTAGTCACTTCCATGGAATGTTCCAGAAGCACAATAGGAAGAAGGTGAATTTTTTTGTTGCTTTTAAACAATAGCACACTTAGAAACAATTCAAAATTGTACTCACCCTTCGTCCTCTGTATCCTTCAGGTCCGGGTCTTCCCTTTGGGCCCCCAGGTCCCTTGGAAAAGAATAAAAAAGTTTGCATATTAGCAGAGCTAACAGGTTCCTTTTATGCTTCGCCCTTGTCTACCATCACGTAATAGAAATCTACAACTCATAATCTGATTATTAATTAGTCCAAGTCTATCCGCGCAAAAAAAGAAGACTGAGTACTAATCCATATCACTCACATCTGGACCATCCGGGCCAGGCTCTCCAAAAGGACCTAAGGGGCCTTGAAATCCCTGAAAAAAACAAAAGCAAGTAGAGATTTTATAGCTAATGGTTTGAACCCACACATGGGAATTCCTTTCCCTTTTTTCTTCTATGTCTTTTTAACTCTTAAGAGTAATATGCATCATATTTCTTCTAAAAGCATCACTCCTGAAACAAACAGGTTACGACAATAAAGAAAATGATCGAGATGTCACGAAGCTCTTTATTTTTGATGCAAATCCTCCTTGTGAGACCCTTAGGAAACGCATAGAGAACAATATGCCTACTGAATTGTTGTTGTAAATGGATAGCGTAAGCAGGCGATGAGAATTAAGAAGTAAAATAGTTCAGAGGTATTGTTTGATTTAACCCCAATTCTCAGAAATATCATATGAGGATATATATTAAAGACAATAAGGAGAATTCATATTGCGATCTTAGGAGTGAAAAGCTTAAAGTAATATAGGCTGCGTCTTTAACATACCGGACGTCCATCATCTCCGGGACTTCCTGTTATTCCGGCAAAACCGAAAGCCCCCTGAAAAATATTGGAAAGGAAATTACCACACCACCCTTCGAAACTCACTTTCTTAGCTTATTGCTTACTTCTCTGTTTAAAATAACTGCATTCCATTGGTAGGAGCTCAGCTTGGACAGATCACCAAACAAACAAACAAACAAAGACACAAACTAAACGACGACCACCAACAACGAAACAACAACATCAAAACCAAAAAAAAAAAAATAACGAAAAAAACAAACAAACCGAAAAGCGAACTGATAACAGCACAGGTGTTTGACGATGATATTTTTCGCTTGTACCCATCAAATCTGTTCCTCACAACACAAAGTGAAATTCTAGGTTAAGTATAGTAAAGACTTGCGACCTCAAATTCAATCGCTTCATCATGATCTCAGTGGCAAATTAATGCCAACCAATTTCGGTTTAATTCATTGCCCGAATTTTTCTGCGCCGCTATGGAACTCGGAGAAACAAACTATGCCATTTTTAAAAACATTCCAATGATAAACCGAGGATTTTATTTTCACAATCATCTTGTCGTTTCCTTACCTCATATCCCTTTGGCCCTGTATCCCCAGAGCCTCCTGGCTGCCCGATCTGAATGAAGAGAATTAATCGAATGTAAATGGATTTTCAAGTAAAATGTTCACTGCACTGAGATAAAAAAGATGAAGGTGAGGAAGGGGGGTATATGAACAATACATAAGGTTGCGTAAAATGTGACAATATGCGACCATGACAACGAACCACTTAGTAAAAACTTACCCTCCCGCCGGGAATGTCAGGTACCACATTAACTAGAACTAATGGACCTTTTTCGCCAGGTACACTCTGAAAATAAAACAAAGAAACCCGCACGAATAAGAAGTAGTATTAACCCTACCTAGGTGGTGGTTGTATGGACGCTTCATTGAAATTAAGTTGGTAAAGCCTCAATTACGAATAGATGAACTTCAAGTGCAAGTCATCCGCGGCCACGAGGCTAAACTCGCTCTCGCGCAAACCAAACCTGACAAATTATTGCAACATAGTAACAAACACTCTGCAGGGTGAATCAAATACCTGCCTACAGATCAAAAATTTCTATCGATTTTTTTTTATATACTGAATTACGTTGGTTGACACATGAAATAAGTATACGAGTGTCGAATAGAAGCTGATAAACCTCTAGAATGATGAAACTAATGAAAAAAGGTATCTTAACAAAAGGCGAGGTTGAACATTTGAAAGAACATATAAGTGGCTGCGTGAATGGTATAATGTAATTGTTCACCAGATAATAGCTTTTCTGAAACAGCACATTGGCTTTTAACAGCTTTTAACTCACCGGTAGCCCGGCCGTCGATCCTGGGGGGCCGGGAGGGCCTGGATTCCCCGGATCTCCAAGGTCGCCCATTGCACCTTTGACCCCTGAGAAACCCTAAGGACATTCCACAAACCAGTTAGTTTTGACAAAGAGAGGTCTAACGTCATGTCACGTTTCAAGGCTTTCCACGGTGCCCATCACGTATTGCCATGTGTCACTGTCTTGCAAAGAGGCAATTATAAAGAAAAAGCACACAAAAAATGCGGCAAGATGACACAAAATCGATTATGTGATGTTCAAAGCATAACCACGTAGGTTTTTTTTTGTGTGTGATTGCTTGGTTTTAGGGGGAGAGAGGTTGAAGGGTGGTCAAGATATTGCTTTAATAGCTGAACGGGCGCGAAACGAAGAGCAAATTGATACAGGTCACCGGAAATTCTCCTTTCTAGTGCCACAGGTACGGTGTAGTGAACAGTACGGAGAATAGGCATATGGATATTAATGCTTAAGGATGTAAACACTAATCCAGCAAAAACGAACATACCGTGTCTCCCTCTCCTGTCAATTCATTGTGTCCTTATGTCGCCTCGACCCCATATCCCGTCCCGTATAACGGGAACTCTCCCTCTCCTGCCAATTCATTGTACCCTTGTGTCGCCTCGACCCTTAATCCCGTCCCATACGATGGGAACTCTCCCTCTCCTGCCAATTCATTGTGTCCTTATCTCACTCGACCCCAAGTCCCGTCCCATATGGGTAGAAACCAAAGTAAAAACAGTCATAATAGACGTAAGAGAGAAAGAAATACAATACCTTTGGTCCGGCTGGCCCTGTTCTTCCGCGACGGCCTGGTGCCCCGACGTCACCCTAAGGGACATCCGAACGTAAAATCAAAATCATAATAATTCAGCAGTTCTACTGAAAAGCGGTTACTAATGATGTCTGGTGGACGGTTTGCATTCAGCATATCTCTTCTCTTATTACGAAATTATTTCATTATTAGTCACGTTTGCTTCCAGGCAAAAGACTTTACTAATGACCTGACCCAGTTGGCCCAACCAACCCAAAGGTGTCTTGTCGTGTGAAGCGACAAGGAGTATTTGGTTGGCAGGTATCCAGTTAACCTCCCTGTGCGGTAGCAGAGAGGCAGACAAGAGATGGAGATGTGCGTGTGTTTTTGTTTGTTTGCGTGGGGGGTAGGGGGTGGAGGGTGGGGGAGCAGTTTCTGATTTGGCTTGAACGTGCATAGGCCGTCTAACAGGACTACTGCTCTGGAGTGTTTGATGAAGTTGTTCTAGAGAAAACATCTTTCAATCCCAATAATTATCCATCAAACATTACTAACCCGAAGGCCGACTGCTCCTCTCTCTCCTGGGGGACCAATAACCTAGGAAGTTAAAATGTACCAAAAGGTTAACAAGGATAATTCACTAAAAAATTACAGTTGGCGAATAGTTAAAAACGTAAATAAGGAAAAATAAATGTTTGTACTTACCGTGGTTTCAATCGACCCTAAAATACAGGAATGAAAGTTAAGAAAAAACTTCAGTGATTCTTTTACAGAAGTGATCAGTAAGCAAGCTCTCCTAACAATACAAGCTCGTTGTCAAATTAATAAACGTTTGCATTGCAACTATCAACTGGATGATATAAAAATCTAGGCTTTGTTATGCCAAAATCTCTGCTTAAACGTTTACTGAAGTTTACGGCATTCACCCGTGCGAGTGTCCACTTAGATCTGGGAAGGGAAAGGCTCACGAAATTTTACCAGTCATAGATTAACCATTTTAGTTTCACATATGAGGTTTTTGAAGAGTAAAAAGTTAAAGCTTCTACAAGCGATACTTAAAAATACCCAAATTAACGATTAAAACAAATCAGCAAACTGAGGAATAGGTCATGATTTGAATAACGGGGTAAATTTTCAAAGAAACTGTAGTGCTGTGTCTGTGGAGGGTATAACAAAATAATTTGGTCTCACCAACTGAGTTGTTAATGTAAATTAGCCACTGTTAAGCATTTCTAAAGCTGACGTTTAAAGCGTTAGCTCTTTGTCGTCAGCATTCGCTCTGACGAAGAGCTAACGCTCGAAATATCAGCTTTAGTATCTCTCTCTACAGTGGCCCAATTATCTTATAACTTACTCGGACAGAGTGCTTGTGCCACATCGACAACTTTCGTGGGAAGTTCACTCGGCCTTTTGACAAAGAACAAATCTTTGTTTTTTAAATTTTCCAATTCCTGGTAATGTGATTTGGCATCTCCGGCACCGATGGCGTAAATCTCAAAACCCCTTTTTTTCAGTTCGTTAGCTGGTACGTCAGGTTTGAATGGAGGGGTTTGCGCACCATCAGTTATAATTAAAACAACCTAGAGGGAAAGAACGCCATGCAGAAATTAAGTCATTGCAGTAAGATTAATTTCATTGCCTGTCACTCTTCCACCCGTTACGTAAAAAGTGCTATTAGGCTGTCAGAACCAAGTTATCTCACATGAGTTACAAACAACCTCGTTAGCCAGTAAGAGACAGTGTTTTAAAAACGTAGAACTTTTTTGGTAAAGCTCAAAACAAGATACGTTACAAAGTTCTTGAATAAACAAGCTTTGTGTTCGAAAGTTTCGAGTTTTCTTCGGACGTTTAAATTTCCATTAATGGTGAAATAAACCGCCTTACCTTCCGTACATTGGGATCTTCTCGGAAGCTATTTGTCTGTGCGTTGAAAAGGTCGTCGTTTGCTTTTTTGAGCGCTGAGTGCAGCATGGTTCTTGAACCCTGAATAGGGGGATCTAGATTAAGCAAATTTCGAACAACAGTGTTTTCGTTTTGCCCTTCGTTGAACCCAAATTCTATTTTGGATGTCTCGCCGAACTTAACCACTCCAACATGGGATCCATCGGACGATACGTTCACCAGTTTCGCGACTCCGGCGGCAAACTTCCGAACATCTTCCCAATAAGGCTCGATGCTACCAGATGCGTCTATGATGAATGCCAGGTCAAGAATACATGGGTCATCCAAACGCTCTGTTTGATTGAAAAACAAATGGAAAAACAAAACATAACCCTTTGCAAGCTAACATCAGTATGCATATTCTCTTTACTGTTCTCTATACATCTACTGAGGCGCTGACGGGGAGAATTTGTTCAATGATCAAGAGCTTTTTTGTTGGTGATGATTTCCTTTATTCTCGCGACCTTAATGTTTGATTCAGGAGTGTTATTGTAGGGAGAAATTAAATGCTAGTCACTCCTAGGGGTCAAATGGTTTATAGGGATATTTTTGACAAATTTCCGTTGTTCACCCTATTAACTCTTTACATCCTAACATCAGTATGCATATTCTCCATACTGTTCTCTATACATTACCTAGGTTCTTAAAAGGAGAATTTATAAAACCACCAAGAGCTTCGTTAGTTGCTGATCATTTCCTTTATTTTCACGACTTAAAAATTTGATTCAGGGGTGATAATGTAAGGAGAAATTAGACCCTTGCCACTCTTAGGGGTTAAAGGGTTAATGATTCTCGAGATTGGAACAATAAAATGAGCAATTTTTTAACACTAAGGGTGTCTTCCGCGAGCCTTAACTCTCTATTAAATAAAAGATTCGCCATCGAAAAAAAGCTAATATTTCCCACTCTTCTTCTGTAATGGTGACAACTGCTGTTTTGTTCACACGTCACAATCCACAAGGGTATTGCGTGACGTGGTGTAATAGTGTATTCTTTGGGTTAGCAGCGCAGTGGATTTCTTTTTACTTAGAGCACTTCTATCTCTCCGTTGTTTTCCACCGAAAGCTAAATCTACAGCCTGAATAAGCTAGAGGTACGAAAACACATATGTAAAGAAGCTATCTTCTGAGGTAATTCAATATTCACAAGCAAGTATTCCATCTATCTCACTTTTGAAATTACATTTTCTGTGGGAGACTCTTGCGAATATATCCTGTCACCTCATACCAAATTAGAACCCTTTGGTTCTTTGTGTAACTGCAGCGATGAACGAAATAAACTCCCTTCATTTTATCGACTTTATCTGTTCGCTTCAGGGTTTCATACAAAGCGGACTGTCTAGGTTTTACAAACAATTACTTCCAGGCGATATCAATCAAATACTTCTTTGTCAAACCATTGTTAATGTTGGTTAGTGGAAATAGGCATAAAAGGACATAGAAGGAACCTTATTGATTTCATAAGTTAGGAACAGCGTGGATCAAAATTTTAAACAACTTGCATAGCGGTGATGGCGCTCTGCTCAACGAAAGACCATTTAATACGGAGTTAACAAAAGGTCATTATGTCTGAAGAGCCCAAATGTGCAATTCCCGTATGAATAAAAAGCTTGATGTTAAATTTGAGCGTTTTCCTTTGTCATAACCCTGAGCAAAATATTAATTTAAAACATAAACTTTATAAAACTCTTCGATCGTGTAAAGTACGGTTTAATAGAAAGAATCCGTAGCGACTTCAGTAATGCCATAAGATTACTAGTCGCGTTACCAGAACAACACTGAAAAACATACTTACGTGCTGTTGTCGCTGAAATCCCAAACAAACCGAGCAGCAGGACGCGCAGGAAAGTTATACGAAGCATGTTTCGTCCTCGCTCAGTTGACTGCCAATGACACTAGTCTCTGACCATCTAGAAGAGGCAAAATGGCAACAGAGTCCTTGGCCGATGAGTCGTTCGTGTGCGCGCGAGAACTAAGCCTGAATAAGCCCCTTGTGAAACTTGAGTAGATGTCTTTTCGTTTTATGACCATCCTGTGGCCGGACAAGAGGGTAACACAACATACATTTTCACGAAATAATTTTTTTCTTCATTACCATGCATATGGTGGTTTCGCAATTATTCTTTGGAGAGTTTTAAACGGTTACCAGGAGAAAGAACAAAACGTAATGTTGTGTTTGGAATTTCGAGCTGCCATTTCTCTGTGCAGTGTTATGTCTAGCCAAGTTAATCATTCAACGCCCAAGTAATATATTACTCCATGTAATCAACAACCGTTGGCTTTGCTGATAGTTTCGGTCTTTGACTTCTCAAATTCCGTAGCTTTTCTTCAAGCCTAGGAATACACAAGGAAAAAATTAAAATAAACTTTCTACCAGAGCGCAATCGTTTGATAATTCATCGAAGAGCACGAAGAGCTGACAGCCTGTCATCAAGAAACAAAAGGTCAGTTCATGGAGGAAAGAAAGCACCGTTGTTTTTTAAATTATAATTTACTTCGTAATGCACACTCAAGTGGCATAATTTAAGAACACTTTTATGGAGCTCATTTTGAGAGTACGTTTTGGGAACAAATTTGATGAAGTGATTGAAATTATTGAGAAAGTATACATTAATTGTGTGCCACGAATCGTTTTTCAGTACATTCAAGCCTTTCAGCCAGCGAGCGGTCTTTGGCGTTCTTTGGGGTTTGGCACTGATAATTTTTGTTAGTGCCAGTCCCCCGCCAAACCTCTCCATGACCGTTAATACTGACTATCGATCAATTTACTGGGCTCGGTGGTGGCCCACTTGAACGACAGAAACAGAATAGCCACCTTTATCAAAAACTAGCACATTGCCTCTGATATTTCGGAAAATCAGAGTCGTCACCACATAAACAACAAAGTCTGAGAAATTGTGAAAAAGGTATGGAATTCTTGACGGGTGATGGATGCGAAGATAAATACAGGAAGTAACTATGTGTATGAGTCTGTAGGTAGTAAACACTAGTGCAGAGATCATTGCCGTCAATTGAAATGTTTATGTCTAGAAAAGCCAACTAAGTGTCGGAAATTTCCCAGGTATATTTCAGAGCCGGGTGAAAGGAACTGACGGCGGTTATAAATTAAGTGAGCTCCTCTCTGTCAGAGGAGGTAGCGCCGATGCAGTTGTCAATGTAGCGACCATAAAGTTAAAGTTTGGGGCCGTTTTATCGACTTAAAAATTGATGTTCGATAACACCAACGTAGAGATTGGCGTAGCTGGGTCCCATTTTGGGCCTCATGGCTACGCCATTGGCTTGTTTGTAGTAGTTGCCACCGAATGAAAAACAGGTGAGTGTTAGTAATAGTTAACCTAGACGAAGAAGTGTTTCAGAGCTAGGTTCCCCAACAGTGCGTTGATCGAGAAATATATGAGGGCCAGGAGACCTTCGTCTTGGGAAGGACAGTATAAAGAGATGTAATATTCATAGTGAAAAGAAGTATGTTTTGGCCAAGGAAATGTAAGTCGCGAAAAAATTCAAGTGCGTGTTGGCTTTCCTTAATGTTTGATGGTAAGGTTTTGACGGCAGGTGCCAGTTCTAGGAGAGGTGATGGTGAGATTATTTGCGGTGGCCGGCAACTCTTGTTCAGCTCTAAGATCATTAGTCGTGTTTTTGACAATGTTTGGTGGCCAATTTACGTTATCAACTCCGTTAGTAAACTAAGTTACCCTATTATATCTGATTGTGGTCATAAAACGGGCAAGTAAGGGAGTGATTTAAAGTTTCATCAAGTTTTAAAGTACGAAAAGGCAAAGCTACAACGCTGTGATCCAAATGGTAGCATTTTTATGCACAAAAACCCATCTTCAAGGGGACATTTGTTTGAATGATCAAAATACTATTGAATACAGCCATTGGGGGCATAAATGTTCTGCGAATGAATTTTGCATTACTTGACTGGATACGTTAGACGGGAACTAGCAGGTTCTGCTTACGAATTGATAGGGTTTTTTGAAGTTCTGCCCCTAGCTAAAGAGGCAATGAAACCATTATATACTGATTATTAAATTAACTATAATTCCAGAGCGCAAAAGTAAGCGCAAAATCAAAAGAAAAGAGAATTAATTGATTAGTACTGATCAAATTGTCGCAACCTACTAGCTATGGCCAGCAAGATGAGAATGGTCACCGTCAGTAAAAAGGCAAGTCATGTTCAAGACTCGTAAATCTATGGTGGCTGATCTCAATAGCTCTTCACAGGGAAAAGTGCCTTAATTTTTGGCCCATGAAAAAAGTCTGGGGCACATGTCAAAAATGTTCCAATGATTCTGCACCTTTGTTCTTTTTTCGACTCTCCTCATGCTAAAATTTGTTTTTGTCCAGTGGAGTGAAAGGATAACGATGAAGTTTCACTGCGATAATTTACCTAATTATTGTCACCTTGAACTTTGTGATTTTTTCACCCATCTATTGCATGATTCTCAGTTTGAAATGCCATTCACCGTATGTCCCAACAGAGAACCTCTTTTTCTAAGCCTCATGGCTGGAAAGTTAAAATTAGTTCACATTCGAAATGGGACAAGACTGAGAAGTTTCCATTCTACTTTTTCCTATATTTTGGAAGATCTTTGGACGTAAGGAAATATGTAGGACGTATAACTATGTACAGTAGTACCATTTGCCGATAAATGTTTTTTTCAAAATAAAATTATTAAATCTGGAATTGAGAAACAAGGATAATTTAGCTATGCCGATAAAGCATAGTCTCGTGGAGGTTCTACTACTGCGCGCACTTGCTTGATTTAGCTGATGCGGACGATATACCCACGGTTGAGACTGAAAAAATAGGCCTTGTGTAGGAAATCTCTTAGCCTAACGTTGGTTACCGTTTTGCGTTTTTCTGAATAGCCGTCACCAGCGAAATACGAGTAAATCCCAGCTATTGTTTTTACCAGTTTCAAAATAGCGCATTATTTTCGCCCCAAGGGGTGAATAATGTTCATTAGCGCGAAATAGCCAACCAATCAGATTACTTTTTTGAAATCACCAAGTACCAATTATCATATAGAGATATATAGTTAGCGATTGGGTGGGAGGGCCAGACAGGGGAATGTTAAGCTTACGGTCATGAAAAACGGGCAGAGCGTACGTAGGTCTATACATTATGACCGAGAACCAATTACTTTCCTGATCGGCCCGATCTAACTTAGTTGATAGCCATTTTGTCATGTGAAGCCTCATTAGCGAAATACGAGTTAATCGCAGCTATTGTTTTTACTAGTATCAAAATAGCACATTATTTTCGCCCTAAGGGGTGAATAAGGTTCATTAGCGAAAAATAGCCAACCAATTAGATTCATTTTTTTGAAATCACCAAGTACCAATTATCATATAGAGATATGCAGTTAGCGATTGGGTGGGAGGGCCAGACAGGGGAATGTTAAGCTTGAGGTCATGAAAAACGGGCAGTGCGTACGTAGGTCTATACATTATGACCGAGAACCAATTACTTTCCTGACCGGCCCGATCTAACTTAGTTGATAACCATTTTGCCATATGAAGCCGCAGTTGCTATTTGTCCACTTTTTTTCTTGAAAAATATGTTATCATTAAATCTCAGATTGAGGCCGATGGTGCAGAAAGGGCTTGAGAAGAAGTCTTGTTTCATCGCATGGCGCGGCGAGAAGAGAAAAGAAAGGAAGAAGGAGAAACAGCGGCGGTCATCAGATAAATAATGATTCGTCTGACGAGGCGTGTGTGGACAAATAGCTCGTGTCCAGGCCATTACGAGCGCCCTAGAAGATGCACGTGAGAAAAAAAAGAAAAGAAAAAAGATAATAGTACCATGGGCTATAGAATGAAACGATCGTGAACGCTCTTCTATTCAGTCACACAAAATTAAGCCACAGAAAATAGATTTCGAAAATTTTAATGAAAAAACAAAAATTGAAAACCAACAAAACTATTTAAAAGTAGTAGCAATTGCTTAGCAGTGCTAAACGCGCACGGGAGATTCCGCTGTTCCAACTGTTCTAAAAACTGAGTGCATCTAAAACTTTAGGTGACCACGCCAACTAAGTATAAAATAAGTTTAAACGAGCAAAAAGGGAAATGGAAAGTAGACTTGTTAAGCCTTCCACGGCTTAATTCAGCAGTGGTAGGCCCAAGACAGAGGAAACGGCCAACAGGATGGTGTTGGCAGCGAAATGTGAGCTTGTATTATCTTGAGAGGATATGAATATTATCTCTTACCTGCAGATAATGAAGGTCCGGTGTTTATGGAAAAAAGGAGTCGTGTAATTGAGGCCTTTGCAGACTTTGTCACGTTGTTAAAAGAAAGAGAAAAGAACCGAGAGTATTCAGACAGTGATTGACAATGCCATTTATGTAGAGTGGATTTGATGTAATGTAAAGACATTGAAAACTTCAAAGCTATGATTGAAGACTTAAAATTACCCGAGAGACATCGTGAACTTGTATTTTATGCGGCTTTACATCATATTTACGAACCGACAGGGATGAGACATGGATGGGTCTATGGCGCATCATGGAATGAAGAAATCGCAGCTGGGTTAGATTCTGCATACCATGACAAAGACTATTAAGACACATTTGTTTTCTTTTTGTTATACTTTGTAGATATACATCAAATTAAAAAAAAGTTATATGGGTAATAACGAATAGAAATGAACGATGGAATTGTGTACATCAGTCTATTATTAAATGTAGTTAACCAATCTGCATTTTCAATCACGGGTGGATCTTCATAATTAGTAAAGCCATATTGAACTATTGAAAGATTGAGCATATACGCATTGACAAAAGTGAAAAAGTTGACGTTCGTAAACAGTAATAACAATTCTTCATGCTCACTTATTAAAAACGCATGCAACGCATTAAAGAATTGACGAAAATCTTCCACGGGAAATTCAGTCTGAAAAAATCAAAAAGTGAAGATGGTTACTGTATCACCTACACTTAATGAATTAAGAAGTTGGCTAACCAATAATACTCTGAGCGTCTTCCCACTTCATCATCAAAAAAAAAACGAAACCATGTATACAAATCATACACACGAAGTACATTTCTTAAAAAATCGATATTTTCAAATTGAAAAGATAGATTGAATCCTT